CAATGATTTATCCGAACCTACTTATCCGAACCACCCTATGCTTTTATGCGAACCACTTTTTTGAATGCATGCTTTATCCGAACCACTTTTGGTAAAAAGTTTATTACTTTTACTATTTAAGTACCGTTTCTTAGCTTTTTGCGATGACTAGTTGCCCCATAAGACTCAATGATGACCTGGAACTAGGGTACTGCGTAATTTCTTTTTCAATTTCTTTTACCGCAAGGTTTGATTTTTCAGCTCTCTATTTTCTGAAACATCAAAACTGATCTTTCAAACTCCATCTTGTGGCTCAGGACTCTGAAGGTGCTGAGAAAAATTGGGCTCAGGAGAACTGAAAGATATGGGCCTTGCAGTTAAAATCTGTTTCCCAACGAAAGATCAGCTGGACGTTTTTCCTTGAACATTTTCGATTGCCTGTTGGTTCATCGTAGGAGAGATCTGCGAGACGGCTCATTAGGAGGAGTTCTCTCGGTTCAGTTATTCTGATTAGAGATTTTCTTCTGAGATTTCTAGACAGCTTTTCATGTATGGTGACAGATATTATTTCTTAATATCCGCCGCCTGTGATCTTTCACTTCTTCCATGCATGTTGGTTCTTCGTGGGGGAGATCTGCGAGACAGCTCATTAGGACGAATCCCCTCGAATTTAGATATTCAAATAAGATATTTTCTTTGAAAATTCTAAGAAGGTGAAAGAAAGGCTTTTCAAAGCTAGATTAATATTAATCAGCCGTTCTAAAAATTGAATGATAAATAATAAAAATCAGAAATGAGTTCGAACTTTTTTAACATGTAAGGAAAAACGTCCAGAAGCGATCTTTGTTGGGAAACAAGGTTTAACCGGGGCATGTCCATATTCTTTTCAGCTCGAGTTCAATTTTTCTATACCTTCAGAGTCTTGAATAATAAGATGGAGTTTGGAAGATCAGTTTTTGGATGTTTTAGAAAATATGAGCGAAAAATCAAACTCATATAACAAGAAATTCGAAAAAAGAAATTGACAGAAAATTCTAGTTCCAGGTCATTGAGTCTTATGGGGCAACTAGTCATCGCAAAAAGCTAAGAAAACGGCATTTAAATAGTAAAAAAGTAATAAACTTTTTACAAAAAGTGGTTCGGATAAAGCATGCATTCAAAAAAAAAGTGGTTCGCATAAAGCATAGGGTGGTTCGGATAAAGTAGGTTCGGATAAATCATTGGTTCGGAATTTGGTTCGGATAAAGCACGGTTCGGAAAAGTATTGGCCGAAATCTCCCGTTCTGAAAACAGGTTTTTCACAAATTCTCAGAAAATGGTTCCTAGATTTGAGGGCATTTTGCCATAAACATGGCGGTCTTGTCAAACATACTTCTCGAAAAAATTCATAAATTCCAAGAAATTCTCCAGCTCCAAAAATAACGACTTCAGAAGATTAAAACTTTTTCGCGTTCCTTTTTTCAATTGAATTTTCCGCCATCGCGGTTTGGACATGTGGCGCCCTAGGCAGGGACTTATGCTGTGTTCAGAGTAATTTCCGCGAAATAAAAATACCCGTCAGAGAGAGAAAAAGATAACTGAGTTATGGAGAGTCAGAGAATTTCGTCTTTCGTAGAAAATACTTTGAACACGGCATCACGCCTACATATACGAATCGGGGTCAAGTAATAAAGGTAAAATATATGCCCGGTTTACCGTAAACCGGGCATATATTTCAAAATGGATCAGGATGGTATAATAATATGTTCATCGTAATACCTCCGGTGTATGCTTTAGCCCTATCGGAGCTCTACCGGCAGCCCTGAGTGGTATACCTCAATTGGGGTATACCACAGACTTAAGTCTATCGCATTTTTCTATTATTTCACAAGGTATAACCGTGGTACCATCGTTAGGCTTCAGACCCTTTGATAGACTGGCACTATCGCGATACCCCTGCCCGATTCGTGTTTGTAGGGCGCCACATGTCCGAACCGCTAGAAAAAACTTTAACCGTTAAAACGTTTAAAAACGTTTAGGGCAGCCATTTCTCAACCACAGGATTTTTCAAAGGAGGAAAAATGGTATCGAAAGGAAACGACTCAAAATAACAGTTAAAATGACTTATCGCTTTGAGAAATTTAAAAAAAACCCATGCACGGAATATTGAACTCCACGAAAGTGACTCACATTAACGAAATTATTGAAAGCCGTCATTGTTGAAACGACGATCGCAATGGAAATGATAGAATGATCAGCTGCTGCATTCATTAAGTGTTTTATTTCACGTAACACATTATTTTTCTCAACAAAACTTTCTAAATCAAGTAAATATTATTATATTATAATAAAAAAATAAAACAAAGTTATTGAAAAAAAAGAAAAAAACAAGAGATATGAAGGTTTTAGTGAGAGATCACAATTGAGAGTTCCGTAAGAAGTTGAGAAAGATCTCTGGGATACGTCGTAGTGAAAACTTAACCTGGAAAAAGTCCAGTGAGATCAAAATTCGCATATCCAGTGATTTTACTAGTACTCGTTAGGAGGAAACTGAAGTAACAGGTATTAAAATGAGTTATTGCACATACGAAATCTTTTCAAAACTCCTAAACTTTGAAAAAGTTTTCGAGAAAAGAATAAAATAAACAAGATTCTAGACAAAAAGTGCTAGTTAAACGATACTGATACGTGATAGAAGCCTTTCGCCATCATATAGTCATAACTCGTTGAGAGGAACGCTGAACGTCTTGGTCGCCGAGCTGTAGTTGTTGCCACGGGCTTTCCGTGCAGAGCAGGTCGTCAAAATGGAAAGCAGTCGTTTGCGCAAGAGCGCGCGGAAATGCTCCGAAGAGAGGCAAAAGAGCAGGAAGTTGAGAACCTACAAGGATTTGTGGCTCGTCTCCGAAGTGAAAACGAAAGAGCTACCTTGCCGGTTACTGCGAGGCAGTTGCAAATTGTCTGCAGCAGGATGTGATTGGCGTCCTGAAAACTTAGCCTATAGAAATACTGCTTCGAACCGTCTAATTATTGAGCTAAATTGCGTGATCTCCGTCTCTAGGTCTCTAATTTGCCTCTCCGCCAACCGGTAATTTGTAGTTTTGAGTGGGCTGGAAAGCCGGAAAGCGACCTCACAAATACAAAAAGCTTTGTATCTGACGTACACGGAGAGATTAGGGAAAAGATATTTTTTCTGCCTTGAACCGACCTGATTGAATGTTTCGTTCCCTTCTTTGATCAAGAAAACAACGGCTCCTGGAGCGTTGCAGACAATGAAGCTGGTCAAGATCACGGTCACCATCAAAGTCACCTGCAGAAGAAGATCAGTTCAAAACTATTTTCTAGAGGTTTCGTTTAAAAACAGTATTACGATTGATGTTAAACACATTTCGAAATAACTTTTACGATTGATTCATCCATATTAATGACTAGTCTACAAGTTACAACCTTTTGAAAAAAATAAATCCAAAAATGAAATGAAAAAAATAATAATTTGATCTACGTGTAAATTTGGTCAACAATAAATGAGATCTGAAATCTTTTCGTTTTCTGCAACATAGCGACTTTTCTTAAAAGACGTTGTTTCTATTCTTCGCGGTAGCATATCTTATACTGTTAATGGAGGCAAAAATGAAACCTATTATGCTGCAGTAAGCGAAAAGAATCCAGATTTCATCTATTATCCAAAAAAACCTTTCGTTCAATCTTGTTGCGCGCAGTGATGAGAGACTGTTGAACATGGCTGTCGTTAAGCATCCGAATGGGCATCGTATTCCGTTTGAGAGCCAAAATGAGCAGAATATTGAGAGCCGCAGACACAACCAGAGGTACCAAAACCACCAGCATCATGTGCAGAAGCTGCAACCGTCTCTCAGAACAGAAACCATGAAAATCAAACCATGAGATAACGCGTGAAGGGATACTGGAGGCGAGTCCGAGGAGTGAAGAAGTGAACGACAGTGAGTGCAAGACATCCGACGACGATCCCGAAAAGAGTTCCGAAAAATCGTGGAGAGGCTGACCTGAACCTTTTCTTCATCCTAACCATTGATTACTCTTCGAAAACCTTTTTCGAAGTGCGAAATGGACTTCGGAAGACCTGGACTCGCTCAATCGTAGCGTACATCATACACCTTAATCGAAGGAAACAGAAAACCTCTCACTTTATATGAAAAAGGTACCAAATTGAAATGGCACTGAACCAGTTGAGCAGACCGGCTATTGTTTGTGAGGCAATGTTTCGATACCAATGGGAATGCATGAGCACCCCCTGAAGAAAACTATTTTTTCAGCAAAAAAATCTTTTCTTTTTTGTTAAGAAAGTACAATGTGAAATATGCTACCGTGAAGAAGAGAACCGCTGGAAGATGCAGAAGAAGAAAAAAAAGAGGTCAGCAAAGGCCATGGCGGCGAAAATCTGTAAAACCTCGAATATGAAACTGAAAAGAAGGAATATATTAGCATATAGCATAGAAGTCCTTCTGTTCTACCGCCATGCAAAGACTTTCATGATGATTTTTCGAGGAATAACTTTTGTATGGGCACCTACTGATTTTAGAAATTCAATAAAACTTTTTTTGGAGAAAACATCAAGAAATTATCTTCCTGTAAAAAAGTTCCCGGAGAGTTTCGAAACTAATTTTAAAAGTTTAAATGAGCCTTTATAAGAATTAAGCATGCAATATAACCAGTGAAAAATGTGAATTGAACATAACTCAAAAAATTAAATGAAACCAAGGATTGAGCCTAGTAACTGAAACGCTGGTGTTAACGATGTTCAAATGCAGCTTGTAGATGGAAAAATCAGCGGCAGTGAACAAAGGAAAACAGAAAATAATCTAGCAAACGTATGCACCCTATTTACCAAATTGGTCCGGCTACGCATTGTCCTGCTGAGAAGCACGACAAGGTTGAGGATGTTGCCAGAGCATCCGAAGAGGATCTGAGCCAGGAGGACGTAGGTGTTGATGAAGTAGACGAGTCGACTCTTGAAAAGCGAGCTCTTCACTACCGTCACGACCGGCGTCGTCGCCTCAACCAACGAGATTTCCGTCAGAAGGTCGAGAACCGTCGTCGAATTCATCTGAAGCAAGGTGTTGAACTTGTAGGAAACGAACGAAAAAAAGGTGCGCTGGTCTGTTAGATTGAAAGTTAAAGGAATCAATAATCAACCCATTCAAAAAAAAAATTGGCTTGGTTCAAAAAAAGCCGTTGAAACTTGTGGATTCGTAGCAGAGTGACCGCGCATGATCCGCAAAGCAAACCGTTTTCAGACATTAGAACACGGGAGATCAAACAAAGAAAAGATTCTGGACCTTTTAAAATTGATTTGAAGAAGACAGTTCTATGAAGTCCCGATATACAAAGAATCGAAAATCATGTTTTCCGCTCAAGAAGGACTACTGTAATGAAACTCTCGCGGGAAACAAGTCATGTCAAAGCTCCTTTCACGGTCCTCTCCTCTTTGGATAAGACTCAAACCTCACACCAGCATCTTTCAAATCGAAGGATTTTTTTTTCTTTGATAATACACATTGGAATACTCAAAAAGACGGTTTTTTGAGAAGTTGTTCGAAAAATAAATTCCATCACAACTTATCCTATAATTACTTTTGTTTTTTGAAGGCCCTTAGTTATAGGCTAAAACTTCTAATTTCGAAATTATAATACGAAAAAGAGATTACGGTAAACCGAATGGTTCCTTGTCAAACAAGCCAAATCACTGTTTATGTAAGAGCAGAAAAAAAAGAAAAAAAAATTAGATGTTTAGCACAGGAAAATTTTTTTAGTATGTTTCGATGCTCAACCGAAGTTGATGTATCCGCGCAAATTTAACAGAAACAAACTCGTGAAGCTTGAGAAAAAACCCATTATAAATTTTCTCCAATATGAACCCTAGCTAATGAAGAAAAAGCAACCTTAGTTGTACGAAAAATAGAAAGACTAGGTATAGACACGTCATGAACTAATATTTCTAATATATCATGAGGACTACAAACTTCCAAAAACATGAAGAAAATGGCTAATCTGGCAAAACAGAACTGATCTTTGAGAAATTTCCGCCTTTTATAATATGAAAATAAAAGTCAAAGTTAGGAATAATTTTGCTTCAATCTGAAAAAGAAAAAAATTACAATGTTAGAAAAAAATCTAAAAACTAAATTGTCGGACTTGAGAGCTTGACAACTGGGAGAAAACCGAAAAATGAGATACTAGCTTAAAAATTGTTTTCAATAAAAATTTATGAAGTGGAAATGAAGAAAACGAGAAAATTAATACGAATTCCTAGAGCATTGTAAGAAGCTATTAAAAATTAAAAACAAAACGTTTCATGGTTCAAATGATGATCGCACTTAGGAACTTTACCGACTAACATGCACTCTATTCTAAGCTTGGGGCCAACTATTATTACTTCTCGGAGGCTGAAGCCTGGGAGAACTTTGGAGATTCATTATCAACGAGCTCCGAGCTCTCCGAACTGGAATTACAAAGCGAAGAGCAGAAAAGAAATCGGCGAGGGGCGGATGTTTCAGCCGAAAACCGGCGATTAGCCCGCCCTTTTCTGCTCGCTTGTGCCGTGAGCCGCGATTCTAGAGATTACGGCCTCATCGGCTCTTCTGAAAGCTTCTGAGCAGAATTCTCCTCCGTTAGTCGTGAATTCTAGAAAACTATGACTGATCTTGATGCACAACAAAAAATTCAAAAAAATTTTGTTATTTTTCGAAACATTGAACAAAGATTTTTTACTCTTTAGAAATTTTCGTTGAGATAAGTGGGAGCTGTAAAGGGATCATATGCATGAAAGAAGAACAATGAACAATTCAACATATTCAAGCCTCCGGTAGAGAAACAGAGTTCTTCAATAGCTTTAGGAGGCAATTTTGAAGAAATTTGCATGTTGTAACTGAATTCCAGAGCATAAAGATTATAGGGAATTGAAGATACGAAAATCAGCAAGGAAGTTTGAGAAAGAAGGTGAAAAAAATCTAGTGGGCGCCGCTTTGAGCATTTAAGAATCGTTCGAATTTGAGAAGTGCTCTCGTCAGCAATTTTCTCTTATATGCATTACTTTGAAAATACGAGAATGTTTTTGTCTAATGAAAACAAATTGAAGAGTTCTTACCTACTTTTGATTTCTTGAGGTTACGATTGAAATGAAATTTAAAAGTCTTTTAGTTCTATTAGGATATTCCATTGAAAATTTTCTTGAATGGTTTTGCTTTTTTTTTTAGATGTTTGAGAATTTTTGCTGCTCTGAAACTAAAAAGTAATCCTCTTCCTCTCTGAAACTCTTTTTGATATTAAAAGGGTAAATCTAATTGTTTGTATAGATAAATGACGCTGAGATAAAGGCGAAAAGATTTAAGCGAAAAAATCTTCTAGCTGTAATTCCCTGAAGTGGAAAATGTTTCACCTGTTATAGATGAAAACATTTACTTCCGCTTTTAAATTGAGAAAAGAGCGTAGAAACTCTACATTTTTTTTGGGAGAATTTTAAAAATGATAAAAAAATACCCTTCGTTATAGTCAATCTTTCGCGACTTGAAAGGCGAGATGGGCAGAATGCCAAGGGTGAAGCGTTGCGTACGCGACGCGGTTATCTGACGGGAAACTTCATTAAAAAGCAAGCAACGTTTTTTTGTGATATGTTTCTTCTTTTTCGTTTTTTTCTCAATAATTTTTCAATTTTTTTACACTTTTGAAAAAAAGTTCAGTTGAACGATCGGAAATAAAAAAAATAATAGAAGACTCGTTTTTTTCTACATTTTTCACGTAATTTCGAGTTAACCGCCAAAAGCCGCGCCGCGTACGCAACGCTTCACCTTTTCCAATCTACCCATCTTGCCTTTCAAGTGGGGAAAAATTGACTATACCAAGAAGAGTTTTTTTGCTAAGCAGTTTGTAAACAAGTTGTTTTCGATTCCTACTGGATACATGTACAGTGTTAGAAAACTTTTGATGGAGATCAAGCTAGTTATTACTTCGAAAACTCTTGAAAGTTAGGGTTCGTAGGTATCCCTCTGAGAGCCGCAGCCTAACCTGAATATTGTTTCACAGAATTTTCTGACTTTTACAATTTTAGTTGAACAACCTTTTTTAGCCTCCAAAATGACCTCAATATTTAAAAAGCTCAATTGAAAATAAAGAGATTATGAGATCCTGAGTGAAAATAAATCCTGAAAGCACAAGAGAGGCGCAAGCTTCAATGATAAATTGAGGTGGTCGTTTGTTGTTGCCGAAGCGAAATTTCTTTGGGCTCCGTGGAACATCATGTTTGTATGTCTCGAAAATTGAATTTCACACCCAATTATTGTTTATTTTTCAGTCTTGTTCTCTGGTTGCATATTTTCCCCAATTTTAATTGCGGGATTGACTCGGTGGAGTACGCATGACACCATCAGATTTTCACCTGTTTTGAAAACTCTGAAAAAAAAATACCAGCAAAAAGCGTAAAACATCTTTCATAGTAACTTATTAAGGTTTCATGGAAAATTTCGTTCGGAAAAAAATTTATTGCGTCGCTAGAAAGCTACCATTTTTAGAGCGAAATTAGAACGATTTCTATTTTTCAGTAACAAGAAAAGCAGTTTCCGGATGTCCGGTTTCGGAACGCACCATCACCGGAAAAAAAGATGATTATTTCGAAAGACCACTTATTTTTACTTGTTTTGCCTGTGTTATGCACTCAGCGGTGCCCACCGTTGTCCTTCACATGAACTAAAAATGAAAATTACAGCTACTCTAGATCGGTTTTTGTAAACTTGATTTTAAAACATTTTTTTTCCAAGTAGTAAGAAGTCCCTTTTACGAAATTATTATAGAATTGTGATGTGCATCTAAAAACTTTTTTTGATTGTAAGGAAAATTTAAGAAAAACGAAAACTTGGTAATTTTATCACCTTTTCATGAGGTCAGACGGAGGAAGTATAACTTGAAAGGTTTTTAACTTTCTTTCTGTTTAGGAGTAATATAGACATTCTGAGTCTTTTTCTGATTTTTCATAAAAGATCCTTTAAATTTCACCCTTAAAAATATTATGGTGTCGAGAAAAAAAGGACTCGGATTCAAAAAAATCATCAAAAAGTGAGTTAACTCGTAACACTAGGTTTATTGTTTCTAATAATTGTTTGATGATCTACCTGTCATAGTCTTTTTTCTTTTGAAGTTTAATTAAAATGCCAATAAAATATTCACGATTTACAGCGAACAGGGTTTAAGAAAAATTTCGAGAAAAATAAAACGTAAGAGAAATAAAAACGAAAGAAAAAAAATTTCAGGATTATCGTCATTTTTTCTTGAGAGAAGCTCATCTATTAACGTCGTATATAACGAAATTGAACGAAAAAAAAAATTGGAAATAGAAGAGGCGATCAAACAGCGGCGGCCACGCCAGCGGATTTGTGTCAATTAAAAGGGAATATGTGTAGGATCTGTACCAAACCGACTGTTTTTCTACTTATCAACGAACCGACTAACTCCTCAAAAATCCACAAAACAAGAATTTTCAAAACTTAAGCTCAACTAGTTTCACCCATTATTTTTTTTCACCCGGAAAATGAAAGGCCAGTTTTTATTTCCGCAAAGCGCTGGCGTCAAGTACTCCCATCGCAAGTCAAGCGAGAAGCTGAATAATATCTAACACTCGCTTCGTTAATTCTATTTTTCACTTTTACAAAACGGCCACTGAGCCTCGCCAAATAAAGATCACAAGTCACTACAAGAATTTTAAAGAGTTTACTTATCCCTTTCTCAAAAAAAAACTGATGCTTCTAATGATAGCATTGCAGAGTACGTGAAAATATGAGTGGATAGAAAATCTAGCTTTTTGGGCCGAGGATCTTTCCCGGCAGTCATCGCTAATTGCCGACTGAGCTGTCAGAATTAGCAACGCTACGGTAGTTTCCAACCCTGATTATACCTAAGCGAGTCTATAATCAAACTGGTCACGTCAAGCACTTTTCAGAGAAAATCTTCGCCCCAACTTTCTGATGAATTCAGCTCAAAACGATGAGCTCGAGACACTCTTATTATGTTTTTGAAATGAATGTTAATTTTTTGGCTGAATATTATGCAGTAGTGGTATCTCAACATTTTCTATCAAAACGCTTCGAACTTTCGGTCAGATTGCTTTCCAATTCAAGTTTTTTTTTTCTATTTACGATTTTAAAAATTAGGAATGAGTAGAAAAAAAAAACATAAATTAAGTTCCATATGATAAGCATTAGTATAAAATTATTTTCAAAACTAGTTTAACTATTCGTTTTTTCTGAACGTCCCATATATCACTTTGTTTTTTTCGGGAAAATCTTAATTTTTTCGAAACCGTCGAATACAATATCCGAGTCTATTATTGATTTTTCCTCTTCTCCACAATACTTTTCATCAACCTACCCTGAAATACAATGAGGTTTGGAATACTGAACAAAAATTATCACGACTGTTCAAAAACGGCGCTCAAAAGGCTTTCTTAATCGCGCCATCCTCGAAGCTTCTTCATTTTTGACGCCACAGCGCCTGAGGCGGCAAAAAGAGAATCAAGCTCATTCCACTTTTAGAGTCCACGCTCTTCCGCTTATGGCCTTGCAAAAGAAAAAATAACGGAGTGCGAGTAAAAATGAAAACTTAATTGAAAACTTTCAGCCCAAGAGCCAATATTTTAATATAGATATTTTGAGATTTCATTTCGGTCTAAGGATGTAAATTAAAAAGCTTTACTGAACAAAACAGGAAAAAAAATTTCCTCACTTTGCTGCATTCGACCTCATTTTTTGTTTTTCATGAAAAAAATAAATCATGAAACAGAAGGTTGAAGGCTCTTTTTTCCATTCAAAAGCCTAGCGTCTAAATAATAAAATATTTCAACTTGAAAGAACTTGAGAAAGTCAAGAAATCTTTTTTTTCGCAAACTGACCGCCCAAATACAGCTTCCAGAGGCGGAAAAAACACGATGACTGATGTATGACTTCTTGGAAAAAAGGCGTGAAGAATTGGGCTCGAGAATTCGGTTAGAGGCGCCGAACAAACACGTCCCATCAAACAATTAAATACACTGATGTCGTCGACTGGAGTCTCGGAAACTCCTGTATTACTTCGAACTGAAACTCTTTCTGCATTTTCCAATTCAATGGCAGGTTTTCAATAGCGTCTATCCGCTTCAATGCTTACGCCAAAAATTTCAGGAAACACATGTCTATTTTTTTTTCCTAGGGGTCCCTGAATGTGTCATTTCGGAAAAATTATCTTAAAGAATTCCTAGTTGCTGCTGAGAATTTCGCAATCATTTTTTTCCACAAAATTTTTCAAAGATCTTTATTTTTATAAAAAAGTGAGCAACTCGATCGAAAAACAGACATTATACTCGAAAAAAAGTAAAACATTATCCCTTCCTGGTTGCTGCTATCAAATCTGCATTAAGAAGCTTTTGTTGCTGAGTGAAGTTCAAAAAGTTGTCTTCAACTTTGTTAATACCTAATCCTCTGGCGATACATCCTCTGTAGCAGCTTCGGGGTGTAGGCAAAGATTGAGGCCCCCAGGGCATCAAGTATCTCTAATCCCGAGTTTGCTCATCGTTTTCGTTTCCCAGTTGCTCCCGTGAGATCAAGATGCCTCTGAAAAAAATAGCTGTGCAAAGAAATCTTCGGAACGCAGAGCAATCAGTTAAAAAAAATACTTAAATCACACCTGATCAAAGCGTACGGCCGACCAGGCTTAAGCGAGGGCAGGGCCGTCAGCCTATCAGCCTCCGGTCATTTTCGGCCTTATCGGAGCTCAATTTTTTTTTTTCTTAAGTCGAAAATCAAGCTTTTTTATGACAAAAGTAAAGTTTTCGCTTATTTTTTTTCACTTATAGTTCCACGAAAAAAATGATTTACAAACTAAAAAGAACTTTTCGGTGTAAACTTTCTCAATGAAAGTACTTAAACTCAGAAGATCAAAAATTAGATACATGACGGAAAGAAAACAGAAAGAGGATTCTGACGATGATAAAGGAATAAGCGATCACGGGATCAGCCGCTCTTCGATGGCTACACGGCTTTTCTCTTTTGCAATTCCTTTCCTAAAAAATGAACCTCAATCAACTTAATGGGTCAGCAGGGCAACAAACTCTAAATATTTGATACAATTAATTATAATTAAAAAAAGTTTTTTTGATAGCGCGTTAGCGATCTTTGAGGAATACTGTAGACGGAAATCTTCATTCTGCACTATTGCGTATACTTTTTGAGCGCCAATAAAATGTTTTCAAACCATTCTTTCTTGCTGGCACAATTGAACTAGGTTAAAATAAGTTTTTTCTATGGTGAAATAGAAAAATCTAAATAAAATTTCTGAACACTCATCATATTCTGTAGTTCCCGACTTAGACGCTGGCTCGAGACACTTAAATAGGGTTGGGGCGTATGTGTCTTTAAGTTCGTTGAAAATTCTCTCCTTTTACCAGAGAACAATTTTTCAGCAAAATTTCAGCGAATGTTCAACCGGGAGGTAAAAAACGTTCCCTAGTTAGGCTTATAGCCAATGAAGTTGCTCTCTTTAATTTTCTTTACTTCAAGACAATATGAATTGCATTTCTAAACTGTCCTTGTGGGTCTCGCTCTCTTGTGAATCGATTTTCATGAAATTTTGATTTTTTTTTTAGGTATGTCTTCCTCGTCAACTTCAAGCACTTTGCGAGGGGCATCATTCTTTGTGAAGGATTTTCCTGCGTCTTATGATGAGGTTTTTTTCGACTCGCAGGTCTTTTTTGTGAATATCAATCGCAGTTTGATTTGTTCAACGTGTTCGTGAAGTTCGGTCCTGTGGACATCGTTCGCTTGGGGAAAAATCGTTCTCCAGCTGAAGATGTCTTTGGGTAATTCATTCTCTTAGTGAAATTCTAACTAAAACGTACACAGATTCATTTCGATGCTGAGTTTGGACGCTGCTGACAATATCCGTACGAGTTTGAGCGGAGGTCGTCTCTACATTAACGAAAAGATTTCAATCGATGTTTCTAATGGCGAAATTTTAAAAAATTTTCAAGTAAATATTCAGGTGAGTGAAATGAGGGAAAAACGTTCCTTCGAGACAAAAAAGCCGCGCAAATCGGACGAGGCTCTGCCAACGGAGCGAAAGTCTTTTTCTGAAAAGTCTCGGGCTCAAAAAAATCGTCGGAGCAGAAGCCGCGGACCTTCGCCTCTCAGGCCTATCATCACCAACATTTTTCCTGTGAATAATTCCTGTTCGGTGATCTATCTACTTATTTTTTCTCATCCCATAACTTTCTTAGGTCAAAGTAGTTGAGCATCTACCTCGAGAGCTGAAAGATCAGTTAGTTTTTACCGTTCTCCCGATTAACGATGCAAAGGAATCCATTTTCACGGAGCTTCTGAAGGAGATGAAAATTTTCTATGAAACTCAAAAACCAATCAAAGATACCGGAGATATTATAGCGGTTAGTCGATATTAGGCCAAAATTTAACTCTTTTTTTTTCTTGCAACAGGTTGGTAGTGATTGCATACTCTTCATCGGTGGAGAGGCACATAGAACGCGCAGAATTTCTGAGAAGACTTTGTATTGTCTAGACAGTGGAGAAGTCAGAGATTACGATCCTCAAAATACATTTACAATGCAGAAAAAGTTCACCCTTCTGCCCTGCAAGGTTTATCGTATATCATTTCATATCAAAATCTTTTTCAGGTCGCATCCTGCGCTTTAGAAGGTGCTGTCTGGGACAAATCCGTCATCCCTGCCCTCAGTAAATTCCGAGAAGTATGTGTCATTCTACAGTGTTTTGAAACTTTTGTCAATCCACCTCTATAAGAAAAAAAATGTATATGAAAATAAAAATAACAAAACGGCGGTTGCGCCGTTTCAACAACGATATTTTTTGTTGTTTCTTTTTCAGTGGTCTAAAAATAGTTGGATAGTAAATAAACAGTAGAAATTGATATTTGACTTGAATATTTGAAGGCGAGCTATCAAAGGTATCTTAAGAGATAAAAAATTTCGTCGTCAGCCGTTTTTGAGACTGCTCACACTCTTTCGCTTCCCAAAAAAGGGGGAAAAGAGGACCACCACCAGTAAATCCCCTACGTTTAAAGTTGCTCCAAATGATTCAAAAACTTTACTGAACTAGCTTGTAAAATCAGATAATCCACAAATGGGGCGAGTTCCAAGGTCACTTGGAAGCTGAGACCTTCGCGTACACCTCAGGCATCAACCTTGTGAAACTTCATAGTGTTGGAGGTTTCATAAATAAACAGTGAGACACCAAAAGTTATTTATAATCCTTCCAGAAAGTCTTGTTGATAATCTAGCGAAGAGAGGATACTGTAAAGTCATACCCCTCGGTCGAGAACTTCACACTTATGATCGTTGTGCGTTGTTGGCGATTCGAAATATCTGTCAGGTTAAAAGGGCAAACGAGGTACTTCCGAAGGGTTGCGTAACAAAAATATATGACATTTTCAGAACGTCGGGGAAGCTTCAGATTTGAGAAAGTCTCTTGATCAAATGAAGATATCTATTTAAAAACTCCGTTTATTCAACTTCACTTTACTATGATTTCGTTCTAAATTTCACTCAAGTGGATTTTATTTTGATGATATTCTTCTACCCATATTTTTTTAAAGATGTTTTTCGATTTTTCTCGTTGTTTCTTCATTTTTTTCCGTCTTCCTCAAACGGATTGATTCTTTAAAATATCGAAGCGTTTCCTTTAATAAACTTTTTTTCGTGATGAAGGGGTTGTCAACAAAAAAAAAACGATGAAACGTTGTAAAATCAAAATCTATTCATTTTCCGTTGAAAATCAAAAAAGTCAAGAAAGTTCTGTTATATATCGAGTTTTCTTCACGATAAATTACTAAAGCAATGTGTTGGAAAAATGCTCAAAAGAAATCAAGTTACCAACCAAAGTAACTGATTATATTGCAGGTGTTATAGCGGGATTCCTTGCTGCGACCTCGTAAAAGTCTCGCTGACACATCGTTTTCTCTCATAAATATGAAATTTTAAAAACGTTTTTCACTTTATTTCACTTCTATAATGAAATGAATAAAGTTGAAAAAAAAAAATTTTTGGAAGGAAATTTTCCAGAAAGAGAGATATAGCGCAAGACGTTTTCGAGGCCGCAGCGGGAGGCATATATCCTTAATAACCGGGTGGAATTCCGAGCATCAAAAATCCAAACTGCAGTTTGATCTTCTCTCTATCGCGGGACCCGTTTTGGGTTCCGATCTACTGTTCTCGGCGCGAAATCTCCTAGTCCAAGCCGTTGAGCTGTTTTTTCATGATTTGCTGTAGAAATTTTTATGCCGTGTTCAAAGTGATTCCGCGAAATTCAAAATAGCTATCAGAGAAAGAGAAAGATAACTAAATTTTGGAGGGTCAGAGACCATTTTGCATTTCGCGGAAATTACTCTGAACACGGCATTATTGCAAACATTAAATTTCTCTATTTCCTTATTTCTGTTGGAATTCGCGCTTTTGTTTGATACTTCTGTTCATTAATTGTTCATCAAAAACATTTTTGCGGTTATTCCGTGTAGCTTGTATGTTGTTAGAACTTAAAAAGACAAAAAAATATATTTGAAAAAAATTCATGTGCGAATTTTTCAGATTTGACAATCTGCATTTTTCTACGCACGTTTGATTTTTATTGTTGTGTGTTTTGATTTGAACTTTTCTTTTTAATCATGAATTTTTTGAAAAATTTGATTTGTCCTTATCAAATTATTGAAAACGCATGTAGAAAAGCAATGATTGAGAAAATTATTAGTCTATTGAAGACTCTTTTTTTGTAAGAGTTTTTAAAGGCGCATGGGCTAGATTCATAAAGTTATCAAGGCGAAAAGCCGTTTGCAAAGTTATTTTGGGTCGTGGAATACCAGCACCTTCAAAAATCTAATCAGAAATCTTGAACGCGTGTTTCGAAATATTCAAAACTAGTTTTTTTTTTTCAATCAATGTCGTGAATCACTCCAGGTAGTTGCGAACATGATGCAGTCGTGCAGCCCACCGACGTTCGCTTCCTGCGACTCCGTAGTGAGTGGAGGTTCCTCACCGGACCGTACACTGTCGATGCTCTCTGGGAGCGCCTCTTTGTCTCCGAGCCCCAACAGAAGATTGGAAGATCTTTCTGCCGCTGAGAATCTCTGTAACGTACAAATGGGATCCGCAGAAGAATTCCGACACCTTGTTGAAGATTCGAAACGATGGCCCGGAGTTTCTAACTGGCGTAACCCCACACATCAAGTAAAAATTTCCACTACTAGCGTTTTTTTTTGTTGTTGGAAAAAAGTGATTTTACACTCTAAAGTTATAATTTTTTGTGCTTCATTTAGTAATAAACCATCAAGATATCTGTTTCAGGGTTTTTCGCGGCCTTCAACACCGACATCACGACTCACTCCGCCGTCTTCTTCTGGTTACAAAAGCGCTTTCCCATTCACTCACAATCCGAATGTAATAACAAATCCATCTGTGATTACGGCGCGTTCGCGTCGTTTGTCATCTACAAACATCACAAGCTATAGTGGGAGCAATGGATTCAGCGGTTTCAAACCAATCAGCGAGGCTCAAAAACTGAAAACGCACTGTACGTTTTGTCTAACCGTTAAACAAATACTAAATTGTATTGAGTTGCATCCGTTGGAAATCATTGTCTGAGCAACTGCGAGAATGAAGTCACCCTCGAATACCTTGCTGACTTGGTCAAGGAAAAGAAGCACATTGCGCTGTTTCCCCACATGTTCAACCACGTCGACCGACTTCTCGATGACGGTGAGAACTCGAGTGGATAGTTGAACGAAAATCTTAAAAAAAGCACTTTGAAAATTATAATTCCCTGTTCAAAATGATCCCGCGAAATGGGAAATAGCCGTCAGAGAAAGAAAAAATTAATTTCGGAGAGTCAGATAATTTTGCATTTCGCGGAAATTACTTTGAACACATCATAAAATTGAAAGCTCCCGAATTTCCGGCTTTTTGAAATTTTAGTTTCTGAGATTCGCAGCAGTTTTTCTCTCTTTCTGACTTCTGAATATAATTTTTTTTTTACTGGTTAATAAGAAAACTGACTTAAAAAAGAAAAAAAAAACAAAAGTTGATGTCGCACAAAGGGTACAGGATTTATATTTTCCTAAATGTAAAAGCTCGAAATTTAAAGATCAGTTCAAAAATGAATTTTCGAATTGTACTTTTTTTCAGAAATTGCACGGGTGCGTGTTACGCTTTTTCAAACGGACTTTATCGCGGGAGACATTGAGCTCCCGGAGCCAATTGGAGAGACTGTCACCATCACCGAAAAGATTTATGTTCCCAAGAAGGAATATCCGGATGTGAGTATTGGTAAAGCATTCAAAGTGGCAGAGAATGGTTCCTAGTATAACTTCGTTGGACGAATCCTGGGACCTCGCGGTATGACTGCCAAACAACTCGAGCAGGAAACTGGTTGTAAGATAATGGTTCGAGGAAAGGGTTCGATGCGCGACAAGAAGAAGGTAAATTTCAAACCAGGACTTGTGGCTTTCAACTCTTTGCGACGGCTTTTCCAGTGACCCGGAGAATTAAATGTTCACAAATCATCAGTTTTGACCGTTTCGTTGACATTTATCAAGCAATGAGCAAAATCAAGAAACTAAAAGGTGGAAAAAAATTCTGAGAAAAAACTCTGTTTCGAAATTCTATAGTTTTCTCGAATGACTTTAAACATTTGTATCATTTGCTTTTGAATTAAGTTTATGACACAAAGGCATAATTGTGTTTCTGGAATTTCAGGAAATAGCAAAAACTGCCGATATTTCCAGGGACAATTCATTTTTTTTTTCCCTGTAGGATAATGTTTCAGCAAGAAGATAACAATAGAGGACGTCCCAACTGGGAGCACCTCGACGACGATCTTCACGTACTTCTTCAGTGCGAAGACACTGAAAATCGCGTGCACATAAAGCTCCGGGCTGCAATCGAGCAAGTCAAAAAGCTTTTGATTCCTGCGGTAAAACAACTTTTTTTTTCTGTTTTTTACTCAAACCTTTCCTTTCAGCCTGAGGGTACGGACGAACTCAAAAGAAAACAACTTATGGAGTTGGCCATAATCAACGGAACCTATCGTCCTCTCAAGTCTTCACAGAGTAGTTATAAGAGTTTGCGTCCGTATTCAATACTTCGTCTTTCATGTCCTACGAGAGTGATGACCGCAGTTCCATTGCTTTCTCCTATCCGCACGACCGCCCCAGCTGTTCTAATGTCTCCGTCACCGAGTCCTACCGCTCCACCCGTTAGTTATTTGAAAGAAAAGACGATAGACTTTTCTTCAATTTTTCAATAGACAGCATCGATTTTCTAGCAACTTTTTCTGACTACTCATGAGACCAAAATAAAGTGAGATCTGTCAAATAAGTAAAAATGAAAATGGATTGCGCTTTGAAACAATAAACGGGTAGTACAGGAGTAAATTTCTTCGATTAAAGGTGGTTCACCTCAAGGATCTGTTCAAGTTTGATTGACTCAAAATTTTCATGTTTTCAAATGGCACTGATCGATCAGAAGTCCGATTTGAAATACGTAAAATCTTCAAAACGCGAGTAGGAATACCAATTAACGTTCTCACAATGAAATAAACCGCGCGTTTAGAAACGGTTTTTGAAATTTTAACGCAGTTTGTATTTTTCTGAGTGTTAAAGATTCGGAGATATTTTTTTCTGAAATGAGTCCTGTCGTTTGCAGTCTCCAACTCTTCCAACATCAACGACCAACTTCATGAATGCTTCGGGATCTTTTGATTACTCGGCTTTTTTGAAGTATCGTACCTTATCTGCGATCAAAGTGTTCGAAATTTCTTCAGCTCGAGTCTGTTCGAAACTGCGTTGGCGTCGATGCAGTTGACTGGCGACTTGCACATCCCCAACTACCCGACCACGACTTCCTTCGTCAACTCGTTCCCGTCGTTGTTCGCCTCGCCGAACTCTCAGCACGAAAACTCGACAACGAGTGCTACTCCGAGTCGCAGCAACTCTGCCGGCTCTCAATCCTCATTCTGAATAATATTCGTGTCATATAGGTATGTTTTTCTTCATTTTCAGAAAAAGTTGAGTTAGTCTGAACCTTCAGACATTCCACTCATGTACCATACTTGTAAAACGAGATATGCTCGTCGATCCACATCATTTGCTTCATCAAATAATTTAGCAGAACTTCTTATCCATTTAATAAATGATAGCCATTTTGTATAAACTAGGACGGTTAATACGGATAAGACACTGGTAATTTCTCTAACTGGTTCCTCCTAAATTGTCTAATTGATTTTTTTCACGGCTCAATTTACTAAGGCTGTTAACCCAATACCGAACTAGCCATTCGTCAACCATTTAAAATATTTACCTAGTTCTATGATAGCTTCTGTCTACAATTTAATAAAATTGCTCATAATTTCTTATTCTGTATGAGGTGCTCATCTGTGTTCTACGTGTACCCATCATCTAATACGTGTAAATGATGTATGATCTCAATGTGATTACGTGTTTAAAGTACGTTCCGATAATTTTTGATAACTTGGTATGACAAAATGAGAAGTGAAGGATGTAATCGATCTTTTATAGCACTTTTGCTCTTTTTCTTGTTTGCCTTACTTAAAATCAGTGATTCGGACGAGTTCATACTTTTCGTTAATAAGAAATGTTTATAGTTGAAAAGTATTGACTTGTTCGTCTTGCATGTTCTCTTACTTGGCGTCAGAGTTTCACGCCAGTGCCTTGCTGTCGTTTTCACTCGTGTGCCATATCTGTTCTCTGTATTCTAATAACTTATAATAATTGCACCAAGGGCCAAATTTTTGTTGATTGTTGCTTTGATAACCAATTCTAACGCCGTGTTTGTTCCTTTTATATTATCTTCGCTTTGAAATGCACTATAATTGCTGATCCGTACCCGGTCATTTTCACGAAATAATTTCGGGCGTGGAGCTTCGTAAAACGCACAATTATTGTATGCATTCGATAAAGTGTTTTATCGAAATTCAACGTTTATATTGCTGGAAAACACAAAACTACTAGATTATTTGAACAGGGAATAGGAGAAGAGATGATTTAAATAAAAAATTATCCTTTTTTTCGTGAAACTTACCATCAATTTAAAATTTAGGACTTTTTAACTTCCGAAAGTAAAATTTGATTTGTAAATTTTGAGACGCTGATTGAAAACACGGACTTGGCTTTGACACAAATATCTAGTTTTACGTATTTATTGCCGGTGAAAAAAAAAACATGAAGAAGTAAACCCTTGAGACGCACTAATCTACTCGATTAAACTTGCGTTGAAGTTCGCGAAAACAGCAAAAAAAAATTTAATGGCCTTGAGTGAAAAGTAATATTATTTCAACTGTAACCAGTTAATCACAACACTACAATGGACTGAAGAAATAGTATTGATCACTTTGATTATCAAATAAATTAAAATTGAATCGAAAACTTGTAGCGCAATAAGTTTCACTCAAGTAGCAGGGAAAGATTAGAAATATGGAAATGTTGGCTTCTCAGCAAATACATGAGCGAAGCCATTTTACTATTAGGGAATGGATAGACTTACGCGTGAGCAGGAGAGAGGACAACTTTCGAGGAATAAAAAAATAAAAAAAAGGAAATGTTATTAATTCTCAAAGAAGAATTACTTCAGTTAAGTACAGTCTTTCCGTTTACAAAAAAATCATGAAAACTTGAAACAAAGAGAAAATAAGTAAAAGGGAAAAACTGATGCCTCTTTTGAATGGTTTTTATCGCAAATCTTCTTCGTCATCTTCCTTGCTGATAGCTCGCTTGGCTTTGACAAGCAACGATGTCGCCCATGGGTCCAAACTGAAATCCGGTATATTCAGTAGAATAGGACAATGAATAAATGTTTAAAAAAAAAGCGAGCAGACAACTAACCGACTGATTTTGTCGAAATTTTTGACTGTTTCCGTGAAAACTTCTTCGTTCTGTTCCTCAATAGCCGTTAGAACTTCCTTAATAGTTATGATTCATATTGAACTCATAAGCGAGAGAACCTTGATGAATTTTGCTTCGCGAGAATCAGAAAACGACGGCGACGCTTCTTCATACTTTTTCAGAGCTAGCTGAGCGTTCAGCTGCAAAAATTTCCAGTTTCAATCAAGAAAAATTTGAAGTGAAATATATAATGTAGGGAGAAGCCAAAAACGTTCTGCCGAACTTTTAATGAGGTTTTACTTACTCTATCAACGACCAAATGGCACAGTAACGCTTGGAAGAAGTGGTTTTTGGCCGCATACTTTAGAGTACTGTGGTCGGCCTCCCAGTAGGCGATTTCCTGAGTTTCGAAAATACGGGAAAAAAAATTAATAAGAAATTTCAAATTCTTTCGAAGAGAAGACGTTCAAAAAAGAAAAAAAAAACTAATTCCTTTATTTCGATTAGAAAAAGTTTACTCGGAAAAGTTTGAAAAGATTCAAGCTGAATTTTTTTGTAAGAAAAAAGCTGTTTTTCGGAGATCTTTCCAACAAGCTCTCAGTAATTTTGCACCTTGTCAGTAAAATCTTGAACAGCTATCTCTCCCTTTTTTTTCTGATATACATGAGAAACGAGATTTATTTTCTCTACGCTTCACATGTCTTCTTGCAGTTAACTAATATTCATTCTGCTTCGTACTCATAATAAAAAGAAAACCTCAAAAACGGCGATAGCCTGAGTGTAGTGCTCTAGCTCGGCAGCGTACTGAAAAAAACAAACGTTACGAGGGGAAACGTTTTTTTCAGTAGCAGGTAGTATGAGAATTGACTTTTTGAAAAAAAGTTTTTTTCATTTTTTTCAACTTGAAATGTCACGGATCCCAAGACCGATAATGGAAATGAAGACGAAAAAGTTAGTTTTTTATAGTTTTTTTTTGAAAAATGTTTAGTAGTTTTACACACGGAATCGCAGACCTTTTACAACGACTAAAATGGAATGTGAGATCGTTAATTATTTCAAAGCAGACAAAAACCTTTTGAAGACTATGCGAATTTCGTAAGCTGAGAATGTTAATGTTTAATGAAAGTATAATTCGAAAGTTTTCTCTCTAGAAACTCCTTTACACTGCGTAAATGATGCTCATGGTCTCAAGTAGAAAACCATAACAAGAGAAAAAATATAACCTGAGCCACTTTGAGAAGACATTTGGTAGCGCTGCTTTTCGCCTCCTCGCCTTTATAGTAGTCTGCGGCCTTCTGATAGTGCTCGATGCACTGCTCCTTGTCAGGACAGTCCGTCTCGAAACTGCAAAATGGAAGGATTCTTGAACTTCTTCGTGAAAAAAAAACAGCTCGGCGATGGTGATGTGATTCTTGGCTGCCATGTTGAACCGCCCCATGTCTGTGTAGATTTCCGACGTCTTCAACAGACAATCGATGGCTATCTGAAAGTTTCGAGCTGCCTTTGAAGCTTCCGATCTAGCTAACTTGTGGATTGATTTTACGATAGCAATTGGCGGCTTCGGCGTACTGACTGGCACAGTCGTGTTTCGAATCCCCCTGAAAAAATAATGAACCTACGGTTTCATTAGCAAAAGATATCTCAAGGAATCGACTTCAAAAAACAAAAAAATTCGAGATGCATTTTCCGGTCCTTTCCCTCCGTTTCTTGCTCATGGATTCCTTTTGTCCTCTCAACCTCTTCCCGTTTCGAAGAATTTTCTTTTTAAAGTATACCTTTCAGTTAAATTCCTACTTTTCACATGACCAGAAATGATAGTTGTGGAATGAAAAGGGAGAATGAAAGAAAATGAAATGAAAAACTTCCGGTTGGCGTCCCCTTTTTTTTTCTAAAGTGTTCAAATTTTGCTTCGGATAATCGACTGTCAAGCTCAGTTTTTTATAACCTTTTCTTTTAAGTTTCTACTATCTAGATTGTTCTGAATTCAACGATTAAAGAGTTAATACGAGTTTTCGAGGTCGAAAAGATAACTGGTTTCTAGTCTAATGCACAAAAACTCACTTGAGATCCGTGAAGTTCAGCCGCGCGGACGAAGGCATCGCCGGCTTCGCGCCACAGTTTACCCATTTTGAACAAATTGCCTGCCTGAAACCCTTTCAATATGATTTGAGACTGTAAATGCGATGAGAAAACTTGGATTAAATAATTTATTGAGCATCAGAAATAACCACGAAAAGAATGAATCGATGAAAAAAGTCAATCAAGGTTTCAATTAACAATGAATGAGAAGGTTGTGTTATCCTAGAAAAAAAACTGATACTTGAAAATCACTTCGAAATTGCTCTGTGGACTCTGAAACTCATAATGAAAGACAAGAGCAATCAGGGAAATGAAGTAAACGAATAAAATAACACCGAAATAAGATTTGTAAGCCGTTATATAAATACCCGTTGCATAAAACTCCGAAAATTGAAAAAAAAAACTTGGACACATGTGAATAAAAGAAGCAGTGAAACTGTTATTTTCGTTGAAAAAAAATTATATAGAAAAAAAAAATTTTCTCGGTAAACGTTTGGAATTTTTGAGTTTCGAGCAGGAAGAAGCGAATTATTTTTATTTAGAAGTAAAGCTAACCTCGTCAGAAGCCACAACTCAATAGAATGAAACGTCTAAAGATTGATAAATTTTTTTCTAATTAAAAAAACTTTGCTAAATATTTTTGAACGAAGAAATAAAAAAATGTAAAAAAAATTTTTTTCAAAAAGTTGAAGCTCAGTTATTGAAGATGATTCTCAAACAGCTTCTTCTCAATCAGTACGGTTTTTGAATCGACGCTTCGCCACGGCAATGGTGCGTCGCTGAGAAGGAAGACCCTGGGCGACTCTCCAACTAGAAGGCTCCGGCTGAGGTCGAGATGAGAGGCTGAGCCGCTGGCCGAGCTCATCGCTGAGGTCAGGTCTGCAGCGTTTTCCTTCGAACAGCTGGATCTTGTGGATGATACGCGAGTGTTCGTCTCGCGACCTGCGGTTCGTAAACTTGATGGGACAGTCGACATGGAGGCAACGGAAAAGCAGCGAGCCAGGAGGACTGCGATCGAGTCGCGTAGCGAACATTGGGTCGTGCGACTCCTCGAGATGGATGTCGAGAACGTGTCCGTTGAAAAAGCTCTTGCCGCAGACACTGCACTGGTGGGCGTGCACCAGAGCGTAGTGCTGCTCGGCGTCGAACTCGCTGCGGAGAGAGGCCAGACAGCCCTCGACGTCGCAGCAGAACGCCTCGTCTTCTTGCGCATAATCCGACTCCGACTCTTCATTTACGTAGTTTTCTTGTTCACTTGGCCCCACCTGCGAAACACTCCGATTGGAACATTTGAATCAATCCCCCAGCTAAAAAAAAAAGCTCGAAATTACGCGAATTATAGCTTTCCTGGGGAAAAATCACAAGTTTCTACGAATTGATAAAAAATTAAAAAATTACTTGAATGAAGAGATCAGCTGCGTCTGCCGACCCTCCACCGCTGAATAATCTTCCAAAAAAGCCTCCGCCGCTCTGAAATAAGTTTTTTGACAAAATTACTTCATTTTTTTGAAATTTCCATCTTTTATTATTGAGTTCGCACAAAGCTATCGTAATTGATTAAGTTCGTTAATTTATTTCAGTCACATTCATTGTAATGTAGCTTTTTATCTTAAAAACATCTCAATTTAATCCTTGAAGCTTATATGATGTTTCTTTCGTTTATATTCTTCGTTTCGAAAAAAAAAACTTCATGCGTTGGATGCTTTATATGAGAAAATTGAGAAAAATGTTTTTATTTTCTTTTTTCAACTTTCTCTTGCTAAGGAACCGATGCATAAATAACTTTTCTCGAAGCAAAAAAGGTCCGAGGCTACCTGCTACAAAGAAAAGTTTGAGTGCACTATTCTTTAAGCTCAAACTCAAATCAAAAAAATAAAATTTAAACCTCCTATTTTTGCTGCAAAAATAAATGGATTATTACAAAATGCTGATATAAAAAGATATTAAATTTTTTTGCAAAATTTTTGCAAAAAAATTTTAAAAAAACAGAGAGAAAAATACCCGGCATTTTTTTCTCGGCCTCTTCTAGCTTTTTCCGTGCTTTTGCTTCGTTGTCAGCCATCTGATTCTAAAAACGAAAAAAACTTTGAAAGCGGTAAAGATACAGAAAAAAAGTAGCGAAGGTCGCAAAAAAAATAGGAAAAAAAGAAATCAAAACGAAATTTTTCTCATTTCGTATCTTATTTGAAAAATGACCGTTGAGCTAAAGTTTAAACTATCTGTATCAATAATTTAATGAACGCAATAGAAATTACGAAACCAATGTGAATGTGAGAGTCGCGTGTCGTTTCACACAAAAATCAATGAAAAAACGCGGGCGTTAAAAATGTCGGCGCCAAAAATTTTCGACTTCTAGGATCCTATGAGAAAAATAATAACGGTCATGATCACGTGTATCATCAGTTAAACTAGAAAAATTTTCAAAGAATCATCTAGAAATTTGGAATATTTTTAAAAAAATTTCATATACATAAGTACTTTCCACTCAAATTTTTAACTGTGAACTTGAAAAATAGAAAAGCTGGCAACTGGACACAAATGATTGCTGAGAAAAAAAAGGAGCAGGGCGTCCGACTGAGCGAGCAGAAAAGCTAGTTGCCCATCGATTTTTCGCTGCCAGCCAGAGAAAAAGAATGAAAGTTCTGCGCACAATGATTTTTCCGCTTTTTCCCACCTTTATAGTAAGGTTTCTAGAAAAATTATTTCCAATCACGTGTCGTGCCTGAAGTTGACAACTCATATCAAAATAACTGAAACAATTCCCAACTTGTAAAGTTTTGATTTCTTCAAAACTAGTTGAGAAACTTATAAGAAAAGAAAACTTTTCTAATTTAAATTGATTTGAATAGACATGATAAACTTTTGTTCCAATTTTTGAATGAAAATTCTTCTCTTTGCGCATTTAATGAATAAAACAAATGAGAAAGCGCACTGCAGTCTAAATTACGAAAAAAAAAAACGTAATAATGTACATTAACCTTGAACTTATATTAGTGTGCGTAATACTCTACAAAATTTTTGCAAAAGGCAGTGCCTATGCCGGCATTCTGCAAAAAAAGCTTCATGCACTTGGCAAATCAGTGCTTTGCATTTTGCACAGAAGTACCTCGCATTTTGCACTTTTTTTTCGTCTGTACAAAAGTGAGACCAAAAAGAAATGCAAAATGCGAGGTTCTTCTGGGCAAAATGCAAAGCTCTGACCTGCACAATGCATGCAACTTTTTTTGCAGAATGCCAGCATAGGCACTGCACTTTGCACGATTTCAGTAGAGTAATGTACATTGATTTTGATCTATCACAAAACAAAACTTCGTAGAACTTACAAATGAAAGAAAAAAAAAACAATACAAGAGGCAAAGAAATAACAATTAAAATAAAAACAAACTAGGTTTAGCAAAACTCAATTTGGAGCGGAATTTGATGCCGCTCGGTGAGTCAAAAATCTGTCGTCGTTTAATGCGTCTCGTACGCAAACGGCACTCTTTCATTCGTGCGTTAATCTTTGCATGACATTTCAAAACCAAACATATAGGTGATTCACGGCTGGCTTGAGATATCAAAAAGGTTCTGACACGATAATAAAATAGCCGTGAGCAATATCGCTCTTTGATAAATTTTCCTTCGAATGTAATTTTTAATTATTAGTTCATCTACTAATGAACTTCAAAGGCAAAAAAATTTGTTTAAAATCTCTAATTTATGGAGGGAGCGTTGTGGAAGCAAGACTTTGACGAGATCGCAGCAACACAGGCGAATCGAGAAGGTACCATAATGTGTCCTCAAAGGTACCTCTCAAAATGGGTCGTGAAGACCCCATAATATGTTCATCGTGAGACCTCCGGCATACTTTTTAGCTATATCTGAGCCATCTCGGAGGTACTTCAGAGTCTCCCTCAAGCCCCTCTAATTTTGCTCAAAATCCTTAGAGGTTTACTCGAGGTACCATCGATAAACTTCAGAACTTCTGCGATAGACCTCCGAGGGTCTCGCGATACCCTTTCTCGATTCGCTTATGAAATACCCTTGGCTATATTCTACCGCCCGCTGCGGCATAGTCTATATTATATATTATCGGATATCCGGCTTATTTGAATACTATTATATTAGTGAAATCTTCACAATATATTTCATAGAAGTTTTAGTCCTGCCCTGAGTTCTTTTTAACAAGCTTTTAAAGACAAGACGTCATTCTTAGTAAGAATTTCTTACGATGACTTTAGTACATCCAATCAACTGAATTGTCTTTGGTCAAATGTTTGGATAAGACGTTTATATCCAAACGCATTATACATAACTAAATTAGTATTGTGGTTCCTGGTGCAAAACATGGGGTGAATTTTTTTTTGACAAATTCTCCTTTTCAAGCAACTGAGAGGAAAGTTTCTTGACGTTTTAGAAAAGGAGCTGTGCAAAGTTAAGAGAAATTGTCCTCGAAAAGGTACTCGAAAAAAGTTGAAGAGCGAAATTTTTCTTCTTTGCGGTCGGTCAGTCTGGTATTCCTGCAGCAAGGTCGACCTCATTCTCCCAAGTTCGCCTCAACAATGTCGCTAGTGCTTCTTTCTTTTTTGTACTTCCTTCCGGCCACATTTGCCGCTATCCAGTACGGCGGCGGCTCTTTCGGTAGTCTGGGCGCAGTTCCGTACAGTCCATTCGGAGGCAGTCCTCTCGACGGCCGACAGTACTACGGCGGGTACGGTAACTCCGTGCCGGTCGTCGTTCCTGTTTACTATTCGGCGATGCCACAAGGAGACTCCGGCTCTTGCTGCGGCGGAACAACCGGTGGCTATGGAGTTTGTTTTATTAGCACTTTGCTTTTCGATTCTTGATTATCGATTGTATGAAAATACCAATGAATTCGGGATGAATCAAAAAATAATTGAACTAAAACTAGGTACTACAGAACGGTTACAATTCTTCAAAAAAGCAGGCCCTCAAGGGATTTTTTGAAATTAAATATTGACAATAACTCCGTCAGTGTGCCAGCGGTCGCGCAAGCTACAGTAGGACGGCGCCAAAAATTGAAATGAATTTTAAAAAAATCCACGACGAACGAATCGTGATGGACATATATTGGATAAACACGATCTATTTCGATAGGCATACTCTAGAGCTCTCAAAACCAAACGTTTGAACGAACGTTCAACCAAACATTTTTCAAACTTTTATTGAAACCGACCTTTGAAAAACAAACATTTGTTTTCGTTTGAAAAAAGTTTGATCAGAAAACCGAACGGTCGTTTATCGGTTGGAAAAATCAGTGGACGAGATCTTACGAGACTACAAGATTTTGGATTTTTCCCGAGAAGCAGAAGCTGTTTCTGAATGAATAATAGCCTATAGCCTGTAGTCTGTTCAATTTCAGATGTCAAATCCTCGCTCAAGCTACGCCCCTAATAATGCGATAAACCAATCAGAGAGCGAGCCATCCACAGAGCGTTTTCGAATGACGTCATTGCACTTGACATTTAAAATCCGAACAGACTATAGTCTGAACGCTCTTCCGGAAGAGCGTTAAACTTTTTACGACGGGTTTCTGGGGTAACGTTAAAATCTAAATAAGAAGTTAGTTTATTCCAAAGAGGAATAGTTCTAGTAAAGAAGTCATTAGAAAACTGGCCAGTAGTCCGTAGTCGAAGTGGATTGAAGAAGAATTTATTACGGGCGAGAAAATGATCAGAGCCACAGATGATTTTATGCAAGGTGATAATGTCACAAATTTCGCGACGAATGAAAAAAAACCTAATAATATTTTTGTCGTCCAAGTTGTTTCAAGTTGAGAAAAAGAAGGTTGACAAAATATCACTTTTTGGGTTCATTTGATACTCCTTCGGTTCACAAAGATCATTCGGTTCGCAAAAATCACGGTTCAAAAGATAATTGGCCGTTTTTCGGTTGAAAAAAGTTTGGTCAAAATAACAAACGTTTGTTTTTCGGTCCGAAAACGTTTGATCATAACTTGAGCGATTTGAATGTGGCCGTTTTCGATCAATGTTTGAAAATGAAACTTTTTCGAAATGTTGAAAACAAAATTTTTCATGTTTTCAAAATTTCATTTTTTCAAACGTTTGGTTTTGAGAACACTCGTGGTATACTCGTGGATGCACTAAATTATACTCCGATTCGCTTGTGTCTGTGCATGATTGTAGCTTTCAGGTTCAGACATTCGGCCGCGAGGGCAATTTCCGACGATTTCTACGAGGCGCCACCGAAGGCTTCCTGATGGGCAGCGTCGGAATTCTGACAGGATAACTTGGAAAATATCCATAGATCTTATATTCTTCCAAACTTTTTATCTATTGGTATTTTAATTTCATTTTGAATAATATCCCGTTTGATGATCGGGTCAACTTCTTTTTCTTTTTGCCAAATCACGCGCTGTTTTTCCACACGTTCAAGTTGTTTATCAGTAAAAATTTAATTTTTTTTTCTCAAAAGCAGACTATCGACGATTGTAACCGCGGCAGAAGACGCACCTGGAAAAAATTTTATACTGAAAATGCGGGAAAAAAAAACAGTTTTTACTGTAAAAATTTAAATTCTCTCAGAAATGGCTAGGAAAAGAAAGGATAATTAAATGGTACTGGTTGGCATTTATAGAAATTTCCTTTCTTTTACTGAGAATCTCGAGGTGCAGAAGGTTAAGCACTTTAGTGAAAGGAATAGAACAGAATTGTACTTTCAGGAAAAGGTTTCTTAAAAGGTTGGCAGTACCTGCGATGGACGTACTCCGGTTGGACGGCGACTTGCCGCGGCATCGGAACCCACATGACGTCTCCTGAGCCGACGTCCACCGTTGCCATTCCCTGAATCTCATCCTTCACTCTCAAAAAACCTTTTTTTAGCTGGTTTCAAAATCATCACGAGTTTTTAAATTAATAGAGAATGATTAGCGATTTTTCAAAAAAATATTTTCGTTGGTTCGATGAGAAATTCCAAAGACCAAAAGATATTTTTGTGGCCAGCTGTTAACCCTTGAGGAAGAACGGAACATGGCGAGAGCCGAAGACGCCAAAGTCGCCAAAAGCAGAGCAGTGAAGAAACGCATAGCCTCTGCTTGGAACCCTGAAACATTCAAGCATGATGTTTTGGATACGACGCATCCGCAAACAAAAGATAGGGAAAACCAGATGAATGAGAAAGGCGGAGTCTAATCATACCTCTAATCGACTTTTTTTGTTTCTACAATTCAAAAGTCATATATCCTGTGGAGGTGAGTTTCTTTTTTTTGCGTCAAGTCAAAATAATTCGGAGGCGAATTCAGAACTTTGATTAGAAATAATTTTTCAAAAAAGGAGAACGACTTTAAAAATTGTTTTTCCTGAGATACATTATGCTTGATTACTTGAGAAAATCGTTTTCTTGAAAATAATTTCAAAAAAAAAGCAGGGCAATGAAATATGGAAATCCCATTTTGGAGCATGTTTTCCTTGACCTTTTTTGAAATCGGAGACCTCGTCGCCAAGTGATTTTTGAATTTTAATGTACACCAAACTTTCATTGGACCTCACATGGGAGGTCATTTTACTTTGCGGTTGGGAATTTCCTGAAAATTGGCCAGAACATACCTTGATGTACCAGAAGAATATTCTAGAAGTCTCAACCTGCACAACTCTTTAGTTTTCGAGAAATAAGGGCTCAAAGCCTCAAAATAGTCTATTGTAATGGTTTTTTAAGTGTTTTCTTCGACTTTAAGGCGTCCTTTCTCAAAAACTAGGAGCTTGTGCAGGTTGAAACTTCCAGGATCTTCTTGTTTTGGGACATCAAGAAGTTTTTTGACCAATTTTCAGGAAAATCTTAACCTCAAAGTAAAATGACCTTCCTTGTTGAAAGTAAGTAAGAAACATCTGTGTGTTTTTTTAACAGAGTGCGAAAACAAAATGTTGATTATTAAATTAACACGCCCGATGCATGTGTTCTAATCATCTGAGCAGCCAAAAAACGGAAAAAAAGGACAAAAATAATTGAAATGGAATGTTTTCAGCTGAGCCACATTCCTTGGGGCTAAAGGACGGCTTCAAGCTGGAATAATTTTTAAAAAAAGTGTGCAAAGTATAAACTATCTAAATCTCCACAAAGGCTTCTAAAGTAATTTTCCGTCCGAGGTTTCATGACAGGATACCATGACGAGAAAACACATTTTCACATCAAATTGTTTTTAAAGCTTGGAAAATTTGAGTTAAAAAATAATAAGAGAGGAGGTAATGAAAAGACACGTAGATGGTTCCTTGGTTCTTCGGGGCGAAGAAATGACAAGCTTAAGAGGCGGAGCTGGACGAAGAACGACGAAGCTTAGGAGTAATTCTTTTAGACCAAAATAGACCTTCTCATCTCTTTCCTTCTCCCATTTGCAACAGAGAAAAAAAAAGAAATGTTTATTGGACACGGTTAAAATTCGAGAAATGCATTATTCATCTTGTCTACTGAGCGGGAATTTCAATAAGTCATTTTCTGCCCAGAAACGTCGGATTGTACGCTCCGTAGCCGCCCATCAAACTGCAAAAAGTGATAAAGATAGAATCTTTCGGGAAAATAGACTTTCTGCATCGCCAGTAGTCCGAATAACCGTACGGATTGTACATATCGAACTGGCCCATACCTAGTCCATAGCCGCTGTATCCGCCTGAACTTACTTTCTCATCAAAGATTCAGCTGTTCTTTTTACTTTTCGAATTAAGTTAGTAGTTTCAGTCAATTTTTCGTGAGTTGAAAGACGAGGGAGGGGGAGAAGGGGCGAGACGCGTACGCGGTTCTTGGCACGAGTTCAATTCAACCGCCAGCGACTATTTGGAGAACTCCTTTATAGCTCTTTTCATTTCTTTTTTCATTCTTTATTGATCTTTTTCATTTGTTCAGTAGAATAGATAAGAAAAGAGCGGCCGAGCTTTTCGAATTAGTGGCTGTTGAATTGAACTCGTGCCAAGAGCCGCGTACTCACACGCTACGCGTACCGCCCACTTCTTCGCCTCCGTCACCTTCCAAGTCGGGATGGATTTATTATATCTGAAAACAGCATATTTTGCAATCCAAAAATTCACTATAATTCTCCAATAACTTTTTCCAACACACTTCTGAAAGTACAAAAGGAAGATGGAAGAGCAAACCGATGCCGCCCATGCCATAGCCGACTCCGTACGGATTGAGCATGCCCAACTGAGCTCTCAGGACTCCGAGAAACAGGAGAACAAGCAGAAAAGAGACTCGACTCATCTGGAACGTCGGAAACGGCAAAGTTGTTACAGGTTGCACGAAATCGGATTAAGGTGTTGTATTCAGATTATCGGTCGTCACGCCTCCACGTTGACTTTTCCAGAGAACAAAAGCGAGCGACCTCTTCAGACCGGCTCATCGTTTCGCTTTCAACTCGTTCTTTTTCTCTCTACTTCTATAAGTTTTTTTTTGTCACTTTTCGAGGATTGGAAAATTTATTGAAAAAAAAAGAGGATTGAACCCGTCGTATATATGGCAGAACAAACAAAGCCGCGAAGAGTAAAAAGAGAGATACTTTTTCAATTGACCAAGACTTAGAAGTTTTTCTTCAATAACCTAGAGATCTTTGAGAGAGCATCTTGGAGAACTATTTAACTATACAAGTTATCAAAAAACCACAGGAATTCTTTTTCGACTATAATTAAACAAAAATTATCAGATCAAACGAGAAAGTTCCGATTCCCGCGATGAATCGGCAGCTGACGGCCGCCTCGAACTTGACGTCATGTTACCTAAAAGAAAAAAATAACATTTCTGCACATTTACAACTGTATTGAGAAGAGATTCTTGGCTCAGAACTCTAAAGAAACACACAATGACCTAGATCTGAATTATATTGAAGCTTTGACATGCCGACAGAGATCAGAGAAGAAAAACGAACCATTTTGGTGGTACTGAGCATAAAGATCGGCTGTTTCAACGTACTCGGAGTACGTCGGCGGCGGAGTTTCGATGTCTTCCAAGTCGTCCGCTCTGCAATCCGCTTCCGTTTGAAATATTCAAACCATGTAAGAGAAGAAATGTAGAAACCTGTTTCTTTTTCAGTTTGGGTCCGAAAAAAGTGTGGAGGGTGCGCATGAATCATTGCATCAAGTTTAAAGCCCGTGTAAAGTCTTAACTCGAAGTGCCTGCCCTCATTCCGAGACTCCCACCTAGAACAAGGCCTCCGGGCTTCATCCGCAACATCCGCTACGTTCTGAGCTCTTCAAGGCGCAACTGAACTACGCGCAGAAGAACGAGAAGAAGAACCGTAAGAAACGCTTTCAACTTTATCAACTACACGTTTAGACTTCTAGCTGGCCAAAGGTCGTTGTAGCTTCAGAAGTCCTCGTTCACCGTCTAGTCAATCACATTCATGACTAAAACAACAAATAAATTATATCCTCATGAATTCACAACCGGAAAACTTCGTGGCAACAATTTATGCGCTCCCTGGTAATATGGAATCACAATTTGGCCTTTATTTTTGAAAAAAAAAAGCAGTAGTAGTACTATTTATGGCCTAAAATTTAATAGTTGTTTACCCCTTCAGCATCTTCCCAATTATGTTTCTGTAAATAGGACAATTATAAAAATTGGTTTTCTGAGTATCTTCTATTTTACCAAAGCGGATTTTCTATGAATAAAAACCCTAACTACAGTCGATGAATTGAAAAAGTTGAAAAATTGAAACTGTGACCTGTATACGCGGGATTCTGCTCTGCGGAAGACGTTCTTGTTGTACCAATCTCGCTGACGGTCGAAGGCGGCGTTTCTGTTCGAGAAGAAGCGGTAGATGTGCAGGGCCAGGTAGACGCCGATGACGTCAATGACGAATATCACGATTAACAAAATCAGAAGGTAGAGCCATTCTCCGGGAAACTGGGACAGATAGACTTCGAGCTAGTCTCCCACTAACCTTGTCCGAAGTCTGCACAATGTCTCTTTGAACTGAGTTTACTTTGGAAACCACCATGTTTACCTGAATTAAGTCACAAACGAAATCGGAAAAAGAAATACCGTGCGGTCAAAAGTCGTGAGAGCTGAGTCGAGATTATCCATCAGACCAGAAAGACCTTGGTTCATCTGCGAGAAGAAGTTGATTCATGGATATTTCTGAGGAGTACCGTGAAAAGAGTTGAATTTATATTGTAGATGCCTTCATAAATGTTTGCAATCTCAGCGTCCACTCCCATTTCTAAAAAGAATTGGCCACTTCTACACTCAGAGGACAACTAGACAAAAAGAGAAAGTAATGAATCGATGTGGTGCGCCGGAATGCGTGCGGCCACGATCCTTTATCAAAGGCCAACTGTTTGCTCAGAGTTTGAATCACTTCCATTTTTGGCCGTCTGCCAAACATCTACGACTGTTCGCGCCATCTGAGTGAAACCTCAACACAAAAACTTGATTTTTGATAATTTTCCTGCAAACGTTGATTGAAAAATGTGTGAAATCTTTCAAAAAACTTCGCCACGCCTTGAATGAGAGTTCAGAGAAGAACTAAATGGTAAATAAGTCGGAAATTTCTGATTATTAGGTCAAAGAGTTGAGAAGAAATTTCTGAAACGTAGTTTAGACTGTATTCCTGTACTTCTATTTTGAAACGACGCCGTGAAAAAGTGAAAAAAAAAGAATTTATTATAAGAATCGTGGGCGGATGAGTAAGAAAAAAATGAGATCATGAAAAAAATTTCCGTCAGGGGATTTCATCGAAAGCTGGACCGCTTTCAGTGTCATGCAGAAAAGATCCTGAAAAAATCAAGAGAGACAATTTTCAAGAGGAGTAGATCAAAGTCGGTACCTTTGACCATTTAATTGAGAGCTAGAAAGTAGGCAGCCGCTGGCAAATAGTGCTTATAACAATGAATCCTACGAAATCAAAACAGAACACCGGTTTATCGATCGATTGAGCTTTTGAAGAATAAATAAGTGAACTTGCACAACTCTAGAACGTATAAGGCATGAAAGGAACAATACTTTTCACCGCAAAAAGCTTCGCTAGTGGGGTCTAACCGAAGGAATGACTGCTTTGGTATGTGACGACTGAAAAAGTTGAAAGACAGAAGTAGACGAACGAGATACACAGGTGGAATTTTATTCGAAATGGGTTGGCATCGGGAGAAATATACACGTGGGACTCGAATTTGGCAGTTTTCAGAGCAACGGTGTTCCCAAAATAAACAATCCAAAGTAAACTCTTTGAACTTTTAGCGAAAGCTCATTATAACCAAATGAAACTGCTTTCTTAAGCGAGAATGATTTTTATACCCGACCGAAAAACGTCGAAATTCTTGGACCAAGACGGACAAGACAATTTCAGTGAAGTGGAGACTTCTGGAGACTCTCAGACGTCGAGAGTCCGAGGAAATGGCGTCATCGTGCCGGACTCGACGTTGTACTTGCCGGCGTCGTCGCCGCGTCGTTGGTAGGCCCGTGGACCATCCGAAGATGACGTCACATTAGCTCCGTTCGTATCTGAATCTAGAAATCATTGATTCGGCATTTCTGAAAAATATCTTTTGAAAGTGCGGAACATTAGTTAAAAAAAATAAAACATCTGTAAAACCACCACCTTGCCTTATATTTTGCACATTGAAAAAACATGTTTCCGATTTGCGTGTTCAAAATCTATGAATTTTCTTTTACAGCGAAAAAAAATTGTCAACTCCCGCGAGTGTTGTAGAGCTTATAGACAGTTTTGTTGAACGTAATCAGAATTTTGGAGGGATTGACAGACTTTTTTCTTCGTAAAGATAATTATCCGAGAAGAAAAGCAGCTTCAAAGAGACCGCAGAGCCACGCCCACTTCTCTTCAAAAAGCGCGGCATTCTTTGTCGCAAAAAACGTTTTTCCGTTTTTCATACGCTATAACAAAACAAAAAAAAGAGAAATATTGTACAACTATATCTAATCGACATTGCTTAATAAATATAGAGAGCTTTTTAAACTTCTATATATATATATATTTTTTTGTGATTTTTTTAGGACTGTTTGCGCCCCTGAAAAAAATCGAAGCTTACAAACATTCATAAAACTTCACAGTCGACAGCGACATGCCCATGTTTTTACTTGTTATAAAATTACTGGAAAAGCAATATTACAAAAACCTACAGCGCCACGACTTATTTGAATTCATCGGCAGAATTAATCAAGCGAACGATAGTAATGTCAATATGGAAACATGCACGTTTCATGAATAGAAGCTCCTTTAAAACTGAAGAGGGATCAAACAGAAGAGGATGCAGAAACCTCGTCGGAAGCCGAGACGTCGTGGCTCCTGCTCCATCGCGACGGAAACGTGGCGGAAGGAGCTGTGCCGGCCTCCGGTCAGAAGCGACGACGTGGTCGACGACGGCGGCTGCGTCGGCGGCTTCTCGACGACTACCAGCGGCTCCCTCGCCATCAGTCTCTGCGAACCTGTGCACGCCACACTAGTTCTTCTCACAACAGTTAGAAACTCGAGAAAAGTTCGAAAAAAATGAAAAAGGCTTCACGTGTCAGAGAATACAAAAGAGTTCAGCGAAACGTGATAACGAACAGCTTCTCACAACATGCCATTTCATTTGATTCAATTTTTGAGATTTGGATTTTCCCTGGACTTTCTATAAATGCTCAAAAATAGAGGGGTTTTCTTTTGCTGTTAAGAATCCTGTCAAAACCACTTTTTTTTTGCAAAAATAGCCGAAAAAAACTCTCAAACAACTAGAATCTATTCTTGAAAGTCTGACAAAGATTTTGAGAAAATGGACTCCATTCTAAAAATGGCCACTAGCTTTTGATAAGTTTCATTGTCTTCGAAACAGCACTCGAATACTGGAAAGTGAAAACTTCCAGACTTTTTATCACTTTTTGGCATTTTTTAAATTCCGAACTAAACTAAAACTTTCGGTGTGACACTTCAAAAAACTATTCCAAAAAATAAGTCAACCGATGACCGAATTAATTCTCCCACTTTTGAACTCGATTTGATTAAAACTCTGCTAGACAGTAGGTTTCTAAACTTTCTCATTGCTTCAAAAATCTTTTTTATGAGTTTTTTTTTGTTGTGTTGCAAGAAAATTCTAGACTTTTTCAGTAAGCGGGGAAAAAAAAACAAGGGATAGTGTGAAAGGCGACAGAATAGAGTATCTAAGAGCAAAGTTCTTGAAGAAGTATTGGAAAAACACATCGAAAAGCTTCAAAAAAAGCAGAAAAGAGGTAAACTAACTGTCGTCATCTTTTCTTTTCATTATGGAGTAGATTGCATGGGCTTTTGTGACCAGGTTCAACAAAAGGACGATCGAAAGCAGGAGGAACACGATAATCACAGTGATGAACAGCAGGTAGAACACCCAAGAGTTGGGCACCTCAATAATTCCTGTTTTCTTCCGGATTGTAGTTGTGGAACTACTCTTCGCCTAATTTATTTTCGAGAGGAAACTTGAGAAAAAGCCAAACTTGTTGAAAAGTGTCTCCAACTTGGTAAGTGACGGACCCCGCATCTTTCGCGATGTTCGCCACTGCCTGGAAAATGGAAAAAGTACAAATGTTCACGGTTCATTATTACAACACCATCTAAAAGGTCGATCAAAAAAAGTTTACACCGGTTTAGACCCATTAAAATTTCGAAAAATCCTACTTTTTTCGAAAAAAGAATATATTTTTATTGTCTGTTCAAGACGGCCGGTCGTGTTAGGGTAGTGAAAAGCAACAAAAAAAAAAAAGAATAAAACAAAACAGACTTGGTCGAAGTTGTCAAGGGTGAGATTTATCCGGCCTGTAATGCCAGATATCTGTCCGTTGATGTGCGAGACCAAGAGACTGAGCTGGGAGAGTGTCCCGCTCAGTTCCGATATCGTCTGGTCGACAGACATCTGAAACGTGTGTCTCGAATAGATTTCTCGCTGTAAATCACAATCGATCGAAGAAATTGCTGGAAAAAGGCTGCAGGATACCAAAAGCTGACCAAACAGTGAAGTTTTTTGAGTGAGAAAATACTGGAAAAAAGTAGAGAGAACTGGCGAGTTTATGATAAGTGAAGGGAACAGGGAGGGGAGACCAAAAAAGGAAAGATTCTGCTCCGCTTGTATGGTTGTAACGGCAAAATATAGCGGTGGAGCGACGGCGCGGCGCTCGTAAATTTCCATTGAAACGTTTTGGAGCGCAGATCGGGATTCCTGGAGTACGACAAACAGTTTTCTTATCAACCTCACAAAAGGGTTCAACTGGTAAGAGTTTTGTTAGAAAAAAAAGACAAAAATGTTTCGAAAGGTCTTCGAAAAACGACGAAACTTGTGTTTTATTTGAAGGCGGAGCTCCATAGGAGTTAAGGAAGAAGTAAGAAGCAAAAAAGATGTAGGATGTGTCATCCTTTTCCTCTCATAGTACATTGCTTTGTTCAGCGAAGGAGGGGTACTGTTTGCACAACTCGTGACGAATTTCTGAGTTATCACAGCTTCTATTGCATATCAAAAAAGTCTCCTGAACGAAATTCTCCTTTCATCTGCCTAAGAACACGAGTTTTTCAAAGCAACGATTTGAGTCAGTTCAAACTTTACTCCAATTCACAAAACGAATTAAGGAGCCTGATATTCCCTGTGTAAAAAAAAGCCTAGAATCCCGGAAAAATGTGGGCCTAATTCAAGAATTGAGACGTCCTGGTATTGCGTCCTTCCTATATGGGCTTTTTTGAAGGACCAGCAAAAAAGTTTCAAAATTGACAATCTAGTAGGGATTAAACGACTTGATGCAGAATCTCTTTCAAAACTGTGAAAAAGCTAATTTTCTCATCAATTTATTAGACAAATTTCCCATTTTCCAATTAGAATTAATTTTTAAGTTCCAAATGCTACCTCTAAATCAACGCTAATACCTCATTTAGGATTTGCCACGACTTGAAACAATCTGGCTTGTATACGCCCTCCTGTGAGAAGAAGTAACTGGCGGTTTGAAAGCTGTTGTTCGAATAATTGCAAAAAAGCACGGAGAATGTTAACAAATCGATAGGAACTTCAATCGGAACGCGTGGAATACCTGTAGCAAAGGCTACACGATAAGGCACGGCAGTGACGTGTCGCCTTAGTCATCTTCTGCTCCAGGAGAAGACAAACAGTTTGGTCGGTTCATTAGCAGGATCTTTCGGCTCGGCTTGTTGGACCTACCTCAGATCATTCGTTACATCGGATGGATCCGATTGAACAAACAACAACACGACACCCAATATCTTGCAAACAGCTACCGACAATGCTGATTGTCCTTTCCAACTCTTCAGATGAGCAAACAAAATTCTTTTCACACAGCTTGAACTTTTCAACAGATAAAGAAAAACGAATATTTAAATTTCCCATGGCAAAAATTATGAAAATTTTTTTCACTATTTGCCACAATTTTCAAATGTCTGATTTGTCTGTGTTCTCCTTTCCCTCCTGGGCAAGGTCATAGAAAACAAAAATAGCAAGTAAATACGAGAGCGTCGATTAGTGGCGAAAATTTTCTTTCGTAGTTATGTAAAAAAAAAAACACCTTAGATTCTAAGGCTTAGAATGGATTTTTCAAAATCACAAGCCCGATCGAAAAATGAGCTCGGCAGATAGAAAGACGAGGCTGCGATTTTTCAAAAATATATCCACTAACAAAAACTTGTGATAATAAGACTGCAGTACAATTAAGGTAATAAAATCTTTTTTTAAGGAAATTCGTAGCTTTTTTTGGAGTTTCTGAAATGTTAGCTGTGAGAATGACGGACATTTCTATCAATTAGAAGAGTTTTCGATCGTAAATTTTTTCAAACGTGTAGAATGTCTTGACGTTACCAAAACCAGTACATTCAGTTCAAAAAACCCTTCTTCGAAAGGGACTATTTCTGAGAGCCTCAAACTCCTACTCCTACTCATAAGAATAAACGGATAAGCATTCAAGGACCCAACCAGACTTATTTGATGGAAAAGTCCGTGAAGCTGGTTCAGCTTGAACCTGATCGATGGAGTTTGATATGAAAATGGGATAAGAGGTCGATGACGGCGAGAGGGACACTGTGTGTGCACCGGGAGCACGCGCAGGTCGTCGAGTTGCGCCTATTTGCATTTTCCGCGACTCCGCTTCAACCAGTCTCTCCAGCTCGTCTAGGTTTCCCGTCAAACAGGTGCCAGCTCCAGAAGCTCTTTCGAGGTTGAATTCAAAGTATTCCGAGAAAGTATTTCATCTGATTCGTTCACTTCGAGACGACAGCTCATGCTCTTCGACATATAAACTTTGCTTACTAGTTAGATTTGAACGTTTTCGATTTTTCGCAAAAAGTCAATGATGGAAAAGTTAGTGGTTCTGGATTCAGGTTCTGGATTCCCGAAAAATTTTTTTGTACTGCCGGTGAGATTTTTAAGTTAAAAATTGTCGAAAAAGAGGTTTCACTGTTTTTTTTTTCTAGAATTTTGTTTATATTTCTATTTCAAAACGAAGATCTGAAGTCTTCCTTCGTCGATATTTTTTCTTTGCTGGTTTCCACTTCGGCTTATCTCGGTCCGGTCATATAAAAGTTTGGTGTTGATTATTACGAACAAGAATCTGCACTCGATTCTTATCAGATTGTAAACAAGCTGACCACCTTCCAAACGTACGAAAAGATAATTATCACAGTCTGAAAGTACGGGAGGAAACATGACGAAAGAGGAGAATAGAAATAGATTCGGAAAGGCAGTTCGAACAGCGTTCTGAGGGATGAACTCGAACCTTTGAACGAAGAAAAAAGTGAGGTAAGACTTTGAGACTGTTTGACCTGTGGTCACATGAAAACAAATAACGAGTAGATAAAAAGTACACAGGTTGGAAGGAAGGAGGTGCTCCGCGGAGCCAGCCGTGTGCTCCACGGAGCTACCGCCCGTGTTTGTTCAACGGGACTGAGCTCCGTTCTTGCGTATCAAATAGTAGCCAAATAGCCTTGAGTACGACATTGGACCGCCACCATCAAAGCAGCACCAATTATTATTTTTTTTACATTTTGCCTACCGAGCCTGAAGGTCCAAAGCTTTGACTGAAGTCACATGGATGAATAGATGAATCAAAAATAAGTAAATGAACTGACCCACATTCGGAATACTCTCAAAAACATTTTCCATCAGACCGATGGATAGAAATTGTGATATGTGCTATGAATAAAGTGCAGCATGAAGTGAGTCCGATTACTTTTCGGGTGAGTCCTTTTCCATTCTGTTTCTACTTATTTAAATCCCAAAAAAACCTAATGCTTTGAGAAATTGAAGAACTCGTAAAAAAAAAAAAAGTAAACCCTGTTCACTTTAACATGGAAAGCCTTGCCGTCCGTGAACTCAAATCGAACAGACCGCACCCTGACGTTTTGAGCCATTCCACGTGAGATTTCTACGTTTATAGTTTATGTTGACAAATATAATCATAAATAAAAATTACTACAAACCTATAAACATTATTTTTTTCCAAAATAATTATCTAAATTTTTAATTGATAATAATTTATGCAGTCTCGTCCTTTACCTTACTACTAAAAATGGGCCGCTTCTCTAAAAGTTTTAGATAGTAAAAAAAAGATTTTTGATTAGAAAAACGCAAAGACACATAGTTACTGGAATCCGGCGCCTGAGACGCCAGAGGCAATAAAAAAAAAATCAAGACCATCCGAAAAGAGCAAAGACAACGATCTATCGGGCAAACAAGGGAACTCCTTTCTTCCGCGTGGGAGCTCGCGTCAAGTGTCGGGCTTATTTCGTGTTTTTGTTGGCGTGAGAACTCGCGGATTAAAAAGCCGTCGGCACGATCGGAGGACTTTCCAGGCGGAACTCAAGCAACAGTCTGCGCTCATTGTTTTCAAAATGACGCATGACTCCGGTTGTTTCTGAAGCGTCGATGGGTCATCGTCCTTTCGTTTCTTTTTGGCTGAAACCTCAGCTGTACTGATCGAGAAACATTTCAGATTGAATAAACGCTGTGCGCCTAGACCAACGTTCAACATTGAAGGCGGTTTTCGAAAATAACACTCGTTTTTATACTCACAGAAAAATTAGGATTTGAAGATCTGGGGCTTCTCAAACTCTTTCTGCACACTCAAAGCTCAACTCAAACACAACGATGAACACTTCCTTCAGAATTAAGTCCAAGTGATACTCCATTTTTTTCGAGCAAGCTCGATTGGAAAAATCTTTGCAGGACAAAAAAGTTTGTAGCGAAACGTGGCAAAGTTGTATCGTGGCAGCCTGACTCATTGAATATTCGGTGCCGCAATATCACGTTTTCAACAATTCTCTTTTGCACACTACCTCTGACGCTCCAATTGTACGATTTTCGGAAAGATTCTCAATCGAATGCGAGAAGAAGGTGCAGTTTACCACGCAAATCAGCCCACGAAATACTTGTCCACAACAAGTGGAGGTCCGAAAATTTCTCCTCGCTCCTAGTAAATTTCGTTCTCATGATTGATCTTCTGAGAGAATTCTGTCTACTTGACAAAGTGTGAACTTCATTTACATTCAAAAAAAAAAGAACTTATTGAGACAATAAAACGACGAGAAGAGATCCAAACAAAAAAAAAACAGAAACCGTGTGTAGGAAAGACTTGAAAGCGTGGACAGAAGATATTCAGATATTCTCGATGTCTGAGTCCGCGGATAAGCGTTTCTGGTAGCGGTACTCGGTGATTCTTTCTCCCAACTTTGCGCACAGGAACACAAGCTGAAACTTTCTGTCCGTTCGGAAAAGAAACTAAAAAGAAAAAAAAATGAAGGTTTGAATGAAGATACAATCGCGCAGTTTATCTTTTGAAAGCCGATTGACTATAAAAAATTTATTTCCAGTGCGCCACTGGCAATGCCGATAGAGTTTTTAAAAAGATCATTCCTTGGAAACTGACTAATTATTCTCTTCACAGCCTCGTAAAATTTAAAAAAAAAACCTTAGAAATAAAAAAAATGATCCCAAAAAAGTTGGAATGATCTCAATTTTCAAAACCAAGTAAATATCGGCTACGGAGAGTTTTAGTTCAAATTTCAGGAGACCACACTTTTTGACTTTATTTGGACTGTTCTACGTTTTGAGTGCATAGACTACTTTTTAAGAGATACGTGTTCTTATATGGTTTTCTTATTATTCTCATTATTATGATTATGATTATTATTACTCAAAAAACTTTATTAGATGGAAATATCTTCGTAAGAAGAAAAAACTGACGGTGATGACCACGAGGACGGCGCCGCAAATGGCGAGGACGATGAGCGGGACCAGAGGCCAGTCGTGAGTCTTCTGTCTGGCGATTTCCTGCAAGCGAGTTCTGATGAGCCCTCCGTAGACCGGCTCCCACCAGAATTCGTTCGACGTTCTGCACGGTGCCATTCTGGAACGCCGTGCTCATCACATTCCACGTCATTTCGCCTCGATCTTCAATTTTGTTCACCATCACCTTGCCCTGCAACTTTCCTGTAGATTATATCTGTTTGAAAACACCTCTAAAACTTTCAAAACCATCAGATATAATATTAGCTTTAATCAACGCTCTATTCTTTTTCTTGGGCAATTTGAAAGAATAGCTCACATCCTTTTGCAAAGCCTAGTATGCAATATAGCTGAAATATTTCTTGTCCACGACTTGAGAGAGAAAATCTGAACTGAAAAGTGAATCGTTAAAAAAAACTCACATTGCCACCGAGATCGTTGATTTGACCAGAAAGCCTTTGAATCTGAAAAAAAAACGTTGGTGAACTTTTGGAAAAATTGTAACGTGTATTGCGAGATTTAGTGAACAAATTTGAATAGAAGGTCGAGATATTCACAACTGAGAAGAGTCCGTTTTGGCTGAAACTGTGCTTCGAAATGTCGTTTTGGAGTGAAACAAGCCACAGCAGACTCAAAGATTTTCGTTGTTTCTACTGGAAGCTTGATCCACTTATTTTCTGCTAGGCTTAACTGTATTTCATTTTTTTTTTCATTTTTTCAATTTTAGACTTCTTTTTCCGTTATCAATGAAGTCCCTAGAAAAAAACATCTTAGATTATCGAAAAGCTGAAGCTTGGTAAATGAAAACTCAGTTACAAAAATGATGAAAAGTAGAAAGAAAAGATTGAACCTGGAAGATGACACGGTCGATGGAGGCGTTGGGATTTGGATTGATGGTGGTGGTGAGAAGGTCGACGTCGTCGTACTGCCACATCCGACCACGAGTGAGTCAGGAAGAGTTGCAGTCGGAAAATCGATAACGGGCCGGTGACGTCGTCGACCGTTTGGCAAACATCCAGCGCTCCAGGCGCTTCGTTTGTTTGTCTACCCACCAGGTGTCTCTCCGACGAGAGTATTTATCAGATTATGCAGGAAAGAAACCATAAAAAAGTTTGAGTCTTACCATAGGAAAATGAGAGTCTGTCGTGATCAGTCAGAATCAAGTCTCGAATTTCTTGCAACAACGAAAGAACAAAAATAAAAGTTTTCTATGTCCTTATAAAAAAAAATGAAAAAAACCTATAATTATTCTATACAGCTCATGTTCAGCAATTTTTTTCCATTTATTCTTCCGAAAAAAAGAAGAAAAGCGTCGAGAAAATGAGATTAAAAACTCTATTTCTGCTCAACAGCAGAAGGAAATATTGAAACTAAAAATGGTTTTCGAATTTCAAATAATAAAGAAGTTTGAAAGAGGCAGCATTCTTCAAAACTGAAGAAACAGCTTCAAACGAATCAAATCAAACTGAACTTTCTGTCATTTTCTCGAATAAAGGATTTTCTTTGTGTTTTTGTGGAAAGTGGAAATTTCTTTGTGATTACAAGAGGACTCAAGATTTATCGATCGCCCGTTGCTCAAGATGATTGCGTCCGCCCTTTTCTCAGCTATTTCTTGTATCCATAGCCGCCGTAGCCTCCGTAGTAGCCGTAGTGGCTGCAGGGCGCGTAGGTCGCACAGCCGCAGTCTGAAACTTGCTCAGTTTCCAACTTCTTTGAGCTGAAGTCGTACCGTAGCCTCCGTAGTCGTAGTGAGGACATGGGGCGTAGGTTCCGCAGTTGCAGTTGTATCCTGAAGCTTGGTTGGTTTCAAAATAACAAATATTTCATGGAATTTTCTTTGCAGAAGAATTCCGAATAATGTTATTTCGTGGATGATGGTAGTTTGAAGTTTTATGCCCAAACTTCAAAATATATCTCATAAAGATTTTGGGATTTTCAATCTTTATAACTTACAAGCTTCCGAGAACATATATATTGAAGTCGAAGAGAAAGGCTAATGAATCGGTTAAAAGAGCCTTTTTTTTTTGAAGTTTTCTCCCAAAAACCGATTTTTGTAGAGGAAAACTTACTTTTCACAAAACTCTACTTTCTGTTATCCGCCTCTGGAAATCCATGTATTCCAGGGAAATTCTCATTCTCTACATTTCTTTGAAAATGAGAAAAACTGATCAAAAACCGCGAAATAGTGCGACTTTCCAAATATTTCATACCGTAGCCATATCCGCCGTAGCCGTAATATTGACGTTTGAGACGCCTGGCGGGAACTCCCGAGGAGTCGACCACTTCGAGGAGTGTCCACGAGACCGCCACCAACAGCATCAGCATAGCCAACACTTTCATCTTGAACATGATGAATATTCGCAAAAAGAAGTTGTGTTCTTTCAACTCGATGGTTAGCCAATAAAAATAGTTTTCAAATTATGGAAAACTGATCAAGAGGAAAAAAGTTCTTGATTCAAAGTTTCTTATCGATAAAAAAGTTCCTCTTCGAAGTGAACTTACTAAAGTTTCTGAAAAACTCGAAAACTACAACGGATTTCTGAATTATGAGTCAGAAGTGGTCACCTTGAAGACAGAAGCGTATCGGCGGACGCGAAAGTACCGAAAGCCGCTGCGGAGAGTCCTTTTGAAGCGCAGAACTGTTTGCTCGCCATTTGCATAGCTCTGAGCCGACCTCCAAAAAAACTCGTTTATTTTGAATTATCAAGAAAGTTTGTATGAACAGTTGTGCAGGCAGATCTTGCTTCACTGTAAAACTTTGTTCTGAGCTGCAAATCCCACCAGAAGAGTCAAAAATACTGAATGAACTCACAAAAACCGTATCATTTCGAACAGCAGCAACAAGAATTCGTTCAAGAGTTTTTATTGATTCATTTTTTATTATCCGGATTTTTGAGAGCCATCTAGACCCTAAAAAAATGTATTTATGGAAATTTTTCCGTTCGTTGAAGCTGAAAAAGAAACAAATTCACAAAACAATTTCATTTAATTCATTTCTGGTTTTGGAAGAAAAAAACTGTTGTTGGTCAAACGAAAAGGAAAAATGGGGAAGAAAGCGCGCAAATGAAGATCTCAAGAAGATTTTCCGTCCTGATTACATTTTTTGGTCATCGTTCATTAGATTTTCTTTATGTTCTCATGAGAAGAGACGATTTCTGAATTTCTTTTCGTTGCTGGTAGTATATGCTGGAATTGGATAAAATTTGAAGATATCGGTCGCCGACGAATTAGCCAATTACGCGATGATAGATATCAGCCCAAAGTTTGCTTTTTTGCGCCCGCTTTCTCTTTTTCCTTCGACTTTTACCTGACTTCTCCAATCATCCGAAGACCAACGTGATTCCTGAAAACTTCTCACGCATTTCAAGATCGGATCGATTCCAGATCTCTAGCAGTTTGGAATTGATTGACCTTTCACTTCAATCGCGACAGCTTGAAGAAGTCTACATCTCTTTTTTCTCTCCAAAGAGTAAAAAGTAAAATTAAAAACATTGTTCAGAAATGAAATATTCGCTAAGATCAAGAAAGTACAGACAGACTTGAATGCTTCATTTCGCGGCCGTTAGGAAACGAAAGAAAAAAAAAGAAAGGGTTTCGGAAGAAACTTCTCAACTCGTCTGTTTTATATTTAGACTTTCAATCTATGTTTTCGAAAATATCACGTCAACGGTATCGGATGGGAAATTTCTTTTTTGAAATGATTCATGATATTTTACAATTCACGATATTTTTCTAAGTTCCAAATTATTTTTCCTCTCACTTCAATAAAGAGATGTCTAATAAATTTTATGTTTCGACTGGCATAGATGACTTCAAAATTCTTCAGCAAATAAATTTCAAATTACCGTACTAAGATAAAATTGAAGAACTTTGGAAAAACCGATAATTACCTTTGAAAGATTGTAGGGAAGAATTTTCCATAGACTCGTTATCGTCATCGTATGCCCTTTAAAGACTACCCAAGAAAGGAGCTTATTTCAGTTCGAGTTTTGAAATAGTCAAAAGTTTTTTTTCGAAGAACTTTCTGACAAATTCGGAAATTCTTTACCTGCGAAAATTCTCGATTTGAGAAACCCTGGCCCAATGTTTTTGAAAGGCCCATTCGACCTGTTTTTTCTGAGTTTGCAGCATCTTTTTTCAAAAGCTAGACAGTTGTACAGTTTCAATTTTTGAAGCTCTCCGTTAAACATTTCTATTTTCACTTTTTCAAAACATCAGCAATAACTTTTCATGCCAGTTCTAGATACGCACAAACCCCGCTATAGTTTCTTAGAAACCAAAGACCGTCCAGCCGTTTTACAATCCTCCAGTTTTATTGGACTTTGAGAGGGACAACGACTGTTTCAAGTAATGGGAACTGTTGCAACAAGAGGTTTCCGTACACCGAACACGCTGAATTCCCCAGAAACATCTGAATTTCCAATTTCGTTTCTTTTCTTGGATCCTTCCTTTTTTTCTCCTCGCTCTTTTTTCTCTTCGTCATATGGTTCACACAAGGTTTTAGAACAATAAAGGAATGCCAAATCAAAAACTAAACGACATGAGAACCAGCGAGAGGGAATTTCTTTTTGTTATCATTGAAATGCCACCGTTGATCATCGATTTTTCCTCGTTTCCGGGCTTTTCCCTTTTTGTCTTGTTTCTATTTTTGTAGGCTTCTACTAGTTTTTTGTTCCCATCTAGAAGATTCTAATAATCGTAAATGAAAGGAACAGATTCAGAGCAAAGTGGACGTTATCAGAGAGTTCGAATCTAGGCTTCAGCGCCACGTAAAACTCTCCACCCTATCAATTTTTGATACGGTCTCTGGCCGGCGTTCGAAATGTCTTTATGAAACTCTGCTTATAATTATGTACCTCTTAACAAATATTTTTGATGTTAGTTCTTTTTTTTACAACTTTTTCAATAGTAAAATAGATTTTTCGACATTTTGAACTGTCAAAAAAAAAGGCGAAAAATGTATTGTTTTGAAAAATGAGTCAGCACGGTCCCGTGTCACTTTCGTATTACGTTTGAAATAATATAGTTTTAATTTTTAGAATTCTTATTTCTCTGTTCATTGTTCTGCATCGATGAAAAAGAAAACTGTATCTATTTATGGTTTTCCTTCCCATCAAAAGTCTCTGTGATCTCTTCCCAGACTCCCAGTAAATAGCTAAAAAAAAACTTTTCTAATGTTTTCAGTATTTATTTTGGCAAGACACACACCCAAATTCAAATGAACGATCACATTCTGCAAAAAAATTTCTTAAGATCATAGAAATTTTGAATTGAACCCGCAGCTAAAGTTCATTTCTATCAAAAAAAAATTCCTCTAACATAAGAAGAGCTGCGCTAGGCTGAGTCACAAAAACCATAGAAAGCAAGTTAAAGTACGTATGAAAACCCTTTGTAAAGCCTAAGTTTAACGTGACAAAAAAAACCGTCAGTACAATTTTCAATTTTCAGAAAATGTACTAAAACACTCCGTTTTCTTTCTCAGAAGCATAACTACCCCACGAAATACTAATAACTTTCATTTCCCTTATTTGGTTCTATTTTCTTGTCTCGTGGTATTTTTAGCTATTTTTTGTTTGAAAATGTTTCAAGGTACAAGAGGCCACGAAAAATATGACGCATGTTTTGAGGGAGCGTCCGTGGACAATAGAAAAAGATCATTAAACGAGATTTGATATCTGCCTTTTTCGAGAGCGTCTGTATAACGATTCCTACCACTTGAAAGTTCATATAAAGTCGGATGGACCCATTACGGACCCTCTAATTAGAGAACTGAGCAAATTCTTACACGCGGATCCAGTTTCGAGGAAATTCTTCTCAAAAGTCTTTTAGGTTGAGCAGATAATCTCTTCTGTTTTCAGTGGCTCACCCAGGTCTAAAGTCACAAAAGTTTCAAATCTATCCACGTGTTAAGACCCGCGCAGTACTCTAGTAAGTTTTCTGTTAACTGTTAACAGAACATGTTCTTTAAAATCTGGAGAAAAAAAAGTTTTATTATTTCGTTTTTGAGCCCTTTGAACAGCCTATACTGACCCTTTTTGCTGCCTATTCCGTTTTTCCCTTTTTTTCTTGAGCCTTTTAAATCCTGACAAAAGTAGGAGGTTTGATGAAGGCTTCATACAGAATTCTTTTAGCGACTTTTCCAGTCGCTTCCTTTTTTCACTCATTTTCGGTTCTTTCCAGAGCTTCGCTTTTTCAGAACCACCAGCAGAGAGCCACGGCTCGCATTCCCATGTCTCTTGATGCGGTCAGTTACCGATATTACTCACAATTACCAATTTCAAGAAGAAAAAAGATGGGGGAAAATTTTTTTTCAGTAAACTTACTAGGGAATTACCTGCTCAGCAAGATTTGGCGCACGGTGCATTCTGCTTTTTTGCACGCCAATCTTAGACCGGCCCGTGCAATTTCGGTAATCTTTTGGTGCAGAGGTGTCAAAACAGTGCTTTCAGCGTGCGGCACCAAAAATACGCCGCAATTGCACGGTGCAGGCCCAAGTTTAGCACTAGAGTGCAAAAAAGCAGAAGAAGAATGCTCCATCCTTACTGAGGAGGTGGGCTGGCGCCGTGGCTTGAGGACCAGTCTCATGATTGACTTTTTTAAGTAGGTTTGAGGGTTCGACCCTTGTTGAGGGCAAATTTTTTTGGCATTTTTCTATAATCTGTGTGCCACGACTTGAAATTTCATCGAACGACATTCCGCTGTTCAGCTGCGTGCGTTCGCGAAGCGTCTTTCGAGTCTAGGTCTTGCTTTCAATTGATTTTTATTGATGTGGTAGCGCAGGAAAGTAGAGTACCTTAATAAAAGAAAGAAACAATCAAAAGAGCGACAAAGGTTTGCAAAGGCGCGCAGCGGCACAGCGGAATGTCGTTTGGTGAAAACCCAAGTCGCGGTACACAGGCTATAAAAGACAAAAACCTTTGTAAAAACTCGAAATTCGAAAATATTTTAAAGTTTTATCAATATAGATGGCCTTTATTCACTCGTTCCGTGTATTTTCTTCACTCGAGGGGGCAGCTCTCTCACTTCAGTCGGCCGAGGCTGCCCTATAGTGTACACGGCGTCCGTGCCCGAGCACCACCATCACCGCCGTACCGTACCCGCGAAACTGAGGGATCTAATTGTGGAAGAACGAGACGAATGACCGTAAGACCATGCTTTCAATTCAATCGACTACACGTTTTGACTTCTTTTTCGCCCAAGGCGGTGTTAGTGCCGCTCAAAAGAGCAATTTTTTCACCGCCTAGTCGATTCCATCTGACTAAAACAACCAATAAATATTGAAGTGAAAAAAAGATTTTTGAATAGACTCTTCCTGCCAAAAGTTCCAAGGAAAATTTACCTAAATTTCCAAGAAGAAACGCTGGCAGACATCGTTGTTGTTCAGAAAATGGTCTTCATTCACTCTTTTGATTTTTTTCGAGAGCGAACGAATCAATAAAAAAGCGTTTTCATTAATTTTATGACTTTTAAAAAGGGGCTTTAGGAAAAATGCAATAAAGATTTGCACTCAACACGGATCGCACTCACTCAAAAAAGTCAATCATGAGACTGGCGCTCAAGCCACTGCGCGAGCACACCTTGGCGAGAGGGGAAGGTCCAGGCGCGTTCAAGACTCTTCCCGGATTTCTTCAGGATTTTTTTCCCAGAAGCATATGCGATTCAAGAGATGATCTCTCTTGTTTCTAAGATCTCTCGTCCAGGCCTGAAAGCCACCGAAACTTTAATTCGAAACTCGTCTCCGAGTAGTTCCCTGGTTAGGACTAGACTAGACCGAAATTAGACATATCAGTGGCTATGACCAGACTCTCTTTTCATAAAGATGAAATTGCATTGGAGCTTCCCAATATATGTCTAGAGTCGAGTAAAAGAAGAAAAAAAAACTTGACTTGGGGCTTCAGACGCTAGCCAACCTGAACCAAACGATGACGCAAGTTGCGCATCTTCTGCGGGCCATCGAACTCGCCGTCATCGTCATGGCAGTTGTTATAGCAATCACGCTCATCGGTAAGAAATCATAGTTTCTTTTTTAATCATTTTGATTAATTACAGCTTGCACGGGAATTTTTTACTACTCCAAGTGCAAAAAATACAGGATTCTTGGCGAAAAAACGGAAATCGTCGTTTCCAGGGACGGAACCTACAAAAAGGGAAAATACGACCCAGAGGTTGTATGATCCCCGTCTGGGCGTTTCTCCCACATAACTTTCTTGTGCAAACGAGCCGCTGTGCATTACCAGCTTGGACCAAAAATATTATGGGTTATCCTCTTTTTTTTACTTGCTGAACTGAATAAATGTCGCATTTTGTAACATTTTATATGAATAAAAGCAAAAACCAGTAATGCTAGAGGAAAGGATGCAAAATAAGAAAAGGTTTTTTGTTGACGAAATTAAATTATGAACGCAGTTATTGAGATAATGCATTTTCCATTAGAAAACAAACAAGTGGTGAGAAAACACGAAATGAAAGCTGTAAAATGCACAACCGAGTGATTATCGCATCTGGATGATGCCGGCATCGCGGAGTTTCAAAAGTTTCTTGCGAATTTCCGGGTTCTGGAGATGCTCTCTAACCGCTCCGGGATCCTAAAAGTCTTTGAATGTAGTGATGGAAGTGTATAATGAGAAACAGTCCGGAGAAGAGAAAAACGCACCTGGCTCATCTGTTCTAAAAGGATACGCATTCCAGGATCGCGCAGAATTTCTTGCACTTCCGGATCATTCATCAAGCGTTCACGTGCCTATGAGAAAAAAGCTTAAAACTTCAAAAAATTCGAGAAAACCTTTTCTGGGTCTTCGTCATTGTTGCGGATGCAATTTCGGAGTCCTTCCTGAGCTTCGGCGTTGGTCGAATCAATGTTGAGGGCGTCTTCGTAGGCCCTCTGAGCCTGGCTCCATTCTTTCATTGCTGTCAAAGCCGCTGCTTTGCGAATGTAACCCTTGACTGAAAACAGAAACGTCGTCTTGTTGTTACAACGCACGGCTTGATACGAAAATTGATAGGTGAGATACTCACAAAAAGGGTCAAGGAAATGAGGGAGATAAGGGCATCAAATATACATTTTCAAATTATGTCAAATCAGCCCGATCTCGATTTAAAAAAGCTATCTTTGAAACTCATCTTCTTGTTGTAACTACGGGCACTACGGAATATATGATTAAAAATTCATTTTTTTTTAAAACAGGTCTAGTTTGTTTTATATTCAAATGCAACTGCCTTGTATGATCCAGCTATGATGAACATTAACAATTTTTTCCAGCAAAAATGATAGGACGGAGAAAAGCAGAAATTTGACTATTTTCAAGCCTGAACTGTTCATTTTCAACAAGCTTTTTTCTCGGTACCTCATCGGGTTCGATTCATGATTCAGCAGAGAACCTACTCTGAAGACTGAATAAAAACTTTCAAACTTTCAAACTTTCATTGGGTTCAGCAGATAAGAAATTCTGTTTTCAAGTACCCTTATCTAGATCTATAAACCACCAAAGTTTGAACTTTATCCGCGATTACCAGTTCGCGTTGTTTCCCTAGTGAGCCTTCAAAAAAAAAACTAGTAATTTCGAATTTACAATATAACAAAAAAAATCAGCTCGATAAAAACTTTCGTATCAAAATTATGATGTTCGTGGTCTTGAATTTAGCCAAACTTCTTGAAATTTTCTGATATGCTGACCGCATTTCCTATATACTCGGGCAAAGTTACAATGGTAGGTGGTGGCCAAAAAGGAGAGGCTCAAAAAAGGCCGCAGAAGGACAGAAAAAAGAGTCTCTTTCCATTTTTTTTTAAAGAATCATCAACGACTCAAGAAATGGTGGAAGAAGGGAGAGGCAGCAAAAATGGTGCATAGGAGCTGATAAAATGGCGCAAAAAATGAGCCTTTTTTTAACCCTAAAAGGAACATTCCTATGGATCCCTTTTCGACATTGCCTATTCATGCGGTTCCCGATCTTGACAACTCTGCGCCGAGTGGAAACAAACGGACTGAATTTGGGGTCGAGCTTGATGCAAGTGTCACAGTCCTCGAGGGCTCGTTGGAACTCCATCAGCTTTGTGAGACAAGCGGCTCTGTTCGAGTAAAGAATCGCGTTTAGCGGATCTCTTTTCACGGCTTCGTTGTAATGACGCATGGCGGTCGGATAATCGCCTTTCTAAAAAAAATTATCGCACATTTCTTCTTTGAAATTGGAAAAAAAAACCTTGAAAAATTCATTTCCTGACTCTTTTTCCTTCTTGGCGATTTCAGGATTGACGTAAGCCAGTCTTTCTGCTTCCTTGATGTTCTTCTCCAGGGCTTTCGCCTTCTTTACAAGTTCCTACAAACATTTTTCCAGGTCGAGTCGTTTCAATGTGAGTAATCAAATATTTCCAAAGAATTATTTTTCATGATTAATGATATATAGCCGATTGGCGTGTGTCTGCGCTCTCCAACAACCAGGCACTGTTTCTTTTTTTATCGTGCCAGGTCCTTTAATCGATGGCTCAAGTCATCCGTTAACAAGGGAAAGTTGAAAAATATACGTTGAACTTCTAATCAAAATGATCAAAATTACAAAAAATTATATACAGTAAGTGATTTACTATTCCACACTACGAGGATGTTTGTGAAAAGCAAAAAACCAACCGGATCCCGAAACTCGGACAGAGATTTCTCAAACCAGCTCAGGGCCTGCTTCAAGTCATCCTTCTTCTGGAACGCATTGCCAGCTCTAGCCATCGCTCTGAAATATCGAGGATAAACAGCAGAAATCAATTTATAATACTTTGCAATTAGCTTGTAATCCGCTCGTGTTTCACGACCAATGTCGATCGCTTTATTGCACTGTTCCACACATTCATCCAGTTTGCCTTCTTCGTAGAACACCGCTAAATATACGAATTATCTCATACCTGAGCTGAATACTGATTCAAACACACTGGCTAGAGGATCATTCGGTCGTTATCGTAAATATAATCCTGACTTCTACTGATGCGTGTGCCTCGGTAATGAGAGTCATGAAGCACTCAGAAAACCCCTAGTCTAAACTGCCTCTTTCTGTCGAAAAAAAAAAATCAACTCCAATGTGTTTTCTAGGGGAAAAAAAGAAGTTTCTACTTGGGCAAATAACACGGTAAAGAACTTAGAGTATGACAAATTTGGAAATTGACTAGAAACAAAATATTCTCGAAAAACACAAACAAACCTGCTTTATTTGTGTAAAACGTAATGTTTTTTGGATCCAACTCAATGGCTTTATCGTAATGTTGGTGCGCCTTGCCAAAATCTTTAGCTTTGTAGGCAGTGTTGCCGAGATCTTTTTTTCTTGAAGGGCCTGAAACCATCATTAAAAAGAAAAAATTAAAAAAAAATATCCTCACAGCTTCGGTCATTCTCTTATTTTCAGGATGCTGCAGAAATCAGAAGAAAATTAATCCCTGAAAAATATGACTTTAACAAAAAGGCAAAGAAGTGAAGCGTTATTAATTTCCGAAAAAAAAAAACGACAACAAAACGCTAAGAGTTGTGTAACTCAAAATACTTCCTAAAACTGAATAAATTAAATTAAGGACAAAAGGTTTTTTCAAAAAGTCTCTGGTAGTTTTCATCAGATTTGTTCCAAATAATTTCCATCAATTTATTTTATGGTTGTAACTAAACAAAGCATTTGGAGGAATTTTAGAGCACAGCAACGTATAGAGATGAGACCTAATAACATATTACATTAGAAACGCCGTGTGAGTGATTTTCGAAAATAGCCTTAAGAGAGAAAAAAGATTAGGAGATCACAGATAATTATGGATTTTGCGAAAAGCACTTTGAAAACGGCATTCATCTGTTGAATTTATGCCGTGTTCAAAGTGATTCCGCGAAATTCGAAATAGCCGTCAGAGAAAGAGAAAGATAACTAAATTTTGGAGGGTCAGAGACCATTTTGCATTTCGCGGAAATTACTTTGAACACGGCATTACATTATCGCAATTAATTTCGAACGCGGCAAAAGATGGCTCACGAAATGGTCAAAAACGCGCCACAGCGAAAGTTCGAGAACCGTGTAGAAAATTCGAAACGCGCGTTCACGCTCTGAGCAGAATTGACTTGGCAATTTCATTTCTATACTAGTTTAATTTTTTTTTTAAATAATTTCAAAAGATTGTGTACCAGTCTAATAAATATAAAAAAAAGCCAGTAAACTTTTGTAAATTGATTTCCGCTAGAGATAAATTAAAATTTCAAAACTGATTTTCGATATTACGATGTCTAGATTTCTGACTTGAACAAAATCTATGATTTTATTTTTCCAATAACCATAAAAATATGGCGTCTCTTAGAACTTAAATATCTAAATTGAGAAGGAAGTTGAGCCAATAAAAAATTTAATTGATCAGAAGAAAAAAAAAATGAGCGAAGGAAATTTTGGAATATTCGGCAGGCACCATAATTAAATTTCAATCTGGTGTTGACGGGCTTCGATTGTATATAGAGCGAATGTATTCGAAACTGCTCAGGACACCGGGGTTGACGAAACTGAAAAAATTCCTGTCTCTCTCTCTCTCTAAATCTTTCACAAATGACCGAACAAAACACGGGGAAAAAAACCTAATGTAAAAAAAAAAACTGCGAGCGCATATCTTCGAAGCATCCGTCATCCCCGCCATCTCCTACGCGACTGAAGTTTGGCCTGACACGAAGAACACCACGACCGCCCTACGAACATCTTACCGCGCATTGAAACGTGCGCTCCTCGGTACCACTCGCTTCGAACAGTGGAAAAAAGAACAGACGAGCACAGACCTCCGTCAGCGGTCCCAAATCCAGGACCTCGAAGAGCACATTCAACGCGGGAAGCATCGCTGGGGAGGCCACGTCATTCGCAGACAAGATGACCGCTGGTCGACGAGAACGACCCACTGGATCCCGAGAAACATCAAGCGCCCACCGACCAGATGGACGGACTACTTTCGCAAGAACATCAGTCAACCAGGCCGCCACTGGATGACCGTTGCGCAAGACCGGGCCGCCTGGAGAACGTGTGGTCCACGCTGAGAACATCGCCAGCGAAGATGGACCATCAAAGTATCAAAAGTAAGTAAAAAAAAATATTATATGAAAACTTTTCGGTTGATAAGTACTTTGAGTTGTCCCTTTCTCTGTTCGTTATCTTTGAATATAACCGCAAAGAAAGTATAGACCAAAAACCCAAAAATTTAAGTCTGTTCAAATTTTGAATGTCAAGTAGCTAACTCCGCCCCCAGGGGTACAATATCTTTCGCGTCAATGTTTTATCTCCAGATGACGATGAACCTTTAATATGGCTGCATTTTTCGACTTTTACTATATTTTAGAACGAAAAGGATCAAAAATCATCCCGCGCGATTAAATATAGACTCGAAAAGGTACTGCGCCATCCGGTTGACATTTAAAATCTGAACAGACTGTACGCTTCTCTTCAATTGATAATTTTTAACAAATGTGAGATAAAAATGAATTGAACTTCGTTTGATTTAAGAATGAAAATCCGAAATGTGTGAATAAAAATTTATTAACACACTTTGTGAATATAAATAAATAAAATAAAATATTACATGCCCATGAAATTTTTAGAAATTATATATACTCGTTCAAAAAAAGTTTATAAAGACTCTGAGAGATATTAAAAAAATTGCGGAAGTTTTTTTAATGAAGTATTTCACCCGTCTTGCTATTCGAATCGAACAATTTTCAAATGAGTTTTAAAAAAATCAAAGATCTGTGGTAGGAGAGTTTCGGTCCAATCGATTTAGCAAGCTCTCCGCTCGATCCAAAATAGCCGAAAGTCGTTCCTAAAAATTAACAGAATGAATGAAAAATTAGAGAAAAAAGTAGAACCTGATTCTCCAGTTCTTTTCTGTACACGTTCATCTTGAGAGTACCAAGATCGTTCAGATCTAGTTTCATCTTTTTCGCAAAAGGCATACTAACTGGTTCGCTAGCTGGTGCAGGCGTTTCAACATCGTCTACAAAAAAGAAATTGGTAACAAAAAAAAATAGTAAACCTTGTTGCGTGTCAATGAACTCGTCGTCATTTTCCATCCCTTCTAACTCCTTGTCTTTGTTGACGTGAATCTGCAAAATGAAGCTGATCGGACATAAGATGATCATCATCTGCTTTTTCTGATGAAAAACTGCGTGAAAAAATACTAAACGCGTTTTGCCTCTCAAAATTGTTATTCAAACTGACTTTTAAAGCTGAACGACGCAAAAAATAAAAAAATAAAAGTAAACTAACACGTATAGGTGTAAGAAGGATTCATGTTTATCCCCCTTCGCATACATTCTATAGTCTGTTCAGATTTTTGCAGCTAACTCCACCCCCATGGCTACAATATCTTTCGCGTCAATGTTTTATCCACAGATCACGATGGCCCTCTAATAAGGCTGCATTTTTGATTTCTTTTTCTATCTTTTACACTAAGAATAATGGACGACATAAACGCGAGGTCGGTGGCAATACATTGACGAACTCGCAAACATGTCGCTTTCTTTCTAGGCGCGATCTCGCATTCTTCTCGGCGCGACCTCGCATTTATCTTGCATTTCGGAAATTTTCAAAATGCGAGCTCGCGCCTAGAAAAGTGCGAGCTCGCGCCCAGATAATGCGAGAAAGAAAGCGAGATGTTTGCGAGCTCGTCAATGTTTACCGCCAGCGTCTCGCGTTTATCTCGGCAGTTATTCTTAGGATGGTAGGAAGGAATTTTGGGTTCCCGAATATTCGTGAGCGTTAATTGTGCATACACCAATCTTGGAGGCTCGAATCTTTGAAAATTTGAATCTTTGCAAACGATTCTTGGGAATATTCCCATCTTTTTTGAGTTTCCTTCTTTTTTTCCTACTTTTTTTTTCCTTTGTCTTTTTATTGTGAAGATGCCGTGTTTCGACCAAAAATGAACACTGTATGATTTTTTTCAACTAACTTTTTATCAAATAATGCGTCTTTCTCGCATACACGTAGTCAAATATTCGCTACAGAACGGCTACCACATTTTCATTCACTCTGTATATAATCTCCATCAACTTCTGTTACCAATATATTGGAAAAATTATAAAAAATCAGAAAAGAGGTGAATATTTCCAAAAATCGTTTGCAAAGATTCAAATTTTCAAAGATTCGAGCCTCCAAGATTGGTGTATGCCCAATTAACGCTCACGAATATTCGGGAACCCAAAATTCCTTCCTACCAACGTTCTTAGCGTAGATCAAAAAAGATCAAAAGTCCCGCGCGTTAAAACATCGACGCGAAAGGGTACCGTCTCGGCAGGGGCGAAGTTAGCTGCTTGATATTTAATATCTGAACAGACTATACTTCCACTCACTTGACCTCCTGTGAAATGGTTTTTTCTAGTTACTTTGTGACACAATTTGAAGAAAAAATTCAAATGACAATTGAGAACGTTTATTTAGGAAGATTTTTGAGTTTTAGGTTCGGTTCGTGTAGCCTGAGTGTTGTAAGCCGCAACTAAACCGATTTCCATGTTTTCCGTCAACTTTCTCTATATTAGGTTGGTGAAAAAGAAATGAGCCATTTGTTCATTTATTCGTACAGTGCGGGACAAAACTATAAGACCCCCTGCTTTTTCAAGTTTTTGGGGATCGCAGGCGTCCAAGAAAAAAACTGTTGATATAAATATATTTTACTACGATACCAACGTTCGTCTCTGTCGGCTGTTGCTGAAGCAAATGAGAAATGAAAAACGAAAAATCAAGCGGGACAAAACTATAAGACCCCTACATTTTTGATTATATAAGAGTATCACCGATTATCTTTCCACAGTGAGAATAACTAGAAATATACTATGTTCATTTTAAATTTTGAATTTTGGGCTTTCTGGCTATTTTTTAGAGAGCAGCCAGAAATGTGTGTTTGGTTATAGTCTTTTCAGATTTTAAATGTCAACTAGCTCACTCCGCCCCTGCTGAAACGGTACCTTTTCGGGTCGATTTTTCATCGCGCGGGACGATTTTTGATCTTTTTTGATCTACAAGATAGAAAAAAAAGTCAAAAAAGGCAGCCATATTAAAGGAGCATCGTCATCTGCGATGAAATATTGACGCGAAATATATTTTAGCCTTGGGGGTGGAGTTAGCTGCTTGACATTCAAAATCTGAACAGAGTATACTACAGTTTGAGAATGATTTTAAAGCAAAAAGAAAAACCCCGATCATACATTTTTAAAGAACTCGAAAAAAAAAAATGACTTTTTGATGATCAGAATGGGCCTTCCATTGTTTTGAGGCTGAAATTTCGAGAATAACTCCATTTTTACTAATAATAATTTTTTAGAAAGTCGAAAGTAAGAATGTTCTTACGGAATTCTGCTTGAACATAGGGTTAAAGGGAACCGGTTCTCCTTTCCAGAAATAAGTAACCACTGCAAGGAAAGTATTTCCAGGAAAGTCTCTGTAGAAATTGTTGTCAAAAGATCTTGGAAACAAGCAAACTCAGCGCCGGTGCGTCCTTTTCCGGTGTAGATTTTTCGCACAAAACGTTTATTCACTTGGGGATGTTCGTATCGTTTCATCAGGACCTTAAGAAACCTATGGCAAAGAATATATCAGACACCTCACTTGAATATCATACTCCACATTCTGGGGTAGCTTATACGCTTTGTCCACTCTCACAGCATCGCCATTTTCTTCGTCAATCTTGTAATAACTGAAGTAGACACTCTTATAACCGATTCACGGGACACCTGGTTTGGGACGCTAAAGGGGCGTGGCCTGCCTGCCCTCTCCTTCAACCAAACACTATCTTTTCTTATCGTGTAAGCTAGCCGTGAATCAGGTATATAGTCGATCCTCTTCGAATTTAAAGCAAGTGGGTAGATTGACAAGGATGAAGCGTTGCGTGCGCGTCGCGGCTTCTTTGCGCAAAACTGGAGTGCAAAAGCGGGCTACTTTTTCTGTGAAGTTATCCTCTTTTTTTAAATACTGTCTCGATAATTTCAGTTTTGCGAAAATTCATACGAAAGAAAAAAGTGTGAAAACAATATTCATTTTTTCAATGATTAAAGGCATAGGGGCAGTAAAAAAATGGGGTTTCAGGTGAAAGCAGTATCTTGTATAGTTTTTCTTTGCGAATCCAACGGTGTACTCAAAAAAATTACAAATGTGACATCTCTAGTAGAAAAACGCAATTTCACTTTCGCGCCTTTAATTTTGAAAAAAGCTTTGGATCGGTGCTCAGACAACTGATTACAGTAGCTGTGCACGCGATGTTGCGGACGTCTCATTAGACTCGCATTTTATGAGAAATAACCGGATATCTGCTTCAAATGAATGGTTTCTTCTCTGGAAAATCGATTAAGAAAACAGAAAACACACATTGATAATAAAGAAAACACAAATTAACGCTATCCCAATCGAAACCTGTGTAAAATCATCATTTTTCACCAGAAAAGCATTTTTGCGATCAAAGTTTGCAAATTATACATGAATAGAAAGCTGTTGTGACGAAAAGAACTTTGGTAACAACAGAAAAAATTGAAATTTGCAAGAAACGAAGAAAAAAGCGAAAATGCGGAAGATGGCGAAGCCTGTTGTCCATAGAGCAACTTTACTGCAAAGCGCACTTTTCGCGGGAACTCAAGCTTTCCTTTCTCCGATTTTGAAGTATTTTTTCTTCAAAACTAGGAAGTTCGGTACGTTCCCAAGTTTACCGTTCGATTCGCAATGAAAAACTTTACAAAGTACTGCTTTGAACTGAAACACCGTTTTTTACTGCCCCTATGCCTTTAAGTTTGAGATCGAGTTTTCCGGCAAAAAGCAGCGTCGCGTACGTATTAATTCTCCCTTGCTAATCTACTGATCTCGCCTTACAACTCGGGAAAAATTGAATATATACTTTTTTTTTTCATGAACAAGAGAAAAGAAATGAACGGATACCGCGAGTGACCGGCCGGTTTATTCCAAATCCCATTCGAGTCTCTGCGTATCTCAAGATGAGTCCACATCCTTTTTACATCTATCACAAAGGTACCGCATGAACGAAACCCTTGTGGAACACTTTTTGAAACCCTGAAAACAGAAAAGTGAATAAAAATTGCGATTAGCTAACTTAGAAGGTTCGACAATCGTTCCTCCTAAAATAATAGATGCAGCATCATTAAAATCAATAGCCCCATTGGCGTATAGAGGGCACCCATCAAAATATTCAGAAACAGCAGCAGGAAGAAGCGGTAGATTCGAGTTAATCTAAGTATAAAAAAAAAATTATGTCACTTCCTTCGAATTTTGTAATATTATGTTTCGCTTTTCAGTATTATTTATTATTTATGGAGAGCAAGAAAAACTGTTTTTCCACGCGCGTCATATTAGCTTTGAACGTGTAAATAAAAGATGCGATGTTGAATAGTCGTAAAACAGGAATATCCTATGCCCGCTTTATAAACTTACGAAGGAAGCTTCTTCCCACGATTTCATAGAAGCTGGTGGTGCGAGTGAATTCGCAAATCGCCGGTAAGCTACGCCAACTGAAAACAAATTTGATAAATAAACAAGGAAAAGAAAACGTACGTTGAGCTGGAAGCTCGGCACGAGGTCCTCCGACCCAGGCATACGTCACAATTGCTATTCCGACCGCTGCTTTCCGATGTGCTGGTAGAAGCGCGGTGTAAATCTCAAAAAACGATGAAATGAAATACTAATAACTAGAAAAACCTTTTTCTGAAACTTTCCCGTTCCGTTCTTCTGATCAATAGTTGCGGGATGATCATATCTGTAAAGAGAAATTGAGAACCGGAAGAGACAGGATTTCCGACTTCTTTAGCATACACTTGAAAGTATAATGCGTGGCCCAGGACAACAATCTTCCTCTTCCATTGTCCGCTCGTACTAAATTGCCATCGCGTTCTTCCATATAATACCGCACTTTACCACTCGGTCTCCCTAATGAACGTTCAGAATGAAGTTTATCCAGTCGTGTATACATACCCCAATTTCCAAGGTGGTCGAACAAAACTTCATGCCGACTCCGCAAATCCCGGATATCAACCACAAAAGTGCCTTCATCCCGAAATAACTTTGGAACCGTACGGCACATTTTTTCGCTAGGCACACTCTGCGCTCCGATCAGAATTTCACAGGCTTCCTAACAAAGATAACGTGTTCAGGCCATCGAAATATAAAATCTATTTCTCCAAACTCACTTGAAAATCAATGGCCGTGTGCCAATACATTGGCCATTCTTCGTATTGTCGATCACAGGTTTCTCGACGGCGCCCTTCACTTGGCATCATTGGAGTTTCGGTCACCGATGTGTCTATTTCCTCTAGCGAGTTTTCATGCTCCGACTAAAAAGCACAATGAACGAAGTTAATAAATTCGTTCCGTTTAACATCAACATCTTCATTGTGATCCTCATCTTTTTCCAAATCCAGAACATCCTCTGTTTCATCAGTGCCGTAAACTTTGCCCACATCTTGCAAGAGAGACGATGTTGAAGCCTGGAAAATATGATAAAAAGGCTCAAAAATTTATCAAACAACTTTCAGTAATGCTGATTGTGAAAACACTTTGAAAGCATTTTTCATTGTCGGGAGATTCCTGTTGAGCTCTCCTGTGTCTGCTGAACCATACTGAGTTCTTTTTTCGAGCTCTTCTGTTTCTGAAAATAAAAGCTTTCTAATTTAGATTTCATTCAGATGGTCTATATTTAGTTTATTGGAAACTGAATCATCAAGTGAGCCAAACAGTTAAGATTTCAGAGCTCAATAGTATTAAATGAAAAAAAAAATCAATAAACATATTTCAAGATACATTACGTATTAGAATTAACCTTCACGCCCTTTTCGACCAGCTTTGACATCCAGAACGGCATTTGCTTTGAGACTTTTTGCAGTTAGAAGAACCTGAATCTTTTCGATTTTTATTTGCAGTCGTAAAAAACTACAGTTGGCGGAGCAGCGTTATTCTTAACGAAAGTTCCCCGACCAACTCTCACAAGATTTATTGGTGTTTTGTGCGCCAAAGGAATGTCCCAACCATTATTTCGAGCCTGTAAAAATTAATGCTTCATTGAAAAAAAAAATTGGTAACTAACATCTTCGATATCCACTTCGCAGATTTCTTCTTCGACAACTTCTTCAATAACCTCATTGGCGGGGGTGTAGGGCTGATGCTGAACTTCATAGAAAACTGTATTACCATGTTCGTCGATGTGTAAAGAACCAGGGGGTGCTGAAATCGGAAATTGATGTTAATATATAGATAGTTTTGAACCTTCTATGAGAATCGATTTCCCATTATTGTCGATTATTTCGTAAACAGTTTTTTCTGAGCATGGCTGTGCAGTGGGCTTTGAAGAGGTTGATGCCACCGCATCTTCAGAAGGACTACTTCTTTCAGTAGCGTGGCTGTCCATTTCGCTTTTTGGATTACCGCCAGAAAGAATAAAAATGCGTGTTTGTACACTTTTTATTTTCCAAAGCCCGAGTGTATAGAAGCGCGGTAGAGCAGATTTACCGCAGCATATTTACGCAGTTCTTATAACTAGTTAACTTATTGTGGTTATTTTTTCAGCTTTATTTTATTTTGGATGTAAAAAAAAACCATATTGTTCGTGTTATGAAGCCGTATGCAATAAAGTGGAAAATGGTTTCCGCCATTTTCCTGAAACTCGTAAATGACTACAATTAGTCTTTATCAGACGGAAATTGTTTCTTCTCTATCCGTATCTTCTTATGAAGCCTTATTACATCAGATAAAATCGAAACCAATGATATCCTAACTAGTTTCAGGCTTTTTCCATTTTCAGGAAAATGGCGGAAAATCATTTTTCACTTTATTGCATACGGCCTCAGAACGTTGTCTTTTCGTTGAATATAATGCCGTGTTCAATTTGATTCCGCGAAATGCAGAATGATCTCTGACTCTCCAAAATTTAATGATCTTTTCCTTTCTCTAACGGTTTTTTTTTTGCATTTTGCGGTATCAAATTGAACCCGGCATGAAAATTAGTTGAGTACTGAAAAACTTTCTTACAACGTTTGTTTTCTTATTACTTGTTTACCGAGATCAAGTCATTTTTATTCTTTATAGAAAGGTTTAAAATCTAATTTATTTGTAAACGAAAAACCTTTGATGATAAATATTTTTTTAATAGTAGGGGCAGTGCATCTTTTGGAAGAATTTATGCTATTGATATCTAGAAATTTTTTTTTTATTTGCTTCCGACAGCTTTGCTAGAATTTCCCCTCAGAATTCTTAGCATTCAAAAAGAAATTTTTGAAACAAGTTAAATAATAAAAAAGTTTAGGAATAGTTAGAGAGTCTCATTTTTGATAGTTGTTTGAAATGTTTTGCGAATATAAGTTTTTCTTTTCAGGTTTCTCGTTAATAAATCCCTGCTCAAAAAAGCCATTTTTGTTGTTAATTATGACAGGCAAGTTTTCAAAGAAAGTTTAGAAAAATAAATGTATTATTGAAGACGCAGGTTATGAGGAGATGTCCCAAGCAGAGATTCTGACAGGATCGGTCGGCTGGCAACGGAGTCTTCCGGCGAACATCAAGTTCCGGGACAAGCCAATGAGAGACATCAGTGACCTTGCCGTTTGGACTCTGTCTAGCTGCAAGCCGGGTTTGTCGCTTTTACCAATGAGAGCGAAAATTGAATTGAGATTTCAGGTTACGGAGTTCATGAACTTCTGAATGATAGCGTCGATAAGTACTGGCAGAGCGACGGTCCTCAGCCTCACACCGTCACCGTCGAATTCCAAGTATTTTGAGTCTCTCGAGACTTCAAGATTGTTTTTTTGAAGCGAAAAACGGATGTCTCCTTTCTTTTCCTTTATTTGGATTATAAGAACGACGAATCTTACACTCCTAGCAAGTATGTTCTTCACATTGTCTATATCACGGGAAGTTCTCTTATTTAGAATAGTAGTAAAGACGGGAAGTTCGCTGCAAACTCTTGAGAACACAGTGTCCGTGACGTTCCATGAACCGAGCGGCTGGCAAGTTCGCGCTCTTTTCCGATTCGAAGCGAATTACTTATTTCAGAGAATCGATTTGAGAGACTCCAACATTGATCCGGCACGGGTGATGGTCGTCCATCTGCAGGTTGTCCAAAACCATCAAAATGGACGCGACACCCATATCAGGTTTGTTTTGCTGATTTCGTAATTACTGTACTCAGCGACCAATTATCTCTTAGAGCTGAATGGTTTTTTCTGACTGTTTTTACTGGTCGCCAGTTTTTTTTTTTTGTGATTTCTTTATCTGTGATTTCGTAACGTTCAAACATCGAAAACAAAAAATAACTGCTGCTATGGTATCAGTCTTCCTTTTTTTCGTAATTTTTTTGCGTCTTCCCACCAGGTCATGATTTTTGAAGTTTCGGAAGTCTCTGTAAAACAGAACTTTGTGAAACAAATAAATTAAAGTAACTAAGAATTTCGTTCAAAAATTTCCAAGAAGTGTTTGTTTTTTGGTCGCCAAAGTCCTATGGAATGACCAGAAAACTTTTATTTTTAAGAATAAAGATTCAAAGCAGAAAATAAATCATCAAGATAAATAAGTGAGTCTGAAGTCTTACGTCCCGTCTTGAACACTCAGAATTTGAGCAGATTGATGCTTCCAAAGTTTCCATCCAATACGCCTTCAAGCTTTCTGACTGAATTCTCACAGTTCCAAAGCTTTGAGTGGAAAAAAAACTTTTCAAAAATTTTCATTCGTGTTTAAGAATTTAGTACTAGTATTTTTTTGCCATTGTCAAAAGAGTAATTTTTTCATAAGTTTGGTTTCCATGCATTTCATTCATTTGTCCTCATTCTCAACTGAGCGGGGGCCACTCCTTCAAATCTCGGGTCGTCCCGTCGGCAGCTCTACCACTCAATTATTTTTGAGAACCTTTTCAGGCTTCATTTTGCAGCCGTCGGTATTATATATCTGTTAGTGATCCTTCAAAAGTCAGATTTGAAAACGCTATATTTCCCTGTCTTTCATGAATCATTTTCAAGGCACATTCGTGTGACCGGACCGTCGACTTCAAGGTTCTGTGCAGAGGCTCGTCTCATCGCAGGAGATCCAATCAGGGATTTTAAGACGGAAAACTTTGACATGAAACAAATCATGCTCTCGGCTATGTCGATCCGGTAGCCATTGTCTGGCCTACGCAACATCTCCTTTTAATTGTGTCATATTCTCTCTTTTTTTTTTTGAATGAATTTCCATGCTGAATCGCTTCTCGCTCTACCGAACACGTCTTCACAACTAAAATATTTTTTTTTTTCATTATCTTTCTTATAGTTCAGTTTTTGGTAGATAATGGATTGGCTCCCTTGCTCTCTTCCTGGCATAGAAATTGACTCTTCCAATGTTCGGATTGTCGAAACTCCGTCGGAGTTCTACCAACTCCTGCTGGTAACGGAGAAAGATTCGAACCATCCAATTTTCATGTACTTGAACTTCTAGGAACGCTCGGAAAAAGCGAAATCACGTATCACCCTGAGCAGCTTATACCTGGGCGATGGCAAACTGGAAAAAGATTTGGTCAGCAATTTTCTTGAAGTATTTGCAAGTCTCTTCCAGGTGACCGCCGTTGAGAAAAACATGTCGAGAAATCCTGATTTGGAAGTGTCAGTTCTCGTGGATTTTCTTCGTGGAACTCGCGGGGCGGGCGAAGAAAAGAGCAGTACAACCCTCCTACATACCATTGCAAAAAGGGCCAAGGTTGACATTTTGCGAATAAGCAGAAACTGTGGTTTCAGATCTATCTCTATCACACTCCTGACTTGAGAGGATTCATCAAACGACTCCTTCCTGAGAGGACTAATGAAATTATTGGATTACAGCACATGAAACTCTACATTTTTGACGACTCTATTTTGATTAGTGGGTCGGTTGGAGCCTATAAAAAAATCGAATTTTTTACCTTATTGATTCAGGGCAAATTTATCTGATTCCTACTTCACCAACAGACAAGATCGATACGTTCTGTTTGAGAACTGCAAGCCACTTGTCGACTTTTTCTCCGACATCGTGGAAGCTGTCGGTAAGAGTTGGTCTCATCGCCCGTTTTCCCAATTTCCTGTAGGCAGTTGTTCGTTTGTCTTGAATTCCGATGGAACAACGACTCCACACAAGGATTGTTCGGTTCATCCATTCCAAGGTTGTCTTCTTGGTCATCAGTTTGGCCTCAAAGCGAGTTTCCCAGGAAACGCTGAAGACTACCGAGAAATGATGCGTGGACGAATCAACACTGCAATCCAACGTTACAAAGAGAAAAGTTCCGCGAAGACGTCTTCTGAATCTTGGACGGTGGTATATCCTGTAGTCCAAATGGGTCCGCTGGGAATTCATCAGGAGTTCGACCTTCTCAAGTCCATTTTTTCCAGAAAGGTACTTCCTTCTCCTTTTCAAAAACATGTTTTGTTCTAGGATTCCGAGATGAACCTCACAATGGCGTCCGGATATTTCAATTGCATTCGCGACTATGAAGATATGATTTTCAAAGAGGGCACCTTCAAAATGGACGTGATCACAGCGGCTCCCGAAGTATCTGATTTTGATTCATTAGGAAACGTCCTCGGTACTAGGAGGCTTTCAGATTTTTCTGAGAGAAAATAAAATAGTCGAAAAGCTTTTCGATTCAATTAATGAATATTCGACAATAACTTCAAAATCCTTTCCTTTTCGAGAATGAACATAATCTCTTAAGAAGGTGGGCGAGTAAGTTGAACTATGTAGCTTTTTTTTGTTTGTAATAGTGAGATATCGGGCCAGATCTGGAAGTTATGATAAAATATACCAAATTTTCAAAATTCAGGCGAATGGGTTTTTTGGCGCACGGGGCGTTTCTGGCTATGTACCAGCAATGTATTCGGACGTCGCTAAAAAGTTTCTCGAATTGCGCTCCAATTACGAAAGGGAAAATCTCGTTCTGCATGAATACGCCAGGAAAGACTGGACCTTCCACGCCAAGGGCCTTTGGCTTCGGTCCAAGACGCAGCTGGCCACTCTTGTCGGCTCTTCTAATTACGGTGAGTATATCCTCATTCTGATTATTGCGCTGAAAAGGATGGGCGAGAAAAAAAAAATCGCTTTTGTGATCTAATGAAATATTGATCATTGCCTTTTAGTTATCGATTTATAAGACTCGAAACGGCGCGTGCGAAATGTGATGATTCTTGGATATTTCTTTTATATTCCCTTTTTTCTCCATTTTTTATAATTATGTCCTCTTTGAACAATAGTAGTTTTTCTAGGCTATCGCTCGGTTCATCGCGACCTCGAAGCACAGGTGCTTTTGGTGACCAAAGATGAACAACTCATCGAGAAACTGGAAGGAGAGAAAAATCGTCTTTTCGAGTTCGCCACTGTTCTAGATGCAAATGCCCTTCGGAGAGCAGAACATAATGTTCCCACTCTCGTTAGAGCTTTTTCCCGATTCATTCGTAATTTTTTCTGAATTTTTTTTTTTTCGAACTTCGGATCAGCTCTTTTTGTTCTAAGGGCGTTGGAACTAGCTGTTTTTTTCACGGGTCTAACTTTTTTCAGCTTTTTATTTTGTCGAATCACATAAATTTTGAAAAGTTCTTCTGCAAATTGATTCAGGAAGTGGTTCTTTCCGAAATATTGTATTCTGACGCGAAAAAAAGTCTCGAAGAGTTTGATTCTTTGAGATATATGATACCAGGGCTGATATTAGGAAAGGCGATATTAGAAAAATTGCCCAAAGCGACAACTTCAACCGCCCAGGTACTGCTTTTCTCCGTTATTTTTTTCAAAACGTCCGAAGGTGGCCCGAGCATCTTCATCGCTCTCCCAGTCGACGTACAACGGTATTCCACGTCGGAAAGTTGTCAGAACCTCCGAAAAACCTTTCGCACCGCACCAAGTCCTTCCGCGTGATGAAATGAGATTATTCGACTTTTTTAAGCTTCTAAGAAGGTTGGGTGGAACCAGCGTTCGTCTCACTAACGAACAAGTGCGTAGAGATCAGGAATTGCTTGTCGATGCCCTCAAAAACACTGATTGGTGAGTCCCGCTTCTACCACACATGATCAGTCGACGACTGGAAGGAAAATGACAAGATTCTTAATGTTTCCGGAATATAATTTATTTTGAAGGGTGGCAGTGTACCGTTATCCTGGAGTTCGAGCAGCAAAACTTCTGGCTCGTGCAAAATTAGTACAGACGATCGCCAGCCTTCTCTACCTACCTTACTCCACTTTCCAGGTGACGTACTCTTTAGTGTCAAAGGTAATCTCCTTTTCTAGTACTTCTTGGGTAACGCAGAGGCCACATGGTACTACACTTGTGCAGGACTAGCCGTAGTTGCGCCTCTCATGCTTGTCGCATTCAGCAGGTTTTTCATTGCTTTGCTTAATTAAGAAAGATTCATTATTTGCTGGCTATTTTTCGATTCTCTTCATCAACGTTGCCTCAGATATCTCAATCGGTTGATTGGCGTTATAGCGATGGACCCAGACAACGCCTACATCCGCGTCGGTTATCTCACTTTCTGGGGCTCTAGAAAGGACGCGTATGTTTTCTCTTTTCTCTGACATGGAAGGTCATTTTTGCGTAGGGTTTGGAATTTTCTGAAAGTTTGCTCAAACAATCTTTGGTGGACTGGGAATCGATTCCCCATAGCCGCTATCTGCGCAAACTTTTCGTTTTGGAGATATGATTTTTTAAAGTTTCTGTCCTTAAACACGTGACAATGTTCGGAAGGAATGTGTCCGCAGCACAAATCATTGCGTGGCAGCTATGAGCGTGAGGCAATGGCTAGCGCGGTAGACTGCGAAGCCTATGATGAAGGTTCGAATCTTTTTGCGGCTATCGTTTTTTGCCATTATTTTTTGACGGATTATGATGAACAGTTCAAAATCTCATGAGATAACGTTCCAAAACCGTTCGATGACCATTTTTCTTCCAAAAAAACAACTTTTTTTAACAAAATTTTTTTTGAAAATTACTTATAGTTGCCGCATGCTTCGCATCATCAAAATATTTTTTTCTCCAAATTTATTTGTTTAAAAACGTTTTGGACTAAGTAATTTTGGAGAACATCACTTCTATTGAAATAAACAGGAAGATGTGAAGAAAATCTTTTCAATAAAGCTCGTTTGTCAGGTATTTATTCATGTTTTGTATGGACTTTTCTGTAGCAAAAAGGCGGAAGTTGCCTTTTGACATAGTGAAATTCTACCAAACTCTTCTTTATTTCAACCAGGGTGTGCGAAGATCTTTGATGATGATTCATCGCTTTTTTCAAATGGCATCTGCTGCCTTTCAAAAGAAAAGTAGTCTCTGATGATGTGATGGTCGGTCATAACTTCAAGAAATTTTCAAAAAAAATTTTTGTTAAAAAAAGTTATTTTTTTGGAATAAAATGTTCATCGAACGATATTGGAACGTTTTTAGTCATGAAATTTCGACATGTTGATCATAATCCGTCAAAAAAAAAAATAATGGCAAATAACGATAGCCTCAAAAAGATTCGAACCTTCATCATAGGCTTCGCAGACTACCGCGCTAGCCAGTGCACCACGCTCCTAGCTGCCATGCAATGACTTGTGCTGCGGACACATTCCTTCCGAACATTGTCACGTGTTTAAGGACAAAAAACTTTAAAAAATCATATCTCCAAAACGAAAAGTTTGCGCAGATAGCGGCTATGGGGAATCGATTCCCAGTCCACCAAAGATTGTTTGAGCAAATTTTTAGAAAATTCCAAACCCTACGCAAAAATGATCTTCCCTGTGAGCTTCCAGAGTAATAACAAAAACTTAATACGAAAATTAGAGCAATAAATGCTGCAAAAACTTGACTTCGTTTTTTTGTCTTTACCCTTCGACAAAACTACACGAGCATTCACCACCGGCAGGAACTTTATTAATTCATGAAAGGTACCGCAAAATTCCAAAAGAGGTTTTCGACTTTTCGTCAACGCGGATCAGAGTTAGAAACGAAGGCGGCGAAATGATTATTTGAGTAAAATTTACCCACGCTTCTTTTCTTCATTCCACGTGCAACAGCTGGAAAAACTGTAAAGATCAATTTTCAAAGTTCATATCATGATCACATTTTTCAACCAATTCAGTTGATTCGTATTTTTTGATCGATACCCTAATTTTTGTGGTGCCTTGAACGTGGGGACCGCAAAGCCACGCCCACTTCGGGCGAAATTTTTTTTTTCATTGCTCTGCGGTTTTTCTTTTTTTCCATAGCGCGCGTATGGAAACAAAATTATACTCGAAATACATGTTCTGAGGCATAGTTTAAGGCCTAGATTAATATTTCAACGTCAAAACTAGAAAAAAACCAGTGCAAGAGCAAAAAAATTCTGGAATATCAGTTTTTTCAGCGACGACCCTATGTTTTTTTGTGCTGAACACGATGAGGAGCATTTACTAATAATTTTAAAAACAAAAAATTTCTGAAAAACCCTGCAGAAATAAAAATCACGACATCTTGTTTTATAAAGCGTTAAAACGACGATTTCTTAATCTTTCCACACAAAAAACGTTCTTTCTCCGAAAAAAGGAGTTGATTGGAACACATTAAGAAAAAAATGGGATTTAGAAAACAAGAAATATTTTGTGCAAATTGTTTCAAAAGCAAGCATCCACACGCGCAAAATTTCGAAATTTACATGTGGAAAGGAGAGTGGTACGCCCGACGGCGGTTACTCAATTTTTAATATCTTAACTGTTTCTCTACATCTAACAACAATAAAATCAAAAAACGAGTCGCGCACCGACGCGCATTAAATATAAAACATTGACATTTGTATTTTTTTCTCGATGAAAAAAAGTGTGCAAATGCGCGTGAGGCGTTTTGCGTATTCCAACGAAAAATAATTTTTAATTTCCAATACAAAATTCATTATTTTTTCGAATGTAAAACGTTTATCGTTGAATATTCTTTCCCAATAAATTTAAAAAATATTTTCACAGCAGTCACGAAGGAGAGTTTATCAAGGGAACGCTTGAATAATGTTTATCATGCCCTGTTATTGTTGACTAAAATAAAAATATTGAAAAAAGGATAATTTCGTTTCATTTTTCATGATTTGCGCTATTTTGGAATTTTTTTTCGAACTTCAGGGATGTTTTCGACCTATTCAAACTAGCAAAAGTATAAAATTTACTCTTTGCTTCTTTTCCGAAGATTTTTTTCTTGTTGCATTGCTCGGATTAGAATGAACTTGAAGTTTTAAGCTTCATTTCAAGAAGTTACCCATTTTATATGTTACAAAAACTATCAGAGTAAGAATTGGAAATTTTTTCATATCAATTAACTTTTGTTTGAATTTTTATTGGTTCGATTGAATAACCTTATTATTTCTATCGATTAGACTTTGAATTTTTCATGGCTTCATTGTTTTTATATGGTTCTTCACATGGCGATTCCATCGCAACATAAAAAAATCAACAAATAGTCTTATTTCATTTACAGAATCGTGTTTCAAAAATTTTTCCGTCACAATTTGTAAGCGCGCCCGAAAATTGCATAGACTCCTCCCATTTTCCCTCCTGCATGCAGGCTTGTGCGAGGGCCGGCCGGACACCCTCCCGGCCCCCCGACTATTTCTTGAGGCCCGGCCTCAGCGGGCCTCAAGAAAAAATGGCCCGCCCGGCCCGAATCGCGCAATTTTTTTCTAGTCGGATATCAAGTTTTTTACGACAAAAATTACGTTTTTGCTCATTTTTTCTCTTAAAGTTTAACAAAAACTATGATTTCAGAAGTAAAAGTCACATTTCGGAGAAAAATTTTTTTAAATAAAATTTTAAATTTTTTTTTGAAGCCCGGCCCGAGCCCACGCGGGCTATTTCCTGAAAATAAGGCCCAAAGCCCGTGCCAGGCCGGCCCGGCCTGTCGCACAAGCCTGCCTGCATGCAGAGACACACGGTTCAGTGCTAAAAGCGTTCCCGAGATACCCTCACTTTTTGTCGAATTTTTCTCGGCGTTCATTCAACTTAGTGCCGAGATTTTTTTGGGAATGTCTGTTTGAGGATATTAGCTAACAGAAAACATAAAATTTAAATTTTTATGACCGTTTTGAGAAAATGGGTTGCGGTCCCTACTTGAACGTCGAAAAAAGGTAGTTTCTTAAAAATGGATATCAAAAATAAAGTTTAAAAACTGTATGGAAATCGAAAAAGAAAAACAAGGTAAGCAATTCTAGGGAACACTTAAGAGTATTGACGCTATTAAAGTCGACACTAGAGATGCTCTGAAACGTCCGCATCGCGTCCGTTTCGCGTTACCAAGGTCCGGAAAAGCGGTCATATCATAAAAACGTTCACGATAGAGCGATAATGCGAGCGGTTATGGATTAATTTAAAAAAATTAATAAAATCTGTGCCGGTCGTTCGGAAGAAGGACACCCTACTGGATAGCTATACATATACTTCACAATAATCATTGTAAATTATATAAATAATAATTGGAATTAGCTCATCGGTAATCGTTTATTATTTATTCAGGCTACTATAGCCTGTGCACCACGACTTGGAATTTCACCAAACGACATTCCGCTGTACCGCTGCGCGCCTTTGCGAACCTCGGTCGCGCGTTTATTATTTTTTTTTTCTTTTAATAAGGTACTCTACTTCCATGTGCTCCTGCAGCAATAACGATCAGTTGAAAGCGTGACCTATATTCGAAAGACGCTTCGCGAACGCACGCAGCTGAACAGCGGAATGTCGTTCGGTGAAATTTCAAGTCGTGGCACACAGACTATACCTGATAGGCACGTAGTTACCAATGCTATCCAATTGAAATTTATTACCAGGTATAATCCGTTTTCGGCGACTTGAAAGGGCGGGACTTTTTTGCGCTCTCCTCGTCTCTCGACGACCCTCTCTTGTTAACGCGCTATATTCGCGCTTCTATTACCTCGCCTGTGAGGGAACAGAGAGACTCAGACACTCGAAAACTGTCGCGGCGAACGGACTTCAGCGTATTCTACTGGGTAGCTATCCGCTAGCTATTTTGCAACGTTAGATAATGAACGACCACTTGACCATTGTTCAAAAATCCTACAAAAAATTAATTCAGCAATAGGGCGCCAGTCAACCGACGCGATTATTGTCGCTAATTTTTTTTCGAAGTTAATTTTTACATACTGTTTTTTGTATCATGAAATATTTTTTCACTGATAAAGATTAACAGATTTTTTTTGAATTTTTACGAGTTCTTATAGAACGAAAAAAAAATTTTGCAGATACATCGAGCTATCAGATGTTCTGCCGCTGTCAGAGATCGGCTCTAAAGATGGAGAGAAGCTAGTCAAGTTCATGTGGTACAGCGGCTCGACACATCTCTACCTCCCGACAAAACACGCCGAAATTGTTGACAAGAAGCGTGCCGAGTTAATATTCGGAGACTTGGATATTTTTTACAAGCATTACAAGAACAAATGATCTCGTCGCTAGCCCTAGCCGTTTTTCAAATGGAAGTTTTTAATAAAGAGGACAAAAAAAATGTTACCTGAAAAGGGTTTCTTGTGGGAAATGTAGCATATTTTCGTAAACAAACATTTATGCGTAATGCATGAGAATGAGTTCAAAGCTGAGGAGGCGGAGCGAGTTGGGAACGCGCTTGGGCAAAAGCCTGCTCGACGAAGGAGCAACGGACGTCGCACATCAGTCTGTGCGACTGACACCAACGCGTCGCGAAGTCGCAATACGTGGCCTAAAAAAAAAAAAGTTCCGGAATAACCACTTGAGAGACTGGCTGAACGATATTCGTTTGAACGTACATGAATAACTTGATCGGCGCGAGTGAAAAGATTGGTAATGGCTCCAAAAAGTTGCTCAAACGCTACTGTCGTGTAACGAACTCCCGGATAAAGCATGCTGAATAAACTTTGAAGCTAGTAGACTTGCTTTTTGTACCGGACAAAAAGTTCGACGATTTTTGGAAGGATGACTTCTATCGAGCAGAGCACCAGGTACAAGCCAATTGCAGCGAGAACCATTTTTCCAGCAGTCTGAAGGTTAATAAACATTTCATGGTATGAAACCTTACCGGGTTCGTTTCAAAGAAGCTGAACAAAGATGTGAACAAGTTGCCGAGGGATGACAAGCGGCTTCCACCGCGGCTATAGGATTTTTATTTCGGAGGTGGAAATCCGGTAGAAAGTCGAAAGAAAACGACTTGTTGAATTTTCAAAATCTCTTTAAGGACGAAAGGTTCATGCTTTTTTGTTTCTTTTTCTTTTTTTAAACCTCAGTGTTAAGCTTCACGATACAGTAACGTAATCAAATTTCTCTAAACCAATCTAAAATGGTCAATAACGAAGAAGAAACAAGCAGAAAACTTCAGAATTCAAACTTAGACATCGGCGGCTATGTATATTGAATGACGCCAAAAATTTTTTTTTTGTTATGGCTAAGCTCACTATTTTTCGTTAAATATGTGCGGAAAATTTTTTATGCTGATTTAAAAATTGACAATAAAATGGCAGTTTTCGGAAACCCGCTTCTGTAACCAACAAAGAAAGCTATTTCTAGGACAAATTACCTTCCATGAGAATTTTGTGAAGCTGATCCTCTACTCATCCCCGTTCTTGGCCTGAACTCATACTGAATAAAATTATACTTCTGCGACTACACTATCGAGCTGGTGTGCGTTCGATTCGAGTCAGACCTTGAGCTATACTGATTTCCATGCAACTAAAATTCATGTTAAGCCAGAAATTCACTTTTCTGTAATACTGAGCTCACTTGACAAAAATTGTCGCGGTTAGTTGCTGGTGGGTGCACAGCACATGGTCGAAATTCGATTTTAAGCAAGCTATTCCTGCAATTTGATCAGAAAACTGTGACTGTAATACCTATCCGTCGTGCAAGAAGAGCTTTGGGAGCAGATGGACGAGTTGGAAGAAGAAGAACAGCTCAAAGCCGACCGACGGTTCTGAGAACTTTCCTCGTTTACCTCAATTTTCAGCGGCTGTCTATAGTTTTGACGATTTTCAGAAGCAGTAGATTCCTCCCACCGACTCGTTTCCGATTGGAAGTTGGAGCTCACTACACGTCGAGACATAACGAGCGACTGTCGTAAAGAAATGAACGTTAAACTTATGCTCTTCCCTTCTTTTTTTTTTTGTTTTAACAGCGCTACGAAGTTGAAAATGATTGAGCTTAACACCGTGTTCAAAGAGCTGCCGCGTAGTTAGAAGTGACCTGTGCCTCCACGCATGTTTGAGACAGTACTACGGCGGCCGGTGGCCGGTCAATATTGCGCAGTCAGTTTCGGAGCCAGGACATTTTTTTAAATTTTCTTTCTTTTTTGCAATTTGTTAAGGACCTATTTCTCGAGGTACAAGGTAAGTTACGTCACAAAAAGTACACAAGATTTCATTTTAATATTGAAAAACCTATCCAAACTCCTCGCAACAGCACAGCGGAAAATGATGCGATGGATGCTCGGAGTAACATTGCTCGACAAAAGAAGAAACTCCTGGCTCTATGAAAAGTTGAAGCTACGCGAAGTTCGGTCGGAAGCTGTGAAGAGAAAATGGCTTTTCGCAAAGAAGATCGCTACGGGAGAAGACACATGGGCGAAGAAAATCGTGGAATGGCATCCATGGGCGAAAACTCGCGAAGTTGGACGACCTAAACCTCGTTGGCGAGATGACCTACGAGCAGTTCTTGGTGTTATGAATTAATTATAGGGTTGTATGTCGGTTCGCAAAATTTTCCTGAAGGTTATATAGATCCAACAAGTTCATGAAAGGCGTGAAACCACGTTTATAAATGTGTTCTATCAGACTTGGAAGTTACTGTACTCGAAGAATCTTCAAATTCCTTCTTTGACCAAAAGATCATTTGACCTGGGGGACCGCGAAACGTTTTTTCTTTGGCACCCATTTCCACTTATTTCTTTCGTTTCTTATTCTTGGAATAATATATTTCATTTTTCATGTTTATTTCATTATCAAATATGATGTGAAAGCATTTTTCTTATAGTTTATAACAGAACTTAAAAATTTTTTTCTAACGGAATCTTGACGACAAATTTTTGATTTGATATTAAACTTAAATTTTGTAAAAAAACTGATTCTAAGAACTTACGAATCAATAAAACAAGTCTTGTGGTTTGAAAAAATCAAAACAATTGGTGGAAGAGAAGGAATAATCTGTATTAATCGCCAAATATTCTCTTCGCGGCGGGGTTCAAAAAAATTTAGCACAAGGTCCTTTAATAAATAAGAAACCCGCATTTTATGCTCAATTAAATTTTTTTTTAATGCCGTGTTCAATTTGATTCCGCGAAATGCAAAATGATCTCTGACTCTCCAAAATCTAGTGATCTTTTCCTTTCTCTGACGGGTATTTTGCATTTCGCGGATTCAAATTGAACACGGCATAATGTCGTGCTCAAGTATATTCCGTGGAATAAAAATTATCACCCATGTTTTTTTCACCATCTAACGGCTATTTGGTATTTTGCGAAATCAGTTTGAACAAGGCATTATAGCCCGTTCACGGCTTGCTTGGGACAGTGAACGGGCGGTTTTACTTGCGCGGCGATGGTAGATCATGGCGGTCAAATATGCGCCTTTAATAAGAGCCTCATTTGGTGAATTATTTCTATTTCTATTGAGTTTATTTTGTTAAAATTCATTTCAATGGTTTTTAGATTTTCTTAAATCGTCGAATAATCAGAGAAAAATAAATAAGTCATAAAATAGGGCTTTGATGGAAGGCGCATATTTGACCGCCATGATCTACCTTCGCCGCGAAAATCAAACCGCCCGTTCGCTGTCCCAAGCTAGCTGTGAACGGGCTATAATTCTATAGCTGAATTCACGGCTTGCTTGAACCATCGAAAAAAATAGTCCTGACACGATAATGCACGAGACAGCGCCTGGCTCGTGGAGAGCGCAGACAGGACACGCCCCCTTAGAGTCCCAAGCTGGCCGTGAATCAGCTATATAAAATATCGGAATTTCCTTTTTAGATTTTTTTTTTCAGGAAGGGTTACATGGGGAAACTAACATTTTTTTATTTATATTTACAATTTCATTAACAGGTTAGTTTTTTTCTTCTTCTTCTATGAGTAAATCTTTTTAGTTATTCAATCATATCAGTCCCCATGTAAGCCTGAGTTCAGTGGAAACTTACCAATATCACCGTGCAGCAGAGAGGTTCAATTAAATAGGTTATTGCGTCTCTAAAATATCGTTTCAGTACTCGATCTGCGTAAACGGAGTTCATCAAAGAGGACAATGCAGTGAGGGTCACGTTTTTCATGACGGTCGCTGTTTACTAGAGGAGGAGTCAGCAGAATGCTCGATTTCTTCAAAGTTCGGTAGGTCTTTAAAAAAAAATTTATGGGAATCTCTCGAGTTATAATCTGCCCATATCTTGTAAGAAGAGGAAAAAATTATGCGATTCATTATATTTTTTACAAAATATGTGGGTTTTTTTCCAGACTGCTCTGGTCGAGAAGATGGCGTGTACACTTTGGGCTGTCTCAATCATTACATCACTTGTGTCGCTGAGCGGTCGATTAGTATGAAATGTCCTGTTGGGCTTTTATATGTCGAATCGGCGAATGCTTGTTTGGAGTCTTGTGATGCCACTCTTCCAACTAGCATCGATAAAGATTCAGAGTTGTCCCGCGATGACAGTTACGAGCCAGGATCAGAGAATGGTTTTTTTTAAAATTTTTTACTATTTACATGAAGAATATAATATCTGGCATATAAAATCAGTGAAAAAAAGATGAGCATCTATAAAGTCAAGCTTACAACTTAAAAGCACCTTCAGAGCCCTTTTAGTTTTTCTTTCACAGTTTTAAGGTTTTTTCAGCGCTTTTTGATTGTTCTGGCTTGCCCGATGGGCTTCATGCATCTGGTTGCTCAAGATTTTACTTTCACTGCTCTAACGGAGATACATTCACAATGTACTGTCCTGAATCTCTGGTCTTCAGCCCCAACACTGGTTAATTTGAGAAATAGTTATTTTTCCATAATCCTGATATAAAAAAATTTCTAGGAAATTGCGATCGCACCTGTGATAGTACAACGGAATACCCAGCTTCAGATGTCTCATCAGAAGTTCCATATGTTCAGACGTCGACGCTTTCTCTCGATGAAAGTACTACTACGACTGCTATCCTTCTAGAAAATACTTCTCAGCAAGTTAGTTTTTGTTGATCATCAACAACTCTAGCTGCCTGCGTTCCTACATAATTTGTGTACCTAAAATTAAAAAAAATTTTCTAAGGCTTGCACGAACGGAGTCGTTTCACCTATCGGAAAATGCTCCTCGAAGTTTGTGCGATGTCGAGATAACGTTTTGGAAGAAGTCCAGTGTCCGAGCAATACTGTTTTCGACACTGATGTTCTTTTGTGCGTTTACGAATTGCCGGAATGCATGGTTAGACATTGAAGTTTTTCTCAATTCAGGTTTTTTTTTCAGATCTACAACGACGTTACGGGATCATACTCGCCATCAGTGAACTACCTAGAGAGCCCTTTCGACACGCCTCGAAAGCGGGATTACGAAAAACCTTTAGTTTATTCAAAAAATCCGTATGCGCGGGATCAGACCGCTCTGGACAATCCATTTTTTGTTCACTCGGGAGGATACAGAAGTCAACGTTATGATTCAGAGAGAGGTTTTTTTTTGTTCTTTAATACTCATCAGCTCCATTAACCTCACAGTTTGATCGAAACAATTTTCTCGAGATAATAAATACACTATAGGTTCATTAATCAAAGGTTTACATTCATTGGAATCACATGGATTGAAAAATAGTAATTGAGAATTTAAAAAAATTAACACGACTGCGAGTCCTCTTCCCTTCGTCCCCACAAGTTCCGAACACGTATTTCCCTACATTTTTCCTACATCTATTCCGTGAATTTATGTATGAGAAATAAAACATTTGATCGATTGTTCAAGTGATCTATGAAAAACTCAAAAAAGGGCTTTTTTGTTAATTTTTCCTCTAGTTGAAAGGCGAGGGAGTAGAGAAGAAGGCGGGACGCGTAGCGTGTGCGTATGCGGTTCATGGCCCGAGTTCAATTCAACCGCCAGAGACTATTTGGAGAGCTCGTTCATCGCTTTTTTGTTTATTTTTGTTCAAGTATTTATTTATTCTTTCATTTTTGCGCTTCAAAGATAGCAGAATGGATACGGAACGAGCGGTGACCGAGATTTTTGAATAGTCGCTTGAGTTGAACTTGTGTGAAGGACCGCGTACGCGTCTTGCACACTTCTCTTCCTCCATCGCTTTTCAAGTCGGGACGGATCGACTATAATCTGTTTTTTTTTTCAAAATTTCTTTTGATCAGTTTGGTGGATCAGGGCTTGAAGTCAAAACTGAATTTAATAAAAAAAAAATTATGTAACATATTAACTTTTTTTTATTCAGCTGTGCAATCTCCTTTCTCAGTTTCTGACAGAGGTTCGCGCCTCATCGAAAATGATTTCGCCGACGCACAAGGTTATCTTTTACGATTACTTTCAGAAATTGAGGTTTCAGGTGTCCGCAGGGGCAAACTCCCTCATGGAAAGAAGCATAAGGTGTCGAACGGAGGTTTCGCTTATGTTGAAGACGAGTTCCGCTCTTCGCGGCCGGGCTATGGTGCCAAAATCTACAATAAATACTCGAAGTTTTTAATATTTTCGCATCTTTTTTTTTATATCAAGTTTAAGATCTAACGACGAATACGAGCAAATACAATCAGAGGAACCAGTCTGGTCCAACGAAGTTTCTAAGTCTGCGATTGAAGAAGACATTTCGAACGACAGCTTGAACGAATTGAATCAGAATTCTCTCATCCAGAGCAAAAGCGCGGTTTTGGATGTAGAAGGCTCTGGCGAAGAAATCCACCGACGCAAACGCCGAAGCTACAACTACAACGATTCCCCACGTCCATATCGCCATACATACGTGATTAATCCTTATTATTACATTTCATATTTTGTTTGTTTCAGGCTCACGTGTGTAGATCATCTGGACGTGCCGTGGCTATTGGCCTGGGACAATGTCGACAAGATTTCGTCTACTGCTCTGTTTATGGTTGGGGAAAGGTGCCTTTTTTGTATTTCTCTCACTAGTCAACTGAAATAGTCGCAGCGCAATTTGCAGCGCTTTTTTGATTTTTTTTTTTTTTGAACGAGTTCCATCGCTTTAGTTTAGGCGAAACTGATTACTTCGAATAAAAAATTTTAATGGAAAATTCGGTTGATTGACATCCTTGGTTTCCAATTGGACAATGATTGATATAGCCTATTGCGCGCCAGCTTGTCACGTTTTTCTTTCCTACAAAAAATCGTATACCCAATCAGATTAAATTTGACCAACTTCGCTTCACGAAATTTGGTTTTTGTTTTTTTTTTAAATTTTTTTGCAGTTTTGGAGATTTCCGAGCGAGGCGGTCACGTTTTTGTAGAAAAGCAGAAAGAAGGCTATAGCCCGATCACGGCTGGCTTGGGACAGCGAACAGGCGGTTTAATTTTCGCGGCGGTAGATCATGGAGACTATCGATGCGCCTTCCACAAAATGCTGATTTTATGACTTATTTCTTTTTATTTTGTATTCCGTTGATTGAAAGAAAATCTGAAAACTAATAAAATTAATGTAAACGAAAAAGTACATTTAATTGAAACAAAAGTAATTCATCAAAGGAGGCTCTTATTGAAGGTGCATGTATGGCCGTCATGATCTACCATCGCCGCGAAAGTTAAACCGCCCGTTCGCTGTCCCAAGCCAGCCGTGAACGGGCTATACACTGAAAACAACTTTCTTAGCAATTCTGCTTTTAAAACAGCAAGAAACAGGCCTTGAAACGAAGTTAGTCAAAGTTGATCTGGCCTTTTGGCGGAAAGATAAACGTGACAAGCTGGCGCAGAATGGTCTATATCCCGGGAACGTGAAATCATGTCACTGAATCTGATAAGGGTAGTAAAAAAAATTTAGATGTTAAAATTTAATGTACAAAAAGCTCTAGCACGATAGTGGCTCGGTAGACGCTTGTCCAACTCTCACGTTGACGGCTTAATTGCTATTAGAACGTTTTCTGTAATTCTCTCATGGCGAAATTGCTTTTCCTTCAGTGTTACAAGTTTCTCTCGTTCAGAAAGCTGCGTGCCCAGTAGGAGATGTTTTCGATGTCAAGGAAAGTCGATGCGTCAGCGCTCAAGTCTGCGGAGTTCCGATATCAGTCCTTGCCATTAACAATCCGACTTCTCCCATCACGACGCCCTTGAACAACATCGAAGCCCCTCTAACTGTCGCGCCTGGAGCCAGCTCAACGAGTTCCTGGGAAGTCGCCGAAAGTTCCACTGGAGCACCGGCCTCAGCTTCTGAAGATTTGCGAACGACAGCAAGCGCTAGTGTCGACGGCTACGAGTCCACTACCACGACTCCTGTCGAAACCAACACTTATCTTCATCAAGAGACCTCATCACAAGAAACTGGCTTCCAGTCTTCTACTTCGACTGATATTTCTTTGGTTTCAATTAGGGAAGGTTTGTAATCTTTCCATTTGTTTCAGGTGATTTTTCGGGTTCACAGAAGCCCTGAAAAAAAAAATGAACTGAAAGTTATCGGGGGGAAAATGTTCACAAAAAGATCTTCTGCAAAAATTTCTTGTCATCGTTTTTTCCACCATACTTAAATTTCATAATGAATTTAGAAAAAATGAGTCCTAAAACGATATATCACAATAGCCGAGTTTCAATCGTAAATTTTCCGTGCAAACTCAAAATTCTGAAATTATTTGGCCATTTTCTGAAAAGTTTTCAAATTCGCGCGTGAAATCTCGCGCTCCGTGAAAATTCATTTATTGCAATATATTGTTGTTAGGACCCGTTTTTTTTTCTTAAGGCGCTCCACAAGTTTTACTTCTGATTATTTCCGGAAATCATTTTAAACAAAAATTGATCAATTTTCAAGTTCGCCGTAATAACTTTGAGCACGGCATGAATCTTCCCATCGGCCGCTGATTCATTCTTAGTTTCATCCGTTATCTCTTTCACATTGACTTAATGTACATTATTCAATTGTAGGTTACTTCACTTCTTTTTGTGAAACCTTGGAATTCACACGCTTAAGCATCGTTTCTTTCAGACTCTCCGACACAACACAACATCTGCGCGAATGTCCCGGACGGTCCTATCGCAATAAGGAAGTGCTCTGAAGAATTCGTTCATTGCACAAACGGCTATGCTGTCCGTCAGGTTACTTTCTCCCACTTTTTTTTTTTGAAAATCATAATTTTTGATTCATTCAGAAGTGTCCAGCTGGACTAGTATTTGATGACTCTCGAGCCCTGTGCGACTATAAGTATAAAACTGGCGGATGTAAGCTGTAGAAACAGGTTTATCTGGGAAAGAAAAAACCTATTTCAAGGTGGCGTGGTCGAAGTCGTTGCCACAGACACCGTCGTACCTCAGCCGGGTCACAATCCCTGTGCTGGAAAGCCCGATGGAATCTACGCAGAGAGTTGCTCTAAGTCATACGCCTCGTGCTACGGTGGTCAGGTTTCTTCAATTTCCAACTGCCCTCCGCAACTACGGTTCAACACGGCCACTTCTTCGTGCTCTCTTCCTGCTGAAAATTCCGCCTGCAGCGCTTATCAAGGTTTACTTCTGCCCGACTTGTTGAGATTATCAGCAAATGAATTTCGAGTTTAATTTCCTTTGCTTTTATTCTTTTAAATTTTCACACATGCGTTAGTAATAATCTCGAAGCCAAAAAACATCAAATTTGTTATAATTCACGACCTTCTGAAAGTCAAGCAATAAAATAAAGTTTGATAATTAACAATATCCTTCACAGCTTGTAGAAGTTAGATTTTTAGAACAAGAAGAACGCAACGTCACCTTGGGCTCTATAGTCTCTGGATCGACAGCAGGCGGACCTCAAAACTACAGCTCCACTTATTCTTCCAGCTCTGACAATAACTACCAGAGCTCCACTCCTTCAAGCTACAAGGAAACCATGGGATCTATTGTCGAAGAGAGAGAAGAAGTTGAGAATCTCTCTGAAGGCGAAGAATCATCAGCGACCCCTCTTGACGATGAAGCGGCAAGTTTATTTCAGCTGACCCACAAAAACGCTGAGCTTCAGGACTCCAAATGCACTCCTGGAACAACTTCAGCTCTTGGCTTCTGCTTCAGAGCGTACTTGCGCTGCACTCCGAAAAATGTCTTTTCCCTTGCACAGTGCCCGATGGGCAAGAATTTCGACGAAACGACGCTCAGATGCGTTCTTTTCGAAAAATGCGGAAAAGTTGTTCGGCATCAAGTCTTTCACAGACATATTACGTTGGAAAACTGGAAATTACAGGAGGCTTCGACTCGTCCAACTCTACAAGATCGCGCCTGCACTCGTTTGCCCGACAACGCTACGGTTTCTCTCGGAGTTTGCCGCTCGTCCTATAGCAAGTGTCTGCAAGGGAAGCCCTACAAGCAGTACTGCTACCACGCAGAGGTATCAATTGGAATTGGCTCGAGTCGCAGTGTTTTAGGTCTACTCGGATGAGCAGAAGAAGTGTGTGAGTCGGGAAGCAGCCTATTGCAAGGAGCCCTCTCCTACCGTTGTTCATGTGCCGCGCTACTCAGAGTCCCACAACACGGGAGATGGCTTCTGCCGTCACAAGCGCGATGGTCTCTACAGAAACCCCGGGGATTGCTCCGGCATTCTTCACGTATACCCTGAAGTCTTTTTTATAAATTTTTTTTTGGTTTAGTGCTTCGGTGGGGATGTTTTTGAATATCCAAGTTGCCCGGTGGCACTGTCGTTCAACGAAAAAACCGGCAAATGCGACTACAAACACAACGTCGAAGGCTGCTCTGCTGGAGAAGAAGGTTAGTTTCAACTTCTTTCAAACTAGACGACCCGCTTGTCATCTCGAAAGTGTGTTTTGATTATTCTTGTTGTTCGTGATATTTCAGTCGCAGAAGAAAAAGCTCATTTTTGCCGGCTAGCTTCTTTCAAATAGACTGTAAACGAATATATTTTAATATCCCGTTCTCAAATCTAATTATTTTTCACATTTTATTTGAATGAACTGCTGCAGAAGAATGCTCTCGGCATGGTGCTTTCATTGCCGATCCGGAAGACTGCTCGACGTTCTACCGTTGCGTCTGGGGACGACGCGTCCAGATGACGTGTCCATCCGGAACACTTTTCAATCCTTCTCTCTCTGTGTGCGATTGGCCTTCGGAAGTGAAGTCGTGCTCCAAATCTCTCCACTAATTACTCCCCATCCTCTTACTAATGAACTTCCTGTGATATGATTGTCTTATCTTATGTCAGCTAATAAGAAACTTGCCACGTTGACATAATAACTAAACTGACCTATAACCTCTGTTTGCATGGCGAAATATTATTGCATGTGTAGAATAAACGATCTTACCGCTTAACTTTTCTTACGGAAAATTTCCTTCATTTGCGGTTTTCTAACCGTGACTATCGCCGTTATTCCTCTTTTTAAAGCGGGAGAAGAGAAGTCTGTCTCAAAGTCCTTGCTTTGGAGTTTGAAGGATTGAAGTCACTTCGAAAAGTTTTCGTGACGAAAAACCGTTCTTTTACGTCATTCAAGCTTTATGCGCCGACAAAAAACCAGCCAGAATATTGAAACAGATTAGAGCAATTTCACGAAAAAAATTAGGAACTAATAAATAATTTTTTGTAATTTCACAGAAAAATTAAAAACTGTACTTTTCTGTTAACACAATAAATAGACACTCAAAACATAATCCCAATTGGATAGCCTCTCAACTTTCGCAGACTTCCAAAAGCAATGCAATTTATTTGAATTGCCTTCTTAGTCGTGAATTATTACCCTTTTCTAAAAAAACTTTGACCGGTTGCAAGAAAATTGTGAACGAATTTACCGCGTTTACACAGAAATGGCAAACAGCTTGAAATCAGACATTAATTTGATAATTCTCACGACCAGTACACAGGCGAATCGAGAAAGGGTATCGCGAGACCCTCTGAGGTATATCCCAGACTCTGAAGTCTAACGATGGTACCTCGAGTAAACCTCCAACTAGAGCATGGTCTCCGCTCGACAACGAGTTGAGAATTGAGACTTTGTGGCTGGATAGGCCTACTCGGGCACTGGGCGCGCGAGAGCGCGCTCCTGTTGCAGGGACGACCGGGTTGTCACTCGAATTTAAGGCCTTCGCTTCAAAGAGGCGAACAAAAAACGCAAAATTTTATTTTTTTGTAAAAAGAGGTTTATTTTTTTGGAGTTTTATCCCGATCACACAGAAATGATTTCCAAACACAGTTAAAGTTTTTTTAAAAATAGGTTCAGGATGATTTATGCTGGAAATCGAGTTAGAATTTTTCTTTTTGGAATTAACAGCATTCTGTCAAACAATTAATATATGATTCTCAGTTCTTGTTTTTATTTCCCATATTTGTGGAAAAAAATTCATGATTAAATCATACAAAAAAACAGCTTCAATTTTTAATTTTTCAAAAAAATAGTTGAAGTTTTAATCATTAGGATTTATATGTATGCAGATCTCGTTCACCTGGTTCGAAGCAAAAATCGGATCCAACATGGAACCGAGGTCTGAGGCCCTGTGCTACACTACCCACAGGGACCGCGCTTAAACCAACGGAGACAGATATCCGTAAATTAGGCGAAAGTAGATCCGTGAAGGAACCAAGGTCCGGGGTCTCACTGACAGTCAAAGTCACTACCCGGACCAGAGCAACAAGAAATTGTTGATCCCAAATAGGACCAATTCTGGAATTCCGAAGTAAATTTCGTCGAGATCCTAGAATCTTATAGAATGCAGATTATTCAATCCATAAATCCGCGAAGATTCTACGTAGGGGGCGCAAAGCCCCGCCCCTTCATGCCACCAAAATGACGATTTTTTTGTTGCAGAAACGGTTTTGAGGCGTTTATACTAACTAAAGTTCTATCTTAAAAAATAACTATTTCTGAAAACTCATGTACTCTTTTGAAACTGACAAGTTTCACAAAATCGTCGCGTTTCAGAAAACCAAGTGAGGAACGCTTCTAAATTTTGAGTGTGTTATACATTAACACTTTCTTTATTTTTTGAGTGAAAATTTAAAAAAATCTAACGACGCGAAAAAAAAATCAAAGCTTGTAAAGTGACACCAAACTTTGAAGCTGAAATGCGAAAAAATTTCAGCGACATGGTATACTTTTTTTATTTGATTTAAAAACTCACAATGTGTTCAAAAAAATAAAAAAATTCAGAATGAAAAATGATTATTGGGACAGCGAATCAAATTATATTTGAATTTTACCAAAACCTCCTTTTTTTCGCCTGCCTCGTTGACGCATGAGAGAATAGGATCGCGTCTATACTTTTGTTTATGTTATACTTACTTACTTAGATACTTAGATGGTCCATCTTCGCTTTCGACCTTTTATTGCCTTTTAGTGCCTTTTATTGATCGAAGCGTGGACCACACGTTTTCCAGGAGATCTTATGCAATCGGTCATCCAGTGTTGTCGTCCTGGTTGACTGGTTTATGTTATTAAGCGTTCAAAACTCTATCAATGAAAAAATTATGAAAAAAATCAAACGACGCGAAAAAAATAACGGCTTTAAAAACCTCGAAAAAATGTCAATTTTTTTTTGAAATTTTGGAAGAATTCGTGCAAGCGTTCGTAGCTGTGTTTGCGTCAAACACACCGATATGCCATTTTAAATGTCGCAGGAGCCGTTTTTCGGAGTCAAATTGCACATTTTCCTGTTTTATTTCGAAATAACATTATTTTTTTTTTTTTTTTCAAACCAAACGATAATAATTTTTCTCATTAGAAAAAAGAAAAATAAGCGGCAAATTCCTTCTGACCTTTTTTCTAAGTAGTTTTTTGATATTTTATCAAAAAAATTCTTATGAGGATTGTACAAAAGATTCATACCAAAACATGAAGCTCAGTTCGGACAACCTCTCAGAACAAAAAACCGATTTGAAAACGGTTCAGAAATGCGCAAAAACATTTAAAAAGAAAGCGTGCGGCAGCGGGTAAACCGTGAGATTTTGCCTCCAGTTTTTTGGCCATAACTTTTTTCTTAGCGGAGCTTTTTTCTAAAACTAAACGGAATATGAAAATGGACAGTCTCCTCTATCGAACAGTGTGAAAAACATATTTTTTGGATCGTTTTGAAGAAATGGCTTGCGGACCCTAATTCTACGCACTTTGATCATAGTGCCCCAGAAGCAGAAATTTCTGGAAACTTGATTCTGTCTGACAGTGTAGTACTTCTCGGAGAAGAGAGGGCGTCAGAGGAGTTCCATTGCGATCCTCGCTGAGTGAGAAGTGGTCATCAGAACCCACGTCCCAGAAGGAAAGAGGATAACATACGAGGCTTAATCATCCGCAATGAAGCACAGAGTTATGCTGAAAAGCAGAAAGATATGCTGATGATAAGCCAGGTTTATAACTGGGCTGCCAACTCCAGGAGATACATACACGCTCGCAACAAAGAGAGCGGTATCTCCAGTTCCTGAACAGAAGGATGATGCCGATTGTTTTTAGTCGATTTGGAGATAATCCAAAATGAAGCATAAAGGAGAGTATGGCATGAGCTCTATAACCGAGAGAATCACGACGCGGTTCGTCGTCAAAGACGAAAGATTCCTTGAACCTGGCGAACACAGTAGCGGAAAGAGAAGCTACTTTGTCAGTTCCTAGAGCAGGAAGAAAAGACGATATCTATCGAATTTCTGAAAGCTCCGTTTGTTTTCTAAACGTTCTTCAACATAAGATAGGAGCGCAATACCTCAGAGAAGTCAATCAATTCTATACGATCCATAAGAAAGGACTTTTCCTCGAACAAGAGTAACGGAGCGTGTTGACAGGAAATCGCACTGAAGCAAAGTCGCGACGCACGAAAAAGCTTCGAGCACTCGACCTCACCAAGAGGAAAAAAGTTTCCTAATTGTGGAAATAAAGCCAACATAGAATAGATTGGATCGAACTATTCAGAGATATTGAAGTTCAGGACGGAGGGAAAGACCTTTTCCCTGAACGTCAGTCGGTACATCACCACTGACAGATCTCAAACGACTCGATAGGGAACAAGGTAGTTCCGATTGAATAGTCAACGACATCGCTGTCGATTCCCGTCTTCTATCGATTAAATTGGCAATACAATGAACCTTTGGCCAGAAAGAGATTCATTATCCTTTCTGGGACAGATGAAATGTCCCAAAGCAAAGAACTTCCAAAGTTCAGCATCGTGAACGCCTATTCACGAGGCCGGGCAAACGCAGAGACTAAAGCTCCCGGGCCATTAGAGGAAGGATGAGTTCCCCTCCATCCTGGTCAACTATTTGATCCGAGCACGAACCCTGATGGTTTCTCAATTATCATGAGTGTTCACAACCTCATGCTGGGCGATCATCGGGAGAAAGAACCTGTTTCACCAAACGAGTGAGGGTTCAAACATAGAAGAGTCGAGTTGCTTTCGACCTCCTCCATGAGCTCATGTCGACAAACTGTATAGAAATCCGAGCTATAAGGGTTCTGGATCACAGAACGGTGGATTTCATAGACAATCATTGAGATCAATGATTGAAGGCCTTGAAAGCCGACCGCCAGTAGAGAAGTGATTCTCGTCCATGGCTAGTCAACAGTTCGACATCTTGCCAGTTTCGCAAGCTCCGAAAGCTAGAAAAATGCGACAGGAGAAAATCCAAGGCGAGATAGCTCAGAAATAGCTGAGAAGACATCAGAAGGACCAGAAACAGCGAATACCTGTTCGAGAAAATTCCAATACAGAAAGATGGAAAACCTCGAATGTCTGGCGGATGTACACCTTCCCGGCGATGGCATCAGATCGATAGTGATACCTCAGATCACCGTCATTCAAGCCTGATTCGATGCTTGGCATCGGAGAGGTAGACGGAAAACCGATTCGAGAGGCCGCTAAACAGCGAAGAAAATTATCACTTTCATATGAAGGATCTGAGCTGCAGTCCTGACATTCCAGTTCCTACAAAACGAATTCACCCGGTTCACGAGGAGGCTCAATCTGTCAATGATAGACAATCGCCACTCAGGAACGAAAGGTGTTGGACTTTCAGGTCTAAAAATCTGGAAACCAGGCTATGAGAAAGGAACTGTGGCTCAACTCTGTATGCAAGCAAGCAATAACCCAAAACTCAAGGAAAGAAAATGAGAGGGAAAAAGAGCTGTACAGAGAGCTGTTCCACTCAGCCGACTAGAAATGGAGGCTTCGGGGAACTCAATCAAAGAACAACTAGCACAGTTGGAACTTGATCCTTCGGCAAGATTCAAAGACGTCAAGTCGGAATAGATCTAGCATGCCAAAGTTACCTCATCACTGATGAGGTGACACAGACGCTCATAGAGACGTCCAGGGATAAAGCCAGGAGATCGATCTCAATCACTCATAGATGGCTAGACCAACCGGTTACTGCATTACAAGAGTAAATGAAGGTTCGGTATGTCCCTTTTCTCCGCAAATGTTGAAGTTTTGTCAACGGAAGGAGACAGCCTCAGCCTCATCTACATGAGCCAGGAAAGCTTGAGCTCACAAGTATAGCTGACGTATCAGCGATCTGGACAAGAAGAGGTTAGCAGAGAACAATCAGAGTTCCGAGAGTGCACAGGCCAGAATACTGACAGACAGTATGAAGATGCCTTGAGAAACAAGTTTGCCTACCTAAAATAATGAGGATCTACTCATTAGGTAGAAAGAGTCAAAATGCGCAAACTTATGCTCGGATCTGATTCGGATCACCAGCTCTCCACGATGAATAAGTAATGATCATCACGACGTGGCATAATACATGCGGAGAGAGCGGGTCGTAGTCCACTCTGGCAGAGAGACAGTGTTAAAAGTTCCAAAGATCTTTCGAAACCCAACAATTTGCATCAAATTGTATATTCCCCGGAATCCGAACCATTGTGTGGTTCATGGGTTGGATGAGGTATCGAAATCAGCAGCTTCCAGGAAAAGGAGCGATGATGCTGTATATTCTAGAAAGGCGTGAAGGATCGTGGGAGCCATTCCAAGGAAGCTAGACCACCTCATGACCAAAGAAGAGGGTTGAGTCGCTGCCAGCTTCAGAAATGGAAATTAGGTAAAAGTTGGAGGTATACAATGAAGGCAATCTCCGAACGAAAAGGTTCAAAGAAGAGAAAAAGCTTTACCTAAAATCACTGGTGTCGAAAACGTACAATTTCTGCTTAACCAGGAGCAGTTCTCATGGAGAAGGAACACTTCCGCAGTACATACCCAACGAGTCCAAAGACAGGACTCATCAACAAATACACATGTACGTTGCTCGAGGCAGAGGATATAAGCGGATAAGCCAGTAAAAGGCTTTATACACGTCGATAGCTAGTACTGACGGATGATCTCCGAACCATGGAGATGAGAATCGCGACAAGGAAGGGTTTTCTAAACAAGATCTTACCACTCAATGGTGGATAAATCCTCGATGCTCGCGAGCACATCTGTCGAAGCCTTAAGAGCCACAGCCTCAATGTTGCTTTAAACTAGCTATGTGATCGTTTCGTAGTATTTGGAATATAATGTTATATTTTGCTAGACAACGTAGTTGTTGAAGTAAAATATTTATTATATCCTAATACGTAGAAACGATCAGATATCCCACCCAGTGACCTTCGAAAGTTACAGCTTAAAAGGTTCACTTGATCCCGCCCAGACATTGAGGCTCAGAAGTGGGTCAGCTCGAGCGATCCTCGGCCATACATCGGCTTGGAGCAGGCATTAAATTGCCATTGAAATCGTTCAAAATGGGTTCCAAGAGTTGAACGCCAGGAACAGAGGCTCAAGGCTCAAGGAAAAGGGATACAGTACCGGTCACACCACGAGAGAAAAAGTGGGCAGGCGCACTTTCAAAAATTCTCATAACTGAGAAAAGTTTGAAAACATCTCCTTGCGCTAGACAGGCAAACCACAATGGTTTACCAAGGTGACGGGAGCCCGGCTAGTTCATTAAGTATATCTGGTAAAGAGTACGCGTAAGGAACGAAGAGCTTTGAACAGCTGGGAATGAGTCTCACTACGCAAAGCTCGTGAGATCGGCTCACGCGATCTGATAGATCACGTATACGCCGAATTGAAAGTTCAGACCATAAGGGCAAACAGCTATAAGCTATGTGATCGTTTCTACGTATTAGGATATAATAAATATTTCACTTCAACAACTACGTTGTCTAGCAAAATATAACAATATAGCTAAAAGGTATGCCGGAGGTCTCACGATGGACATATTATGGAGTCTTCACGACCCATTTTGAGAGTACCTTTGAGGACCCATTATGGTACCTTCTCGATTCGCCTGTGTATGAAGAACTCTTATAGAAAGTTCTGTATGAGTGAATAACTAGTTTAACTTTCGAAAAGCGAAAAACCATTACATATTGTTTTCGAGTAAACAACGGTAGACGCGATTCTTTCATACGGCCTCAGGTTCAAAAAAATCATTTCAATGTGCTCTTCTCAATGGGTTTCAATCCTCAGTAATTGAATATTTTTTTGTTTAGAAGGTAGTTTCGATAAAACAAAATTGGAAAGACTGTGAGCCGATTTGGAATGCCAGCAAATGACGAAAAGACGACGCGTGAACCGGAAAAAGTTAATTTCATTTTTAAGAAAGTGGTCAAATATTTCATTTCAGAAGAAAAACAAAATGTTCAAGTTCTTCTCATTGGGGTGTCGCGGTCGATCACGAGGCGAGTGAAGCTTCAATTTTTTTTTTCATCATCTATCTGCATTTACGATATTTGTCAAACTCGCTTTGGCTTCAGAAGAAAGCCATGAGCGTGCAAATAAAACGGTTTCGACATGCGACGTCGTTTCTTTGAACGGAGAATCCAAGAAGAAAAAGAAGGAGACTTCAGCTAAAGGCAGCTTTTCCGTGACGACTCTCAAAGAAACTCAGAGCATGGTTGTCTTTCTCATTATTGAGAATATTCCGGTTTTGATACAGAATAATCTTTCTCGTACTTCGCGGGAAATGTTTTGCACGAAAATCGTTGAACAGAAGCCCCTGGATGAGGCGAGAAGAGACGCCCGCGCGACGCCGATTGAAGACGCCGACGAGGCTCGTGCAGACTCGGAGATCCTTTCCAGTCAGTTCCTTTCAACGCTCAGAATAGATGCTCATGCAAGTAACGAGTGTGGGAAAAAAAACTCATTGCGAACAAAAATTCATTTTCTTGAACTCAGCTCTTTGTAAATAGATTTATAAAAATAATGAATTGATTTTAGAAGCGATTTTAAAAAATTCCTTCTATTTCGCTCAATTTTGCGCCTTTTTGGGTTTTTATATTCAGATTTGTGTCAGACGATATTCGAGTTTCCAAGCTATAAAGACGCTCAAAAAAAGAAAATGTTCCAAAAGCAAAAAAAAATTTTAGCGTCTTCAGGCGTAGACTTGTTTTGAGCCATTTGGGTTTAGGTTCTGAATTTATATTTTGCAGTTTGATAATTTTGATGTTTTGCCGTCTTCTTGGAACATTTCTGAAAGTGAGATTTATTTAATGAACAAGTAGCTAGTTGATAATTTTTTTAGAAGTCCTGAAAAAAAGGGGCGGGGGGAAGAAAGTGATACCTTATCAGAGAGAATTGACGCAGTATGAAGCCGTGCACTGCTTTGATGCGGAGTTTTTTTTATATGAAAAAAATTTCGGTGTTGCAGATTACAGCACAGCAGCGCCGTTCTCGGAAGGAGGTACTGGTGAAAGTTTTGAAGTTTTCGCCGGGTAAGTTTGCCTTTTCCGTTAATACTCCCTCGATGAGTTGCAGATTTCTGCCACTGAATTCAGAGAATATTTTGGAAACGAGTGTTTTTGAAAAAGATCAGAGCCAACCACTGGCAAGACGAAAAATCGCTCAGATCTTGAAAGAACCTGGCGATTCGCCGGTGCCTTCCGTGACGTCAGAAGAAGACAGCTTCGCAGAAGTGAGCACATTGTTACTTTTTTCTGTGGAGATGTTTGTTTGAGGAGCGTTTGGACAGTCTGAATCCTGACGCGGAGGCTTCGTATTCTTTTGTGCGGAATTTCAAGGAGCGCCTTTCGATCGGCGGATCGATGCGACAAATCAAAAGAAGACGTCGGCTGAGCTGGTCGACTCCAGAACGTCCCCTGTCGGCGACTGAGATTCCAACTTCTCTTCCTCCCGAAGGTTATGTTTTTCTGATTTTTGGAAGGAGTAACTTTTTCAGTATCTTTCAAATTCAAATAGTGTCCTGGGAAGGGGTTGACTTACAAAGATTCGAAAAATGAGGGGCGAAGTAACATTCAATAATAGAGAGAGTTTTGACAAAATAAAATTGATTTTTTACCTCGGAAGCTAGTGCTGACTTTAATGCTGAAAGACATAGAAATTGGAATTGGCGGCTTTTAAAAATGTTCTGTTCGCTTCGACAACTTTGAGAGAAAAAAAAAGAAAACAATGAAAAGATCTGAGCCCAGGCGATTCACTTCAACCGCCTTGAGTCTGGCAAGTAAATGGCCCGAAAGGACGAATCATAAACCCAGCTGTTGGCGGCGTTCTTTTGCTCTCCGACCATCTTCTAGCCTTGTATTACATTGTAATATTTGTCGCTCGCGTTTTTCTAAATTCTGAGGGGCATTTTGATGGGATGATTATTTCTGAACAGCTGTCTTCAAACGAAGAGAGTCTCCACCATTATGCACACAATTGACGTTGTGAAGTGTTTAGTCGATTCATCAAACCCGTTTAGAACTTGGAAATTCATCCCTAATTTCTGTTTCTGTGGACTGTATAGTTTGTGTTGAAAGAACGCGAAAAAGGTTTCATGTGTTTTATCAGCAAAATTAGTCGCAAAGAGCTCGTACAACAGACTTGCGGAGAAGATGTTTACAAGGGAAGTAGCCGAAGATGCCGTTTCACCTGAGACGCGCGTATTTACCTGGCTGTCACTGAAACAGTACGGCGACGGAGGCCGTTATGCTGATTATTAGCTCTTTGTCTGAGTTTGCCTCGTACACGGGGAAACAGAGTCTCCGCCTGTCCCTCAAACGCCTCAAATGATGCATTTTCGCTGTCAAATCTCTTCATCATTTCATACGTCGTATCTCGCTTCGTTTTGCATTTAGCTTTTTGTTGGTCAGGCGTCTCAGGCATGTGGCGACTCTTTGGCTCTCGAGTATACCAGAGCCAGGAAGTTTATGAAGGTCATAAATGTTTTGTTTCCAGCTGTTCCTAGATATCCGGTTCACCTACTCCGTTCCTTTTGTTGAAATTTCGGTAATCTTGGTAAAAAGAAAAGTTAGATATATGTAAATTGTAATACTGACGGAAACATTCAAGTTAAGGTTTGTTTTCTGAGGTTGGATAGTCCAAGTTCAATAAAGTATTGTCGATTTTCATTTTCTTTCAGTATGATAAACGGTATGTTGTCCCTCACGACCTTCACAGTTGTTTCTTTTAGTTAAATAAGTTTATTTGATTTCTGGACTTCAAACTGTTTCTATGGTGTTCTCAAAATTTTTTATAGGAATCCAAATGAGCATTTGGTTTGTGAAACAGTCTCATTTTTTTTGGAGTTAGCAATTTTTCATTGTAAGCTTTCTTAGTTTCATCTTTTTCACAATGCACAATGGACAATGGATTATTTTGTTGTCCACGTTGTTGCAACAGACGGCTCTCCGCGTATCCCGTGGACTTGCGCCGAGCGTTCCAACCGCCTGTTACTCATTTATCACTGACAGCAATAAGCGCGTCCTCGCCTACCTTCCTTCCCTGTTCTCATTCACTGAATATTTGATTGTTTCTAGGCTGGATAATGTTCTGAAAATGCCTCTCGAATGTCGATTACATCTATTAAACGAAATATCTTTCATTTAAATTTTTTCTGATAGTGCTGGTAGTTTTACTTTGCGATTAAGAATTCATTGAAAATTGGCTAGAAAAATTCTTGCTGTACCATATAAAGATCCTGATACTCTCAACTTGCTCAACTTCCTCGTTTTCGAGAAAGGACACCTCAAAGTCAAAGAAACCTCCAAAATCCATAAAAATCGGCTGTTTTTAGGCTTTAGCCCATTTTTCTCGAAAAATATAAAGGTCAACTTTCAAGAATTTCCCAGCCGCAACGTAAAATGACCTCCTCTGGAAAAGGAATTATCTGTATCGAATAATTTTTTGGTTTTGTCTCACTGGTAATCTCCTAAAGACAGGATGTTTGCCGGTTTTCTTTGTCTAAAACGGAAAGAGAATTTCAAACAGATCCTTTGTTCGTGAAGGCGCCGTCTTGTCCCACCTGTCCTCCGTTGGTCATTCAAATAACCTTCCGCATATCTCAATTCTTTTCTTTTTTTTTACTCTCTTTGGTTTTTTTAAATCTACTGTGGTAATTATTTGTTTTTTTCCGGAGTTCGGCCTCGGTAAATCAAATATGTTGATGTATAAATATTAAAAAAAAAACAAAAAAACAATTTTTTTTTAAAGTTTTGTTTTCGTTACTTTTATCATGATGTTCCAACCAAAAACCAGTTTTCTAACTTCGAAAAACTCGCATTTCGAAAAAATAAATCCATCTCCCATTTTTTCATCTCCAATAGGATTTTTTGCTTTTTCGTCGAGGCAATCTTCTACATAGAATAACTGTCGCTGAAATAACCTGTATTTTTTGTCGCTCATCTTCGGAATAGATAATTTAGCATTGTTTTAGGAGGCATTGTCAACGATAATTCGGACTAGTGTGGCCTCAAACAGTTTGAAACTGTAGAAATGAGCGATCGCGTGTCTACGGGGTCGCTAGGCGAGAGGCTTATTCTGCGAACATCTAGCACTCGCGGATCTGTTCGCGAAACGCTGACAAAAGCGATTCGGTCGACGTTGCGACGAGCGACGAGCTCCGATCAACGCAAATCTCAGAACTCCTCGACGCCGATGGAAGACTCGTCGTCATCGCCGCGTTCGAGTGCTTCTAGCACGCCGAGGACGCCGTCTTCCGGATTCAACAGCATGAGTCACCTGCCGCCTATGCAGAGTCGCAAGAGCTCCGAGCCGCCGTGTATGTCTCAGAGTATGTCTCAGTGCATGTCTCAGAGCATGTCTCAGAGCATGTACGTACAGCCGACCTCACTCTCCCTTACCGCAACGCCGCGGCTGACTCATCGCAAGTACGGCGATGAGCTCTCGAGAGGCTCCTGGCTGCCTTCTACTCCTAATCTTCACGAACTTCACGATTATGACCACTATGACGACTACGACGTCGACGACGGAACTTCTGTCATTTCTTCAGCTTCCACCAGCCGCATATTTTCCTCTGATCTCAGACGACGACATCTGAAGAATCAGTCGCTTCGAATGTTTTTGAGTTCTCCAGGTAAGAGAGATTTTAGAAAATTTGATTTGTTGAAAATTTTGGTTTAAAAATAAAGGAACTATATTTTTGATGGTCAAAAAAAGTAAGTTTTCAATCAACATTTTTAATAATTTTTCTATGAAAAAAATCTTTCTTTAATTTTTATAAAAAAAGAGAGGTGGCAAAAATTTTTTTGCAGTTTTTTTAACTGAGCCGAGTTTTCTTCGACAATTTTTTTCGCTGTTTTTCTTTTTTTATAGATTTTTTTGTTATTTTTTTGAACTCAATGAATATCGTTCTTTTTTTAAAGTTGCCACCTATCGATCGTACCCTTTATTAGACGCAAGATTTTTCAGTTTCTTTATTGTAGCAAGACTGAATATTTTATCGTGAAAAAAATGCCTTAATTTGATTATCGAGATAGTAAGAAAAGAACTTTTTTTGAACTTTACTTGAAATTTTTCAAGTCGGAAAGTCATTCATCATGCAGTTGTAAAAAAACCGGAAAGATCAATTTAGTTTAGAGATTAAAGGCTACTGGGGGCCATTTTTTCAAAATAATAAATTTTGGTATAAGAACGTTAAACGAAATATTTCATATCTGGGGTACTATAACTCATTCAGGCGGCTTTGTTCTTCGGAACATCCTGTGTGGTGAGGAGTCTCTCGAGACGTAGCTTCTAATGGTGGGCGCCAGCCTTCCTTTATTATCATTAACTGATGAATGGCCGGTCGTTGGGCGCCTTTCCGTTTTTCTGGCTCATTCGCACTTTCAAGATCTCTTCCTTGTCTTCCTGAGAACATTTTGTCGGTATCACTCACACTCCAGCTGGGCACGGCCTTTCGAGTGCTCGAACCTCTGAAAGCACTCCTTTCTCTTCTTCGCGCTTGCTTTGAAGTGTCGAACAAAGGGGGAGGAGGAGAGCTGTAGAAGAAAGGCATATATCCACTCTAGTTCGATTCGCGAATCTCACCATGACCATCATCAAATCTGTAAAAGGTTGGTTTTGTAATCTTTGCGGTCATGAACACTTTGTAAAGCCTGAGACTTCTTAACGGGTTCGCACATTGGTAGTTTTTCACTGTTAATGATGATAACAACAATAATAGCTTTATTCATTGTGTACGGTAAGAAAATTACTAGTTAAAACTACAAAGTTTCTCTCTTTCTACTCATTCGCGGTGATATTTTTTTTGCAAGCTTTTAGCGGGTACACACTTTTTTGTTTGTTGCTAGATACTAAATATTCTTAAATAGTTCGATGAAGCTCTGAAAAATTAGATCAAACATTTCAGAAAATATTCACTTTCCAGCCCTTGCTCACTTTCTCTTCTAGACATTCCAGCAACACCTCATTGAATCAGCATGCTCAAAAAAAAGATTTTCGAAACCTGGTCAAATGATAATTTTCGTATTTTAATGAGAAATGATTTGAAGTATTGATGGTTTTGAAAGAATCTCTCTGAAAACTTGCTCACGAGGTGAGTTTTCAACTTACTAATGGGAAAGCGCACATTTGAAAAGAAAGTGAAAGCGATCTCATTTTACTGTGGCTCGCATCTGTCCACATACGAATGCGGAAAAGTGGAAAAAAAAGGCCGAGCCGCATCCTGGCGCATCCACATACGGCGTGCTCTCTCGCCGGAGTTCACACCTGCACGAGACGCGCGGCCTGTGGAAGAAGATGTTCATCATATAGCGCTTGCCATACTCTTCATTCAATGTGACTGTCTAGATTTTCTTAGTTCAATCTAGTCAGAGGATGTTTAGAAGAAGTGAAATGCGAAAAGATGAAAAAAATCCACAGCCAACATTATGAAAACTAATGGTCAAAAGCAAGTTAAAACTCATAAACTTGACCTCTAGAATTTAAGAAAGAAATTGTATTCAAAAAAACTATTTCAATTCTTTCTTGACTTCTATTGTGGAAATTTTGATTGAACGAGTTTGCCAACTGAAAAAGGCTCTTTTTCGTATTCGATGATCCTCTTCAATCAGAAGGAACAACAAGAAAAAAAAATGTTCTCTTCTCTCTCTCTCTCTCTCTCTCTTGGTAATGTTTTCAAAGTAGTAGAACGTCTTCAGAAGAACTTTGTGTTGCTCGCAGCCGTCGCGAGAACGGACTGAGGTCGCGCATGCGACTCCGCCCTCCAGTGCTTGCCTCGCGACCCGCGTCTTGTATATCCCGACCGCAACTCCTCGCGCCGACCGTTGCCATACGTAATCGACCTCTCCTTCAGACATATTCCTTTTTTTCACGGTCAAATCGTCTTGATTTATTCTGCCTTGTTTTCCTGCGTATCCGGTGGGAATCAGTTCCACTCTTCGCTGATTATTCGATAAGTTCGTCTGTTTTAGTCAAAGATTGTCGTATTCCGCTCAAACCTGGAGTACTGCTTTTTGACTGACGTTCTTATTGGCTATGAATTCGCTCTGCTCTAATTTCTTCGGCATCCCTTTCCCTGCAGGTTTGTTCGGAAGTTTGGAAATCAAGATTTATTTATAAATCTAGTTTTGGTTCCATCTCGTTATCCTTTTTCCTGCTCGCTTTTTCTCATTGCTCGGCTTTTCGCTCAACCCAACTCTGCCGTTCTTTTATTCATGGCGTGAGAGTTCTTTCAATCATGCGAAAATGGCAGCTTTCGCAGATGCAACCGCAATTGCCTTGGTCTTTTCTCATGGCAATGCCTTTTCTTCTTAAATTGGTTATGATCCCTCTATCTTCAGCTTATTCATGTTACTTGATGTGAGAACACTGTGTAATGAATGATTTGGAAGCGGTTTCAAAATGTGTTTTCTTCTTCCAAGTTTAGGGATTTTCAATTATCTGCCTGTTAAATTTCATGAGTATTGCGTTGCAAACTTTCGAATAGTATATGATAAGTTTTTATAATCAATAATTAAGTTTGTTCTGGAGATGCTCAAAAAAAAAGAATGAGTTTTTGGAACTCAAAAATTTTCTTTTCATTCATGAGTGTAGAAATTTTCAAAATTTCTTGTTCAATTTCGTCCGTATTTCTGTCATTTTTTGTTGGAGTTCTGCGCACTTTTCGGTCACTAAGAGTATGAACTATCTCGAGATTAAATTTTGTGCTAAAGAAAGATCTTTGATAAACTTGGTCAAAATTTTTGCGTTTTCTTTTCGAAATTTCGACAGTTATCTGCACCCAAGATCTGCGGACGGACGAGCGCAGATCCTCACACACATATTCTCAGTCCTTATCGTCTCATTAAATTCCGAATCCACTTGGTTGTTCTCAAAAAATGGGTTCACAGAAATTCTGGTTGCAGAATAATTTAACAATTTTGGAAATTAATTTTCATGAGTTTTGGATCGATTTATCTATGACTGAAATAACTTCCTATGGGATACTTTGCACTTGAATGATGGTCAAAGTAACTGAGCCTTGTGGACGGAAAGTGTCATATTTCAAGATTCGGCACTCAATCGAGCCTTGTTGTCGGTTTGCTTAGAACTTCTGGGAAGTTTCCGGGAGTAGAAATGATCTTATGAAACACTGGTAACGATTTGATTATGTGGTAGATACTCACTTCTTCAGATTAAAATTAAACTATTGAAAAACTTTTAAGTTTTATCTTAAAAAATAGTTCTTTGGAGACTTTCCGGAGTCGAATAACGTTATAAAAATTATTTTCACAGCAGCTTTGACAAAGGCTCAAGATTTATTTCACTTTATTCAGGGCATAGCCAAGCGAATAAAATGTAAGATTTCACCGATGTTGAGGATAGGAAATATTTCAAAAATTTGTAACAAAATTATCTGAACTTCATTTTTTTAAAATAATTTGAAACAAAGTGCAGATCAAGATGTGCGCCAAAAAAGTGTGTACGACTGACAAACGTCAGGTGTGCGCTCTTTCTTGGATTTTTTTTTCTGCCAAGAAAAATGGAAAGATCAGAGTGAAAACGGAGGATCTAGACAGTGCGGACAGCGGTGTGGCAACCAGAGAAGCTCTAGAGGAGTGTGTTGATAGTCGACATCGATATCAGCCGCTCCGACTCATCTTTCTTTTTTGCTGGCTCCTTACTCGAAGTCGAGCCGACGAAATGCTAGTCCTAGAATAATCTCATCTGTTTCATTTTCTCTAATATCCCCGTATTTTCTGCGAATTCTAATTTATTCGGTAAATGCCAACGATAATATTAAAACAACTGCGAACGACGGAATGTGTTTGGTTTGCTTTGGCGCAGCGCTTTTGAATGCCGCCCAGAGCTATTATTTCGAATTGATGCCTAATATTACAGTTATTATTTCGCCAAAGGCGAATCCCCATTTTTCGGAACCTACCGACGTTTGCCACAATAAGTGTGAGTTATGTGGGAAGAGTAATATGCATTGATAAGGTCTGACTCTGTTTTACCGAAAGTAAAAGGAAAACATGGAAGTTTCTCCTGGGTGCTGAAATAATGATTGAGCTTTTTGAGAGGTGCTAGTTTTTATTTTATTTCGAAGGGACGAAGTTCCAGTGGCCAGAACCCCTTTTTTGCCTTGGAGATGGTTGAGCTAGAAATTATAAGAAAGTTTCTACGTGTATTGGGTCGATTTCAACTTCAAATGATTTTAAACTCAACTTATATGAAACACGAGAAAATTTACAAAAAAGATTGATTTACTGAATTGTTTTGCAGTTCGTTTGCGGAAACGCGTGGACTCTTCGCGACGAGATGCCGTCGAAGCAGGCTTCGAGCCTCGCGACGCCGTCCTCCGCTGCCATTCGACACAGTCACTTCGCGATGCGCAGGCTTTCAATAGATCTGAGTTCCAGGTGCCATTTTATTAATGTTTCACTCTCTATCGACCAGCTACATACAGGCCAGCGACTTAGTCTCTTCCAATCCCAGTGGTCGGACTTCTGTCTCTCACACAGTTCTCAACTCTGTCGCTCCGTCAGTCTCCAGTTCGAATTCTCGCATTGCGACGAAAGTCAGACCCACTGCCAGCAGGTAGTCGCAGAGACGGCCTCGACAGCCTGAAGATCGTCTTTTCAGGTCCTCGCACGACTACAATGAAGTCCATCAGCAATATCTCATCGAGGAGCCTCAGAAGCGTCGAAGTCTCCAGGCTCTTAATGGTCAGTGTTTTCCGTTCATCAGGGACTGTCTTCGGGAAAATAAAACGGTCTGAAAAGTTAGTGATGAGAACTAGGTAGCGAGTTGTATTCCATGTCAGGCAATTAAATAAATAATAAAAAAATAGTTCCTATAGTTTGCAAATTTTTGAAACAGACAACAGAAATTTCAAATCTGAGCCAGAATAGAATGAGTTTTTTCTTTACTTTTTTTACAATGTCTTCCGTTTTTCAAGTCCAATATATTCTAAAAAGATCTGTAAATGTTTTGAGTTTTGGCCGTAGAGATGTTTGCAGGCCAAAGGAAACTTTCTGTAGTGAGTCACGTGGCTGTCTTTTATCGTCAGGCGTTATCAGTGCTCTTGTCAAACTGTAACCATTTGCATTGGCACTCGGTTCCGCTGCCTTCCATTTCAGTTTCGAAGCTCCAGTATATAATTTTGCAGCGAACTCGCTTTACCAAATGACCAGCGATCGGATGGCGAATTCTGAGCAATGGCCCCAAGAAGAACACATTTTCAATGGTTTGTTCATCATTAAGAACACGTATTTTCCTAAATTTTCCCTAAATTCTTTCCGTAAACTTTAGTGTGTGAGAAATGAAACATTTTTCTAAACATTGAAAAAATTCATTGTTCTTCGTTTGTTCTTAATAATAGTTACTAGAAAAGATTCTCGTTACCCCATTACAAAGACACTTGATTTTTTTTTGAGTTTTCAGAGCTATCACTTTCTAAGATAAAAATTTTGAATTATTGATAAAACAATTTAAGTTTCAAAGGTGAAAGTTGTTCATTTTCACTTGATAAAAAGTATATTGCGAAAAAAACGTAAATCAGCTGCTGAGTCAGAAAAAAACGGTAAGAGAGAGCCAAAATATTTCTAAACATTTCAAATAGTATTTTTCTAAAATTTTTTTAATGCCTAAAAAGAAACCCTATTCTGGCAATACAGGAAAGTCAGTTCAAAACCTTATTTGAAGAAATTATCATTTATTCATCACTTATTGTGTAGAAATCATCTCCAGTAAACATAATGCTTGAGTGGGAATTTCAGGACAACACCATGGAATTTGCGACTCAACCACCCCGACTTTCCCCAACGAGTTAGTTTTATTTCTAATATCCTTCAATTGCATCGTCGAGTTTCACGGTCCATATTGGTTCGCAATAGAAAAGGTTTTTTTAATAACTTTCATCATAATTAGTTGGAAAAGTATCCTTTAGCGCCTAAAATGAAAAAATTCTTGGTTAAAGATCATCAAAAATTCATTGGTTCTAACAATTTTTCTTTGGGATCTTTAATTTTTCCCAGAGGCAATGTTTATAATAAAGTATTAGCGGAGTTATTTTTGCGTTGGAATCGCAAGTCACAACGTCGGAGACCTGCGGAACTGCTGTTTCACGGGCTTCCACATATGTTTCTCGGACTTTTTACGGGTCAATCGACAGTATTCGTCAACTGAGCCCCGTTTCTGTCGCTCTCTTTCATATCCAGACTATTAGAATTCCCGATTTTTGAAGAAATCACTCAAAAACAGTTGCTTTTCCAAAGACTTATAACTAGTTAAAACTTGGATTCAGTTCAAAATTGTTCGAGAGTTAATGCTTGATTTTTTTTTTTCGTTTTCATGAAGTTAAATGGCGTAAAAAGTTCTAGTCGCTCCATTTCAATAAAGTAATAAGTTACCGAAAAAAGGAGTCTGTATATAATTTTCAATGTTGACAGCAAATCCGCTTGTATGTGCGCTTGAAAGATAACGTCTGCAGAAAGTTTTAACGACGTGTATTTTTTCTCATTCAATTTGTGGAAAAATAGTAAGGAATGTGTGTTTGAGGCTTTGAAAAAAAATTTTCTCCCTAAGTTCAGAATATATTTTTTTCTTTTTTGTCTTAAAATATTTTGATCTTTAATTTTTCCTCTTTCCTCATGAATCTATATTTTTGACTGCAGACCCTCTTGTAACCTCCTGTTAGGGTCATCCATTCTCACAAGATGTCCAATTGCGGTCGATTCAAATTAGGTGGGGTCTTCCCCTCGTGCGCCCTCTACGTTTCCGCACATGCCTCGCCGTCTTGCTCAACCGTTCTGTTGTTCAGCAGACCTCTTATTTGCATTCTACTTACTTATTCTATCCATACTTGCTTGTGAGCAGCGTGAAATTTACTAAACAGTCTTTCATTTTCCAAGTTTTTGAAGTACAACTCACTATCTTCAGAGCTTCACATAATCTCCATTTTACTCAGGAAAGAGTTAACTATTTTATTTTATTTTTTTATTCAGTAACATTTTTTCTTCCTCATTCTATGCCTTTCTACCGCTTGAGCGGCGTCGGAGCCCCAAGTCGATTAGCCGAGGTCCTATCCTGATATGTGATTATTGTGAACTGGCTCGAGTGACATATCCGTCCTTGTGTGTGACGGCTGGGGAATTTGATGTCGTGGTTTCCCACTACCAACATTTCTTAAACCCCTTGGTTGGGTCGAGGCGGGGATCGAACTTGTGACCCTATGGATCGTATACAGGCACACAACCTGTTGCTCTTTTCAAGTACTGTAGAGCGCGGTTTCTTTTTTTTTTAGTTTTTTAGATTTAATTTTCTACTGTCTCACTCTATTCGATTTAGCGCACTCTAAATCCATTGCTCCTTATCAGTGAGTTTTTCAAGAAATTTGAAGAATTAAAATGGAAATTGAGCAAGAAACAATTTCTACTAAACATAAACATTTTTCCGATTTAGATGAATTCAATGTTAGTAATAGTTTTCAAGAAGAAGCTTTAAACTTGGCAGCGGCGCATCTTGTTTTCCATTCTGTTTATCCAATTTTGATGTGTCCCTCAGCATATGTCGAGAATGCGAATGGATTGCGTGGTATCGCGACGGGTGGCCGTGCTTTCCAGACGTCGTCAAACCCTTCACGGTTCTGCTCGCGTGCAATTATTTATTTCATTTTTATTTTCTCGAGAAAAAACTCCAATAGTTTATGCTGCCCTACTGACTGTTTATGTGAGTAACCCGATTCAAGGCATATAACAACTGGGCGAAAAGCTCATTGCGTTTATTTACCAATAAGAAACCGAGACGCCCCCAAAGCCTCTTTGATTTGGGGCCAATGCTCCTTCGAATGCACAACAGAACACCTTTTTATTCATTTATTTTTTCTTAGGTTTGTTTTTTTCGACCAGAGCTTACGGAAATTAGAGACAAAAATTTTTAATTTTTAACTTGATCATTTTTTTTTACTCATTTGAAAAAGAAACGACTCATTCGACTGATTGTCCGCGATTTTTCTAAACTCGTCTGAGCCTCTCACAGCAAGTTATTTTTTGTTTCGTAAACACATTTCTTCGAATTTTCTGTAGCTGTCAGATAGCACGATGCGGAACTTTTCATGACGACGCCGACATTTGAGAAAGAGGAAAGATGGTCGATGAGGCCTTCTTGCTCTTGTAATGATTCCCTGTTCACCATTTCCGACACCGAGGGCTCGGATATCGAAGCTAATTTTCGGCGCAAAAATGTCAAGGATGTCTGGAAACGCAGGTTAAAATAGTCTTTCTGCATAGAAAATGATATAAAAGTGAAACCGACGATGCAATTCAAATTTTATACTTTTTATCTTACATTTTCACATTTTTTTTTTGTTCAGCCATCGAAGGAGTGTCCAGAACGACAGCCGGAATTCTTTTTTTGATGGCGTCAGAATGACTTCCACACCAAAAAGCCGAGTTAGTTTCCTTCTTTTTCTGTTTTAGTTAATGACAAAATCCAACGATTCAAACTACTCCAGTCTTCAAATCAATTTTTTCAAGAAAATGCCAGAGTGAAAAAAAAAGAGAAAAAAAAGCAGTTCGTATTCCTCATTTTTTCTTTATTCTGAATAAAGTTTGAAAGTCGCAAAATGCCCTATTTATCGAAGTTAGGCCGCGAGAACAATTGCATTCTGTTTGTTTTTGGGATGGTCACCTTAATAGTTTATTTTGTCTCGTTGCCTGTCTATTTGTTATTCTTTTCGTGATATTCCAGTTTAAATTTGAACAGATTCTGCTTCCTATTGAGAAAAGCGGAGTATTTCTTCTGTTGAATAGTAGTTCTCAACTTTTTTCAAAAACTAAACATCTTCTTCTTTCGAGAGTTTTACTCAGTACCTTTTAAGGTAATAAAACAGTCTCTTCTGTTTTCGAATTGGATAGCTCTAATAAACTCTAGGAATTTCGATTTTCTTAGCAAACAAGAGTCCTAGTCAGCCTACGAAGTATGATTAAAGTTAGGTATGGTCAGTTTCAAGTCTAAATTCAGCTTGAAAAATATGTCTGAACTGGTTTCTAGATAATTAAAATTGTAAATAAAGTCTCCTCCTGTTGTCTCTAATTGGATAGAAATTGGGCTGACCGGTTTCTGACGTGAACGCATTCGTCGGGGTCTTCTCAAAATTAGGAAATTCGCGAATCGGATTTTAATTGAGAATGGATTGAATGGCGAGATAACTTTTTGTTTTTCCCACCCAATTTTCACTCAAAACACTATTATTACTCGGTCAATTATATTTAATGTTGAGTTAAAATTCATTTTTTTCTAAATCCTTTCATCTATAAAGGTCCAAAAAATAGTTGACAAGTAACTCTGTCATTTTTGTTAACAATATTTTAATATTTTTTCCGGCACAGAATTTGCGTTGATGATTTAGTGTGTACGAGAAGATGTTAAGAAGCTACTGAAACGGATCGCCGCCACCACTGCTGGGGAACAAATTTTGCGAGAGGAAAGAAAGCTTTTCTGAAGAGTTGAATGTTCTAAGTTTTTGCGGTCAGGGAACCTTAATTAGTCCAAATCGTCTTTAGCAACTATTTAATCGCCCTCTAGAAATGAAAGTCGGACCGACAAAAGCGTTCGTCTGTTTGATTTCTCTGCTGTCTACTGCGGACTGCACACTTGCTTCTCCATCTCTGTCTCTCGCTCCTTCGCAGAATTTGCCTCCCTCCCTGACTTCTGACAGGCGACGTACGTTTGCATTCCTGTTGTCCTTCACACATGGCTGTTTTGCTGCTGACCTCACCCATCCATTTTTCCGATCCGTTTTACGGTTTTCATAATAGTTTTTACTTTATAAGTTCCTGTAAGCTGAATATTTTCGGAATAACGAGTTTCAAAATAAAAAAGAAACGTTTTTTATCCAGTCTTAATTAAACTATCAGGGAGATTCTTATCTCGTTTATTTATTGCAGCCAGATGGCATTGGGCGTGGTGGTGAATTATTCGTACTTACCATTGCAATGAAAATACCTACCTTTTGTTTTGACCTTCAAAAAATCATAAAATGTGTTATTGCTTTGTTTTGAAAACTTACATTTCATAAAAAAATACAGAATTTTTTATTTATTTTTCTGCAAAATTAGCAAGAACAGATTAGCGAGATATTTTGTCTTTTTGAGCTATGTTGGAGATTCGAGGTAGGATTAGCAAACCGTTCACTAGCCTTATAATGTTGAAAATAATGTTGAAAATAACTTGAAAATCGATATTTATTTGCAACGAATGCATATAATTGTCCCGTGAATCGGATCACAACCGGCGACTTCATTTTTGCGCGTTTGCGCTGCGCGGCTCTCCATTGAATGGAGTTGAAGTGCTCTGTGACGCAGATGGGCTCTTCTACGGCTCTTTTGTCCTTAAAACGTGCGTTTTTCCAATTTTCGTTGTTGGAAGTACTGCAAGTTCCACAAGGTTTTCTTCAGAATCTTTCCAATCAATCTTGATCAGTTGACTCATGGTTTCCTGTCAAAACTAAGAGGTTGAGGCGGGCGGGCGCCGTACTTCCCTTCTCATGGTCTTCCAAGTACTGCAAATAGCTGTCGCTCGTGTCAAGTGACTGAGGGAATTTACGAACCTTCTATTTTCAATATTCGGGTCGACCCACATATGTTTCCGTTATAGTTAACTTGAACTAACTAAAATCAAAAGAATAAACGGGAAATCTTACAGAATGAAAAAGTCGATATTAGCCCCCTCCCCCAGAGTCGCAAAAATTTTTTTCTGGTCACTATACAGCCAAGTCAGTCCTTCTCATCTTCAAACTTGCGACGCCGCTGTTTTTGCTGAATTTATAAGGAGGCTCCCTCATAGTTTTGTATTCTGATTTTCATAGGCAAACCCTTACTTTTTCTGTATCATCGTCAAAATTTCGCAGAAAATAGAAATGTTTATGGCGATTGTCAGTGCGTGAAACTGTTGGAAATTTGAGTGTTTGATGAAGTTCGAGGCAAAAAGACGTAGAAAGTCTCATGAAATGCTAGAGGCGACCATTTTTGGAAAGTTTTTATTTATGAACAGTCCGATTAGATAGTTTTCAACTTTTTGGGGCGTTTTCGAGGCCAAGCTAGCGCGTTTTTTGAGATTTGGGACATAGATGAAAAGCTTTATGAACTCTAGTGAAGCTTTCTTTTTTTTCTTGTTTTCGAGTTGACTTCCAGTTTATTATAAGCTAATTCTACAAATGATAAATGTACGAATTTGTTAGATTTGTAACAGACATATGATTGTTCATAAAACGTATGGAAACATTTTCCCATGGTTTTCCTTTTATTGCTCCGCCTACACGCTTGGGATCCAAGTGAAGATATTTTCTCAGAAAAAATTTTTTTATTCATCAACGGGAACGATTTGAACTTGTGAGAAGCGGCCGCCCGTGGACAAATGTGTGATTGTGACTCGCCCTTTCGTTGTGAGACATGGTCTCTCGGAAAAGTCTCCGATTTCCCATCGTTTCTTTTCGGCGTTACGATCACTCCAATTATATAAGATGGACGGTTCCTCAGCCGAGCTGGCTGATGTTCTACTTCTCAGTTCTCGCGATAAGACCGACAGGTGGCCTCGGCTAATTGAGTTGAAGATTTTGTCTCAACAAGGTCTTTGTTGAAAGCAACTGATTTTGCCTCGTTTTCCTCCTAATTCTTCCGCTTCTCCCCACCTTTCTTTCCCCTTTTTCCGTTGCATTAGTTTTTTGACTTATGCGGGTTCATTTGCCGTTGTAATCTACTTTCGACCCCTTAAATCTAACTTTTCCCATTGATAATTATTTCTGTCGCTCTGCGCAAACAAAAAGGACTTTCATTTGCGGGCGAGAGCAATGTTTTGTTAACGCCTTTTTTTTCGCGACTGTCGCCGCACGAAGAGAAGATTCGTTCCTACCAACGCATCGTCCTGAACAACATTTTGTCTCTTTTCCGTTGAAATGTTCATCTTTTTTCAAATGAATGCGTCAAAATAAAATAAGGTTTTTATATTTTCAACAAATCAGAATCTGGAAAATTTTCAGGAATATTTTTTATCAACGTTCTTGACATCTTTAGCTTGCAGTTTTAAACTGATAGAGGTCCCTCGGCTAATTTAGTTGAAGTCCGCATTCCCTATTTACTGGAGAATAAAAAATTTTTTATCTGAGTTTTTCGAGAATAGTCTAATCAAAACTATTTCAAGAAAAGTTTTTGTAACGAAAGAAAGTTGTTTTGAGAAGTTCTTTTTTTCGAGAAAGTTAGATCAGTAACTATTCAATTTTTTCTTCTTTTTATACAACCAGTTTTTCCTTTGTTTTCGTATATGCCGTCTTTTCGTCTATTTTGAACGTTGTTTCCATTCAAAATAAGAGTTGATTTCAGCGAAACGAGTTCCCCTCTCCTATCAAACTATCAACCATAGGCGTAGTAATATTTCTGTAAGAAAAAAAGCTGCTCAATATCAAAAAAAAGCATCGATTTTCATAATCGAGACTAAAAAATAAATACTTTTCTACTTTTTTTTTAATTCTCTGATGCACTGCTGCTGCAACGGAATGAGCCGATTTTATAACAAAATGATGGAAAAAATCACGGGGAATGGCTCGTCCACTTCCTCGCCGAATGGAGTAACAAAGGCCGCTAAGAACGGTCTACCCGTCGAAAGTCCCAAGTTGAACAACAAGAGAAAACCAGAGGTAATTTTGCTGCGCCGTTCTTTCGGTTTAATTTTTTGATATTCATTCTGAGTCTGGAGCAAGAACGAGAAGATTTATTACTGAGCGTTGGATTTTGTCAAAAAAAAGAACTGATTGATTATTTAACCAAGGGAATGGTATAAAATTTTATAAACCAAAACACAGGTGGCCGTCGCTCCACAACAACAAAAACCGCGGTATTCTTCTGGTTCTCGGGACGAACTTCATCTAAGAAATCCGTTAGTTTTTTCCATTCTCAATAGTCACGAAAAATAAGTTCTTTTCACAGAAACGAACGCAGAAACAGCGGTGGCGCGAACTTGTCGGCGGTTCAGAGTTACATGCTTAGACATGGTGGCGAGGAGCGTCTTGGTGAGAACAACATAAAAAAAAGAATATTTTCAAATGCCCTTTTTTTCAGTTGATGGACCAATCACGACGTCCGAAGGCGCTCGGGTAGCCTACTTGGAACGGAAAGTGCGGGAGTTGGAGGAGATGATGTCACAGCAGCCGCAGCCGTCGACTAGCGTCCTTCAGCTCACCCCCGTCACACAAGCTAGACGTGCGCACTTCTTCTCTTTTCTCACTTGTTTCGCTAAGGGGATAACATTACATGGCGTAAGCCATTTTTTTTTTTTTTTTTGATAACATTCTTTGAAAAGTTTCTTGTCCGGCGTTTATCTTCCGTTGTGCGGCGTTCTGCTTTGAACTTCAAAAAAGTTTGTCAGGATAGAGATCTCTAGACGAAAAAGTCTCTCATTAAGGCATTCGGCGTCGGCGGCGTCTTTGAAACCTCAGCCGGTAACCCCTTTCGGCTAGCCGCCTTTCGTGATTTGATAAAGGGAAGGGAGATCTGAGGATCCCCGCAGCGTTTTATTTTCGATAGCATTTGCGCATTAATGAAAAAAAAAGATTCGCAAAGCGTATAATTTCAAAAAAGTTTACTTTGCTAAGAAAATTTTAAGAATTTTTCATCCAAAGTGGATAAGACGAATGTCATCCGAATTATGTTTCTTGTTGCAGTTTCTGATTCCAGATGCCCGTAATGCTCCGCCGACTCAGCTCATCATTTCAAATAATGGATCTACGGTAGCTGAACAGATTAGGTTAGTGATCATTATTTCTAAACCTAAAAAATTTTTTTTAAGAATGCAGGAAATGACTGAACAACTTTCGTCGAAGGAGAAAAAAGTTGCAGAACTAGAGGTTTTTTCTGTCGTTTTGTTCTGAAGAAGAAAAAGTTGGTTTTTCAGAAGAAGCTGTTGAAGGCGTACACGCGTATAGAGAAGCAGCAGGAGGAGTTCGACGACAAAGTTCGCGGCGTCATTTCCGATTCTGAACGAGCAAGAGACGATCTGACCCGCATGGTAGAAAGGTACGACTGAGATTTTTAAGGAGACGAATGAAAATTAATTTCAATATCAGGTTTTGGAGCATTCCATGACTTTAGTGGTACAATTTGTCCAATTTTCGAAGGCATAAACTTCATACTTTTTTAATATCAAAAGCGATCACTCGTTGATCTTTTTGTGCCATTCAGCTCCGGATGATTCAGAATGCGACAGTTGGAGGCTGAAGCCGAAGTCCTACGTTCGCACTCTGCCTATGGCGACAACGCGAATGAGCAAGCCTATCGGGAACTTCAAGACAAAATTTGGAAGCAGGTTAGTCTTTCATTCGACTTCAAGCTCAAAGAACTTCTTTCTAGGACCGAGAGATCAAGGACCAGCGGATCCAGATGGAAAAACTTCGAGGGAAAGAAGCCGAGTTCGAGAAAATGCGCTCTGAAATGGTCTACCTCGAAATGCAGAACGAAGAGCTCAACAAGACTCTCGAGGCTAAGAAAACGGTCGTCGAGGAACTCGAGCGCAATGTTAACGTTCGTCAATTTTCGCTAGCTTTTTTTCGTTTTGAATTCTTAGTAGATTAAGAAAAAAAAGGGCAGGGACATGAATTTACAAGACATCAAAATGAAAATGAAACGCAAAAAAAGCGAAAATTGAAATACTTTCAGTCAATATCATCTTTAATATTTGTAAGAAACACACTTTCATTCAGGTCAGATTATTTCTATCTAATTTAACATCGACTTTTGTTCTGCCTGAATTCAAACAACGATAAATGAAAAATGAACAGTTATCAATAGGAATTTGTCTGAACACACTTTAGGCATTCTAAATGAGGCTAGATAGCTGCAGATTTTCCGCTGGTCTAGGTTGATCCAATAGGGAGATCAATCGAAAAAAAATGTTGATTTTTCTAATTTTTTTAGTTTTATTTTTCGCATACCTTAAACTTTCCTCTGTGCTCTCAGTCACAAGTTTTATTTGAAATACAAACTGTTAGATTCTAGCGCAAGTTTTGCAGACGATGCGTTTGGAACAGACTCTGTGCCAGCAGTCGTGTTCCTCAGGCTCGACTCCACTAGCCGAAGACAGCGAGTCGATGGCTGACGTCATTCGCCCCTCTCTCACTCGTCCTTATACCAAGGTGATTGCAATTAGGTTGATATCCCGTTATCCTGAATTTTCCGTATGGAAAAGATTGAAAGAAACTTCCATATGATTATTATAAAATTGAATTTAGTTTTCATGAGTAAATTTTAGGCTCATTCGACCTTGGGGTCAAATATGTCGCCACTGCCTCATGCCAAATCGTCGGGTCTGACAAAGAGTTTCTCCAATTTTGCCATCGACGTCACCAAGCGCGACGATATAACGGCTGCGATGAGCAGATCTATTAGGTCCGCTTTTTCGTTGCTGAAGGCTTTAGAAGGGTCTTCTTGTCTTTTTCAGTAATCACTATATTTTTTTGAAGATCTCTGTTTAAAAAAAATGCCTAAAAAGAAAGTTCAGAAAAATTCTTGTTTTGATGTTAAAAAAATTTTCAGTACTTTTTTCAATTGGTTGTATTTACTTTCTCACTCAGAAGAACTGAAAGAATGTTTTAGGACTCAGCAGCGGCAGATCACCCTCAGCCGATTAATGGTGAGATGTCTGCGAGATACGGTGGAAAAGTTGGCGCGAGGTGAAAATCCCGACGTCTGTCGTTTGTTGGGAATCAAAAGTTGGTGACTCGAGGGTAGTGCAGAGTTGAAATTTCCAATTTCAGCTGACTCCATGTCGGAAAGCGAATTCGAGGGCGAACAAACCGCCGAAGAGTCCAAGCCGTTCTCCATGATGGCTGCCGAAAAAGCTGTTCGTTTTTTTCTTCCTTCACCTTGAGCTACTTCTTTTCATGTTTTTTTTTTCAGTTGCACAAGCAGGAACGAGGTCTGAAGGAGCTGGACAGCGACTTGGAGGCGATCCGCCAGTCGGTCGCTGTCTGGTATGAATCGACTTTGGAGCGAAACGGCCAAGGAGACGAAGCTTGCCGAGTCCAATGAGTCCCCCTGTAACTGTAGTTTTTCGTTTTGTTCATTCTAATTTAGCACCGAGCCGCATGTATTATCTACCAATTCCCCCACCAGTACGCGGTATCTCAAAACGCCTGATTGTTTCCAAAAATGGTTATTTTCACTTATTGAATCTGGATCGCTGGAACTGAGCTCGTTTTGGCTTCTATGCGCCATTTCGTCTACTCTTTCTGAGGACATTTTTAAAGCTAGCGTTCCAGAGTTGAGTATCTCTTCCGGCTAACCCCTTTGATTATTCAGATAAATCGCATTTGATTCGATTGGTGCTTTTCTTTGGAATGTGCGTGTCAAATAAAGTTTGTAATACTTATCAAAGGGTTTCTTTTTCGATCAGAGTGAGGAAAGACACGAAAGTCAACAGATGACCCATTTCCCTAACAGCAAAAGTAGAGTTAATTCCACAGAAGTTTTCCGGTAGAATAATTAGGCCAAAACTGAGGATAAAAGAAGCGGGATGGGTCCTACTTGGCAACGATGTCGGCGTTCCTTCGACTAACGGTTCTCTCGATTCTGTTGCCTCTGGCGTTGACGCGACTTTTTTGCGGCCTCGACCCATTCACCAACAATTTCATGGAACTCTTCGTCAAACTCGATTGCAACCACACGCTTCGTCAGTTTTCACTTTCAAGAATTTTGGAACCTCAAGAAATGAGCGAGAATGACAATTAGGAACAAATTTTGCCAACTAAAAGTATTTTTCTCTCCATTCAAACCTGGAAAATCATCTAGCTTGATTTTCATAATTACACTTTCGAGTTCTACAACTCTAAAGGGGGTTTTTTTAAAGTCGCTTTGACGGGGCCTACGCGAGGGAATTCGCCCAACGGCCCAATTTTCAAAAACTACGAAATTTTTCAGTGGAACACGTGGATTGCTGCAAGGATCACGGAAAATGCTACGCCCACAGAAAAGCCTCGATGGAAAAATGCGACAACGAATACTGCGCCTGCGTTTCGGAGCTCGCCAAAGAAGGTGTTTGCAAGGTTGGGTGAAAAAATGACCTTTTTGGAAGTAAACAGGGAACTGAATAGATTATAAAAGCAAATTCGAAAACATCGCGAAAATTTTTGAATGAACTTGTCTCGCGCATTAAATACTTCCCCAAAAGAACTACCTTGACAGTTTGAATGATTGTTGAAAACCTTTCACACTCTTTTTTTCGGGGGATCTGGATGAGGATTCTTCATATTTACACCACCTTTTTCTTCAAAGATATGGATTTTCAATCGTGTGTTTAGTGCTGGACTGACGAGAAAATGTGTTAGGTGTACACCGCAGATCTGGTCCAAACTTCTCGGGTAGTCTTAAGTTTAAGTATTCGAAAACGAAAAAAAAACTATCTTCAGAAAAGAGCAGAGAAAGAGCACGTCAAAAATGTATAGGAAACACTCAAAAACTGATTTTCTTGGTGTTTTGTGAACGCAAAGTTTCTTTCTCGTGTTGCTCATAATAGGGTAAATCATATAACTCATTCGAAACTGGGTTGGGACAGCGAACGGAAAAAAGTCATTAAACGGGACTCTTATGAAAGACGCATGGATAGTCTCCGTGATCTACCATCGGCGCGCAAGTTCACCGTCCCAAGACAGCCCTGAATGGGCTATTGTTAAGGAAAAAGTTCTTATTGACAGATAAATCTTTTTGTTTTCAAGCGCTCACACTTAGAAGTACCTACCACAGAAGATGAAGAAGATCTGCTATTTTCATTTCAAGTACTTCCCTTGCAAAGGTTGCTATTTGCAACGAACAAGTGCAATTTTTTTGAATTCATATCTTCAATACCCGAAGTTTGCACAAATTAACAATGGAAAATATACAACCCTCAAAAATCATTCGAGTAAACTTTCTGATAACCTTCTATTTTCCTTGTTAGAAGGTGAATCGCCGTGCAAAATTTCCCCTTAAAACTAAAATTTTTCTCATTTCAGCTCGGAAATTGAGAACGATATATGTGAAATTATTGAAGAAAGTTTCCTCTCTGGTTCGTTTGGAGAAAGAAGATTCGCGCCTTCGTTGCAGGACAAAGCGTAAATCCCCAAAAAACGTTCCAGAACATGGTCCTGCCGCGAAGGCGCGTATCTTCTTCAAACTACGCAGCAAAGCATTTTAACAGACTAAATGAAGGTCCCTTATGAGCCTTTCAGAAAATAAACTCACTTCTCATTTCCAGAACCACGCGGACAACTTTTGCAACACGGTGAAATCGTTCGGAAAGGTCGTCTGGCCCTCTTTCAGTGACAACAATATGATTGTTTGATACATCTTTTCGCGTTTCCCAACATTTCCCATGAACTTATCACACAATAAATATCTTTCACGTTTTATACTCGATGAGTTCTAAATTCGAGAAACCAGAAGAGAAAGTTAGCACGACAAAAGATAATCTATTTGGTAATATGTATGTCCCAGATAAGTACAAAAAAATTCTTCCACAAGCCGTTACAAATTTCGAAGAAAAAAGACAAAACATACCGTTTTTTTTTTCCAAAATTTTTGAATTATTAGAATGCAATCGAATATCACAGATAAATGAAAAAGTAGTTTCAGAGTCGGACAACTCTTACTGATATGATCACATCGCAATTATATTGTTGATCGAACATAGAAGTCTCAGTTTTTGGGATACAAGGTTAGTAGGCAGAGAGTTAAAACTTAGATCCTTCTCACAGAATCAAAGTGAAGTACCCATTTCTGAACTAAAAAAGAGGTTAAATGTTTTGTGTGCATTTCCAGGGAATAAATTATAAACATCTTGATTTGAAAGACTCGCAGGGAAGACGCGGCTACCAGTCGGCGAAGTCGTCCATCTTCTTCTCGGTGCTCGTCAGTTTCATCGCTCCGGAACGTGCTTTCTGTCTTTCCGACTGTTCTTTTCGCCGCGCCTCGTTCCTTGCCGCCAGCTCGGCCCGTCGCGACTCTGCAACCAACGGCCATGAAAAGTTTATAAGCATTATATACAAAAAGATTTAAAATTTAAAATGAAAACCAAAGAAAAAAAAATACGGGAGTTCAACTTCTAAGCTAAATAATTTTTTTCATGAAATATCCGTTTTAAAACTTTTTTTTGGATCTGGATGCTGATTCATACTCAAACTCTCAAAAACTAGAAATACGAAAGCATTTTCCAAATGAAAGAAGTGAAAAGCGAGATTATAAATTTGTAGAATGTCAAAAATGAGTTGTGCAGAAAGTTTAAACCCTTTTTTCTATTATTGATAAACTTGGAAAAACGAAATTTCTCGATAATAAACCTTTATCTGAAGCTGAAGTAGGTTGTAGCACTGGCGTAGGCTTCAGAACGTTCGAAGAAGCTGCAAGTTGAAACTTGGAGGTGAAAGGAAAAATGAGAGGAAACCGTCAGCCCATCCGTCGTCGTCCCAACCTTTGACGCCTCCAGAACTCGAAGACTTTTCTTCGAAACCCCAGCTCGACTTGGACGCCATCGTTTTCGACGGAACCGACAGTCCCAGCAACGCGTCGATGTTCTCATCGGTCGCTGAACCTTCTTGCGATCACTAACGTTGTTGGTTTTACAGACCACATGCCGTGTTCGAATAAAAAACTTCCACAAAATTATCTCTGACTCTCCAAAACTCAGTTATCTTTTTTCACTCTCTATTTTGAACTTTGAATTTCACGGAATCACCTTGAAAACGGCATAAGCTATTATGCTGTTAGTTCGCTGAAAGTTCCTCGGCGCAAAATTTAATTGACAGCGTTTTTTTTGTGCTCATAATTATTCCGAAAGAATAAATTTTTCATAGTTCTCAACATGGAATCCCTGTTAAATTTTTGAATAGATATCAGAATTGATTCCATGTTGAGAACTATGAAAAAAATTTATTCTTTCGGCACACGCCTTCGAACAGAACTTGTTATTGTCTATAAACTTTGGGATTTTTTTTTAAATTAAAATTTTCTGAAGTTTTCAAATAAAAAGAACAAACTGTGAAAAAAAAAATGAATGAACAAATATTTAAAAAAAATTTGAATTGAACCATAGTTTTCTCATAAACCTCAGCAACAGCAACAAGAATTCCTTGAAAAAAGAGGTCTTGTTTTCGAAACATATAAAAACCCTTTGATGTAAAAAAAAAAGCCTACGCTCTAGACGATTGAACAGTACTAGGGAGATATAAAGATGGTCCTTAGTCATTCAATACAATCAGATACATTTTAATGAAGATAACCTTGTTTGGTTTTTGCGCTGGAGGAGGTAGAAGAGGGAAGCTGAAGACGTCCGATACTCGGTTTCTTGGCTCCGAGCGAGGAACTCACCGCAGAAGTTTTCTTGTTGACGTCCGGAGAGGACCTTGCGGTATCGACCTGGAGAAGTCGATAATCCTTCGTTTGCTTTGGAAACAAACCGGAGTGTCCCAGCCGAGACCCCAGTCGTCGTCGTTTTTCGTGCTCCCTCCGAGGTCCGACCAATCGTCTTTCACTGAACGCTTTCATTTTTCGATAAGTATTCAAATGCGGAAACCGTCAAAGTTGTCGCCGCCATCGGACAAGTCGCCCCAGCCGTCATTGCTCGCTGGAGCGAGTTTCAGCGGAGCGTTCGACGAAGATTTCGGAGCCGGAGAGCTTCTGCCAGAGTCTGTGGGACCTCAAGCGGAATGAAACGGTAAAGAGAAATCGGGCACGCGCAATTCGGTAACAAGAGAGCCTTTAGAAAAAGTACAAGTTCGAGGGAATTTGAGATTGCAGGAATACAATTTTTGTTACTATTGTCTTACTTTCTAGCGAGAAAATGAAAACGAACTTTTGACTGCAAGACTGGGCGAAGTTCTTCCGGAGGCAGGTGTTGGCGCCGTTTGGCCCTCAACTGGCGGCACAGTTCCTTTGTAGAACTTTCCAGACAAGGACTTCAATGCCCAACTTGCCCATTGCGGGACCTTCAAAATACACAGTGAAAGATTCTCATTTATATTTCTCATTCAGAAAAGTAGCATTTCGAGCCTTATAAGTTTTAGTAGGAAAAAGTGAATACATAAAGCGCGTTCCGCACGAGACGGTCACGTTTTAAAAGAACAGAAAAGAGAAAGCTACCATAAATATTAATTTTCGCTCTAAGGTCTGGAAGCGAAGATGCTCAATTTTTATCTATATTGTTATACGGTTTTTTTTTTGCAGAAAGAAAAACGTGACAAGCTGGCGCGGGATGAGCTATAGTAGAGAAGAGGAAACCTTCTCGTGGTCAAGAATGGAGCTAGCGCCAGCCTTGACGCCGGCCTCGAGCTCAGGAATCAGTGCAGGGTTTTCGCTGGCCTTTTCGAGTTTCTCGAGAAACCCGCGGATGGCCTTGAAGGACTGCTCTCGAACTTGCTTCTCAGGGTCGCAGGTCAGCGGCACCAAACAAGGCACGATCCGGTTGGCGATCTCGACGAGTGTGTAGAACTGCTGTGTGGCCGACAACGCCAAAACCGACGCCATTCTGGACGGCGCGAAAGGATCCTCAAAAGAACGATTTGTCGACTCTTCGCTTGGAAAGTTTTCGAAATCATTCAGAACTCTCATCGATCCAAAATTTCCTGGAAATTTCAGCTTTCACAACTTTGTGTTTTTTTTCTGATATTGAAACCTTAACTTTTCTTAAGCATACGGTAATTTTCCTTAACTTTGAGGTGTTCCAAATAAAACCAGTTATTTAAGAAAAAGACTTTTTTTATTCCTCATAGTTTTTTTGAAAATTCAATTGAAACAAATCTAAATTATTTAAAATTGTTCCAAACGCAAAAAAACCCTTCGATCGCATAATTGTAATATGTTTTTTTCTCTGCAGAAAAAGAAGAAAAAAACTTTCCATAAAAGCTTGTTTTGAAAAATTGAATCAGAAAAATTTTTCCTATCATTACAGTACGATTTCGCTTTTTAACTAGGCCCAATGGAAAAATGTTCACGTGATTATACTGAACAAGGAAACTTATTTTCGAAAAAAACTTGTATTAAATTCATACGTTTTTTTATTTGTATTTCCTCATTTGAAACCGAATGACAGATAAATGTCAATTAAATAAACCGAGAGCGAGTTTTGAGCATTAACTTTTTCAAGAGGAAAAAACTGGAGGGAAACTTTTTTTTTATAATTTCTTGTTTCGATTATTTTTTCCCACGAAAAAGTGAGAAAAGAGAAAAAGTACTTGTGTGGGAGAAATAAAACATTTTGATTGATTTGAATAAATGGGGTAACCTTGAGAGCTCGGGTGAATGCGCTGATGAGGACGGCTTGGCGCTTGGCAGGGGCCAGCAAATGGCCGATTTTTCCTAAGCAAATTGTGGTGTTGGTTCGGATCCCGCCGTGTTCGTCGCCTCCTGAAAATGCCTCATAAATCACAGAAAAGAAAAAAAAAATCTAGCCTTGGAGCCGCGCCAAATACTTCATCAGCTCGACGTTCAGGTTATTGTAGTTGAGCTTGTCTGCCAGCGAAACCATCGCCTTGACTGTACTTTCTCGAACTGCTGGCGAAGTGTCCAAAAATCCTGACGTCAGATTCCTGCAGAAACCAAAGGTGGACAACTTCAGCGAGCCGTTCAGAATGAAAGTCTTTTGGAGACACGTTATGTTAAATGATTTTCTCGAAATTGAAAGAAGCGTTGTAATCGATACAAATACGATTTTAAAAAACAAAAATACACAATTTTGAATGTTTTCCACGAGAAAACTTCTCCTTTTTTGATTTTAGCGCTGAACGTCTCCGTTTTGCAAATTAAATCTTCGCTAAAACTCTAATTTTGATAAATAACTTTACTCACGCAAAAATTTTATCATTGACGACTTGAGAAGTGAGATGAGGAGCAAACTCGTCAATTCTCTCCAGAAGTTTCACTCTGGTTGTTCGGTCCGGGCTTCCAAATAACTGGAACCCAATGATTACACATAAAAATCCAACATTCTTGCTGCCATATAATAGATGTAAGATGCATAAGAGCAAATTGTTAAAAACAAACATCGAAAAGGACTTCAATGCGCTTTCAAAGGAAAGGTTCTTTTTAAAAATTAATAATTAGAAAAGATGAAACAAAAATTTCAAATGAACTTTTCGCAGGACTTTTGGACCCACACACTTTACTTATTCCTACGGTCAAAAAAAAACTCTGAAGAACAATAACTGAATAATTCATCGACCAATTCTTTACTTCGCAAAAATATCAATGAATATGCCCACGAATCATGATAAGACTGGGGAAAAGCGAAGAACATACCTTGCAGAGACAAGGGACGATGGTCCGTTGGTACTCGGCCTCGTCCAGAAGACGTCCGAGTTTGAACAGCGGAATCAGAATATTCGGTCCGGCGTCTCCGTATTCGTACGTCTACAACCTTAGACTTCAAAAGCCGCCAAAAACACCAACCAAAATCAATTTCGGCAAGATTTTGTACTTGGCAACGTCGTCAGGGAAAATGTCAAGATTTTCTCTGCAAAAAAAACTTTTTCAGTTCTTTTTCATTCTGAAAACTACCTCAAATGCATAAAGAAAGACTGTTTTTCGGAAGACTCTTTGAGCTCGAATTGTTCCAAAAAAAGCAGCGTATCAACGAATTTGTTTTTCAAATATCCACCCGTTCTTCGATATTCTAGAAACGGAATAATGAAAAAAAAAAATAGGAAATAAACCAATTATCAGCTCAGAAGCGGAAAGTTTAGCGGCAGCTCCTGTCGCAATCTTTTTGTACAACTCGTGTAACCTGAATTTATTATTGAACATTTTGAGTTCAAGATTTCCAGAGATGAACCCCAAAAACGAAAAATGCAAAAGACAGGTTTTTGCCAACAAGATTCGAAACAAATCGAGACCTTTTTCTCTCAGAATTGGGTAAAATTGTACTTTGAGGAAATAAACCTCTGTGGAATTTTTCCTGGAGCTTCGGCCTTTGTGACGTTTTCCGAGAAGCCGTTGAAGATCTCCCAGATGACAATAGCCAGTTGGTTGAGATCGGTCCGCGGAGAACTGAAAATGAGGTTCTCTTGCAGAAAACACAGCTTTTGGAGTACTTGAATGCGGTTACGGTGTGCAAACCGCCAATCTTCCAGTCGCCTCCGGCCGTCACGTAAATTCCTTTGCGTAGATTTTCATGACTCAAGTTTGCCTCATGAAGAAATTTCAACACAGACTGCAGGAAATGAAACTTCATAAAAACTTTCAGTCAGTTTACCAAAATTTGAAAAATCCCCCAGGAGACGACAAATTCTTTTTGCTGCTCGTTCAGCTCCATGTCTTTCATGTAGACAGAGAGAGGCTTACACTTCTCCGTTACTAAATAAAACGTACCGTCCACCTGTGAAAAAGGTATTAAAAAAATAAATTAACTGGCTATTTTTCACGCAGAAATCGAAAATGTAACCTCAATACTATCCAAGTATGCTATTATATTGGGATGGCGCATGGTCTTCAACTTCTGAGCTTGCTGTTTGATCGTAGAACTTCCGGTGCTCCAAAAAACAGTTGCGAGTTCGTTCGGCTCAGCCTTTAAGCACAAAATTCTTTCGAAAACTCATTCTCCATAAAACTTTTTTAAAGCTGTGGCCAATTGATAGACGATCAAAGTATGTGACGTTCGCATTGTCTGCAGGGATGTCGAAAGGGAACTGCGACTTGGGATCTCGTGTGAAAAAAGAGGACAGCACAGAAGCCATCCTGCCAAACAATTTCCAGTTAGAAAAAAAAACTGAAAATTTTGTTATGCCGTATTTAAAGTAATTCCGCAAAATCCAAAATAGCCGTAAGAGAAAAAAAAAGATAACTAAGCTTTGGAGAGCCAAAGATAAATCTGCGTTCGCGGAAAATACTTTGAACACAGCGCTAGAAAAATTAATTGTTTTTTTGCCACGCGCAAAAACCGCATACACTGCCGGGCGTGTAGCCGTGAAAATGTGGATTTCATTTTTTCGCACGACACTCCGACTATTTAACACGTTATACACAACTAAACTCATAAAATGTTTCTGCTCACCGCTTGATGGAATAAAAATGAAAAAAAAAACCAAAAAATAAGAATCAAATTAGAGGTAAAATTAAACATAAAGTTACGAATGGAACCTCGAAACAGCGATAAGAATAAATTAAATATTTTTATCAAGTACTATATATGCAAGGTTGGAAAAAAATGAGTATCGAGAGCTTCGTTGGAAGTAGAGTTCGCAAATGGTGCCAAAGTCGGCCAATGCACTGTCGCAAAGAGCTTGGCCATGTTCTGTACCTCTGCCTCATGTACATTAGTTTGTTCATCATTTGGACGAGTTGAAAATTCCTCCTGGAAAAAGAAACAGTTTTGTTTTCAATTCAGAGAAACAGACAGAGATCGGGGCGGAATTTGGCTCTTCAGCGCGCTTCTGTAGATCGGGGACCTCAGCCTTCAGACTTGAGCTGTCAGAGATTTCCTCTTCTCCTGTTACAATATCACACTAATATTTCAAGGGAATTTATACGAATGGTCAGTTCCCCAGCAAATATTGATAAAAAAGAAAGAAAGGCAAAAAAAAACTGCCCCCTTTTTTTGGTATGTATGGATAGGGACGTAAGGATCTAGGGCTGGAAAACCTCCGAAAGCTGGCAGCGAGGTCATTCTAGGAGCTGTGGGAGCGACCAGAGAAGAGCTCGTCGCAGTCTTTGGATAGAGCATCTCGATCTCGAACAGTCTTTGATCGCTCTTCAAAAATGTCAATTATCTGAATTCATCCCCACCCAACATGTTTCGCGAAACTCTCCAACTGTTTTTCAATAATACTTATTTTATTATCCATTATCTTCAACTGTTCCAGTCGCTTCAGCTTTTTCTGAACACCATTTTTCGTGACTGTATTGGTATCAACTCGAACCTCTAAAAAAGCGATGAGTTGTTCAAGTTTTTCACATTCTTTATTTGCGAAAATTCTTCTTTCGAATTCGTCCCCAGCGTCTGCTTGAGTCTAAACGGATTGACCAAAACCAAACTACCACCAGAATGTTCGTACCATTACACGAGAAGTTTGTGGTCGAAATGAGAAGACCTTCTACGTTGCTTTTTTTTGAAAAGCAATCTTCTTTCTTTTGCCTACTACTACTAGTTCCTTCTGAACCAGTCTACCTGAGTCTTCTGATACAGTTTATCACATTTAAAATATAGCATGTGTACCACAATTTGGAATCTCACCAAACGACATTCCGCTGTGCCACTGCGCGCCTTTGCGAACCTTAGTCTCGCTTTTAATTTTTTTTTTCTTTTATTAAGGTACTCTAATTTCCTGTGCTACCACAGCAATAACAATTAATTGAAAGCGTGACCTAGACTCGAAAGACGCTTCGCGAACGCACGCAGCGGAAGAGCGGAATGTCGTTCGGTGAAATTTCAAGCTGTGGCACATAGTCTATAACTGCTGAGTTTATTTTTTCAAGAATCATAGGAAGAATCCATTAGAATCTGGCGGTGAGAAGCTTTGGTACTAATAACTAAAACCAAGTCAATTTTTGGGCCTTGAAAAACAATTGAATTCGTAATGGCCTAAACTGTTCAACTTGAGACCGAACAAAAAAAGATTCAGATACTAGAAATAAAGAATTTCAGATCGTGGTTCATAAGTATTTCATTCTCGATATAATTCGTAGTTGATTTTAAAAATACGTGGAAAATAATTCACTTACGCTTTGAACGAGAAAGGTATCCAGTCATTACCTCAGATCGGAGCGATGACGGACAGCGCGGAGAAGCAGAAGCGTCGAGAGAAGGTGAGGCCAGGAAGACGTAGGGATCGGAAGTTCGTTGGCAGGTCGAAAAGTTCTTGCAAAGCGTGATCGAGCGATTGAAAAAGTGGACCCCGGCCTACTGCCAGCGTTTGTTCCAAGAGAAGGAACTCGTTGAGCTCTGCTACAGGTTTTTTCCTATCGAATCTCTCTTGTCCCTTTTTTCCTATTTATAAACTTTTAAAACACATCCATCATGAATCACGATGAATGAATGATTATCCCGCTGACATACTGCAAAAAAAATCTCGCGGGTCTCGCAATTTGAAAATTTCTGAAATGTGAGGTCGCGCCGAGTAAATTGCGAGACCCGCGCGAGAACTGAGCGAGATAGTTGCGAGTTTGTCAATGTACCGCCACCGACCTCGCATTCTCTCGCGCAGCTAGCTTTGTAGTCATAATAGAGCTTCTTTGCAAAATCAGTTGATCATATCATTTTTTTTTTCAGAGCTCGTGAGACTTTTTGGAAAGAAAACACAAAAATCGATGTGAGATATTTCTTTAACTTTTTTTCCTGTGGAAACTCTTTCAGCTCGAAGTACCGATCAAAATATGTGGGGACATTCATGGGCAGTTTGAAGATCTGCTCGCCCTTTTCGAAATGAACGGATGGCCTCCAGAGCAGAAGTGAATGGTCTTTCTGAACTTTTCAATAACTGAATGGCTAACAGATATCTGTTCCTGGGCGACTATGTGGACCGAGGACCGTTTTCGATCGAAGTGATCACGCTGCTTTTTGCCTATCAGGTGCTCTATCCAGACAAAGTGACGCTTCTCCGAGGAAATCACGAGTCGCGTCCTGTCAACATGCAGTACGGCTTCTTCATGGAGGTCAAGAAAAGGTGAGATCATCTTGTCTTCTGCGAGGAGGATCCTCGTCTCAGGTACTCGGTGCAGCTCTACGAGTGTTTCCAACTCGCTTTTTACACGATGCCGCTCTGTGCTCACATCTCCCAGCGAATACTCTGCATGCACGGTGGCATCAGCGAGGACCTCGTCGACCTCAGGCCCGTTTTTTCAGTCTTTTTTTTTGTTTTCCAAGAAAGACTAGATTCTTTGAATTTCTCAGATTTTAATTCCAAACGATTACAGACAGCTGGAGAAGATCGAGCGTCCTTGCGACATTCCTGATATTGGCGTTATCGCAGACCTGACGTGGGCGGACCCAGACGCGACGACCAAAGGCTACTCAGAGTCGCCGAGAGGGGCCGCACGAATCTTTGGCGCAGATGCCCTCAAATCCTTCTGCAAAATGCACAACATCGAGCTCGTTGTGAGGGCACATCAGGTCAGTCTCCATTTCTGAGCCTGTTGACTCGCTTCAGGTTGTGATGGATGGCTACGAGTTTTTTGGAGACAAACAGCTGGTCACCATTTTTTCGGCTCCGTTCTACTGCGGGCAGTTTGACAACGCTTCAGCCGTTATGAACATAGACGAGAAAATGGTGAGAATAAGGAAAAGTGAGATGAGAAAAGCAGTTTCAAATTTAAAAGTCCTATGACTAATGCCGTATTCAATGTGATTTGGGCGAAATTCAAAATTATATCTGACTCTCCAAAGTTCATTCATCTTTTTCTTTCTGTGAGGGCTATTTTGGATTTCGCGGAATCACTTCGAACACGGTAATCAACTACTTGATGGAATTTTCAGACTTGAATCATCTCTCAAAACCTTGTGTTCGAACGAAATAAATCCAATCGTTGCAGTCGATATCGTTCACTATCATGCGGCCAGACCTCGGCCGGAAAAGGACAGCGCCGGCAGTCAACGCGGACCCTCCTACTGCTGCCGCCAAATGATACCCAAGCGCTACTCTCCACACAGACTTCCTCATTCTCCTGTCATCGTAACTATTAAAATGCTGTCGCGCATTCCCGTTGTCTCTGGCACAAACTGATAACAATTTATTTTAAATAGAAAACATTTACATTATGCACAAGCAGCAACAAGCTGGCCTTGCGAATGTTTAGCGGCCAGCGAGTTCCGTCAAGCTTGTTTCTTTCGTTTGGAGAGATCAGAGTCTGCTGCTTCCGCCGTACGGGTTTCTAAGCCGTTGAAAGGTTGTTGAAGTATTGACCACGAATTTTATTTATTTATTCATGGAGTTATATAGGAGAACTTCTACAAGTGAGCTTCTTCAAAATAAGTTCTTGGAATAAGTTTTGAAGTTTCACCTGTCCTCTCATTGGTTTTGAGACGTGGAAAAAGAAGCCACAGATGATAGCCAACGACGGAGAGCAGCAGGTTGTAAATGATGTAAAACGTGTTCATCTGTAGAAATGGACTTTCTGAGGAGATACGTGAATGATTTTTTGATTGCATTAGATAGAATTTATAAATTTTATGGACATGTAAAATGAGGCTCCTAGGTTCTAATTTCTTTGCAGTTTTTAGGTGGTTTAAATGTGAGCTTTGTGTGATTGAGTGATGCTTTCTAAGTATGAAAGCATTCTTTGTAGACATTGTGAAAAGTACGAGTATTTTTTAATTAAAAAAAGTAGTACATCAGAACAGTGACTTATGAGAATCTATGAAAAATATTTGAGTTAGAAAAGTTTTTTCCTCTTTCTATGGGATGGTAGCAAAAATTCAAGTCCTCAAAGTCACGCCTCCTTCCTCCAAACTCGCAAAAAATCTTTTTTTTTTGCATGTCAAGCTTTTTATTGATGATTGCGCACAGTTAAAACGATTTTTGACGAAGAAATATGAGCTCGACATCGAGTTACAATTGTTTATGCTTTTATTTTGATTGATTGATATTTTTAAATCATAAACACGAATTTAAAGTTGAAAACAATTCAGTTTTTTTGAGAGACTAAAACAAAGGACCTTTAAAAAAAGATATAGTTAGATTTCCTAATTTTGATAGAAATTTTTTGATGAACTCAGCGTTCACTGTGAAATTCTGACGTAACATGGGCGAAAAAAAGTTTTAAAAAAAACCACTGGTTAGCAGAGAAAGAAAGAGGGCTGAGACAGCGTCGAGCCATGAAGAACTCCGTTTCTGCCTCGGCGTCTCCTGCAACTGCAAACTGTGGAAAGGACAATAATAAAGTAACGGGAACATTCATCCGACGACAAATTGTTGAGGAGGGTAAATATACTTATTGATATGATTTTTAAAACACATCAGAAAAAATGAACAGACTATCACTTTTGCCTTGATCAGATAGATTTATTACAAACAATTATGGAAAAAGTTCAACACTACAATGAGAAACAGGTGACATGGGAAATTAAATAAATGTCATGACTTATGAATATTTCTTCACTCACGTAGAGAAAATTTTCCTCAGGTTTTTTCTCAACCAAACTTGCTTTTCGAGAAAACACTGTCACGAGAAATTAACACGAAAACGACTCATTACTAAGAACGCCATAAGCTGAAAATAGTGACGCTGAGAACTATCGTGCGCGGCAGAGGAAAAGTCGGCGATGCGTCAACACAACGAATGTTGCGGTGGCCTTTCCTCGTGTTTGTGCATGTATTTGACGAGTTTTGGCCTATCACTTCACAATTGCATGCATAGTTGACACCTTTTTCGCGGCACATTCATATCCATAGGTAAAACGGAAAAGTTCCTGAGAGGGAGATAAAAAGCTTCCTCTAAAAGCTCCTAAAATGATGTAAAAAAGCTTTTGAGCACCTTTTTCATAGCCTCAGAGGATCCTTTTTGAATCCTCTCGAATCTTTTTAGTTGCTTTCCAGCATCCTTTTTGTCAGAGGATGTGAAAAAGATGCAAAAAAGAATTGAAATGATGTGAAAAAGATCTGCTGGGGGCCCTTTCAAGGTCTTTTTTTTGAGAAAAGCTTTTGAAGAGCTTTTCAGTTTTGCCCGAGTCAGAGAAATTGAAATGTAATCGGAGCGTCATTCCCCTCGCCGTGAGGTATAATTCAAGAGTTATTAAAAATCCATGAAAATTTCGAAAATTTCTTATCTATTTAAATTTACTTTTTTCCGATAAGAATGTTTCCATCTGGCTATTTCCTAATCAAGAAATTATTTATTTGAATAAGAGTATGACTCTTCAGCTTCGTGAGCTTTTATAGATAGGAGTCTCGAAATTGTACAAACTCGAAATATTTCTTAATAAACTCCTGTATTCATGAATTGTTCAAACAAAAAAGCTTTTTTGGCAAAGTCTAAGGCAAGTTTAACTCAAGATTCTGAAGGAGAAACAATCGTTGCTCCTTCACGAAATGATGAGTTAACTACAACCAGAAAAAATATTTTGAAAAGGGGTCAGAGTCTTGAAAAATAAAGAGTTAGTGTACTTTGAGCTTGAAATAGAAAAAAAAAGGTAAAACAGAAAGCGAAAGTTTGTGCGCGAGAAAAGCCTGTTGTGAGCCTTCCAGGTCAGGTGCAATTGACGTGTTCGGCACACCTCTTATTATGAATCTCTCCATTTTTCACTCGTAATTCACTGAAAAACGTGCCCAAGAAATCGTTCAGAGTGGAGCTGATTCATAAAAACTTGCCTAGGTTCTGAAACGGGCTTAAAGGAATAAAACACGTTCAAAAAACCGTCCATATTTTCATATTTAATTATGAAAATACGATTTATTCCAGTGTGGGACAATCTCTAAGAAGCACAGTATATATTGACCTTTTGCTTCTTAAAGCCTTCTTCTTCATCCTATGCCTTTGTACCGCTTGAGCGGCGTCCCAAGTCGATTAGCCGAGGTCCTATCCTGATATGTGATTATTGTGAACTGGCTCGAGTGACATATCCGTCCTTGTGTGTGACGGCTGGGGAATTTGATGTCGTGGTTTCCCACTACCAACATTTCTTAAACCCCTTGGTTGGGTCGAGGCGGGGATCGAACTTGTGACCCTATGGATCGTATACAGGCATACAACCTGTTGCGCTACGGCGCGCCAAATCATTTGTTTCTTAAAGTATCCTAAAATACAATAAAATTATCTTTTCAACGACTTCTCTGCGTAAATTCTAATCAGAACTGGGATACAGAGTTCGTTTCGCGCCAATAAAAAAAGGCCACGCCTCTTCATCCACAGGGTCTCGCATTGCAGATATGTTATCTCGAGTTTAAATGTAAAAAAAAAACTTCGAGGCCTTTCAAATATAAACTTTTAGGATGATCAATCTTTAAAAAAACTAAATCGAGTTCGAAATAAAGCTCAATTCTGAAAAATCGTGTCAGAAACGAAAGTTACTGATAAATTTATTTTTTGATCTTCACTAATTAATCAGACAATGACTTCAAGAAACACAGTTAGCATTTTTTTTTTAATTGAGCAAAAAGGAAATCTTTGAAAAAGAGCTTGGCAGATAAAAAGTGTCAATTAATTTGAGGATTTTCAATCAATATATATGGAGTAAGTGAAGATTGAGAGAGGGTTGCAAGGGGCAGAGCAAACAATGGAAAAGAGTAAAACGGCCGGAAAGAGACAACCCGTGGCAACCTTCCAAAAGCTTGTACAGCCGCTATTTCGGATGTTTTTCCCATAATTGGTTGTCCATACTTATATGCATACTTCTCGTCAATATATTGACTTCTGACTACATTTGCGTATTTTCGGACAAATATAAAAATTTTCGTGTGAAAGCAAAGAGTTTCAGGCATTGCTTGAACGTCTTCTGAGAAACTCAAATTTTATTTTCTTTTTTTTGAACAACTAGAACTAGAGAAGTGTATCATTTGTTGTCCGTAAATTTTGATACTCAAACTTAGGCACAGTACTATTAAAATATAACTTCTGGAAGGAATATCAGGCAGAAATGATGCTCGAAAAAGACAAGAATCCTTCCTGTGAAGTTTAATATAAAAAAAAATGACAATTAAAGAACTTGACATAGGAGGAAAAAGTAATGCCGAGATTTGAAGTTCTCAAACGAGTTATTCAACCGATATTGACTTTATGAATTGAAAAAGTTGTTACACCTAAAGGCGAATTTCCTCGTTACCGGGCTCAACCCTGTTCGTCGGCTTTTTATCTTTCGGCATACATGGCAAGTACTTCACGAGAGGGATCTGAAACTGTGAATGATCCCATTCTTTTTATTTTATTTGTTCAGATAAATTTATCGTATCTTAAGTAACTGTTTTTTTTTTTCCAAGTTATTTTAACCGCAGTATATTAACATCTTCTTTTATGACATCAAGAAAGTTGAAAGATTGAATTCCATATGAATACCTCTGAAGGAACTCATCTTTTAACGTCTTTCCCTTTTCTAGCTCCCCTTATTATTCTTTTGCTGTATAAACTGTGAACTTATCATAACAAATAACGAAACTTTGCAAATCTCGAATTCAGCCAATCTTTAACTTTGAGTCGAATTTAGCTTTACGACCACTTTCTTTTTTTTTGCAATTTAATGCCCTTCACCTTTTCCGTAGATGAGCACTTGTAGGCTAAAGCGCTTTTTTTTTATATAACTCAACCCTAGTTAAGTTTCGCCTGATTATCACTAATTTAGTATGGTTAAGCTCAGAAAAACCTGACTGACTAGTGAGAATGTGGACATGGATATAAAATAAGCTGAAGCTTTTTTAAACTTGTTTTAGTAGGACTGTGGCCAGGATTAAACTAGTAGAGTCACTCATGAAATAATTCTTTTTCTCATCGTTGAATAAAACTTAGCAAATACTCAGACAACGAGACAAACCTTGTTGAGGACCTTCATGACGAGAGGCGGATAGCTGTAGGTACACTCGTCCAAATTTCCAGCGTAGACCTCTCCGCGGGCGCGCAGACCCCGTTGTTCTCTCGTGGCTCCTGTCAACTTCAACAATCGGAACAGTTCAGTTGAGAACGAACCTCCGACCGAGTTGTCCAGAATACAGGCGCACATGGCTCCGACGAACATCGGCATCTGCAGAAGCACGTTGAGAACTTGGTTCAGCCACTGCCAGCCTGCAAATTCTTTCGTACGCTTCTCAACGTTTTTGAGTTTCGAAATTCAGAAAACTTTTTTGAAACAGGATTTTTTCTCAATGTATGTCTGTAAGCACATAATAAAATATCAAAAAAAAATTGAGACGTTTTCAGCTTTCTTCTTCAGGTCATGGCCGACTTTTAAGTGTCGAGATAATTTTATTACAAAAATTACTGAAGCAAATAACCGGAAGCTACAGGGTTGAGCGTGAAGTATTTAGGAACGATAAGCCCGAACATCATCGAAAATCCCAGGATTCCCATGTTGCGCGACATCGTCATATCCACCTTCATCTTTTTTCATTTTCATGCGAGCTGAGAACGACAAACAGTTTGCAAGTTGGAAACGGCAACTCCGACGACCATCGCCATAGAAGAAGCCAAAACGCCGCCGACCAGAGGGTCAGGAATGGTCGAAAGAACAGCTCCAATCTGCAGACAGAGATTTTTCTTCGATTCAAAAGGGGTGACCTTGGTCAGGATGCCGAGAACGATGAGAAGCAACCCGGCGACGACCATCGTCCACCTGGAAGCGACGCGCGTCACTCCGATGACGCCAATGTTCTCTGTGTGTGTAGTCATCCCGACGCCAGGACCCAGAAGTCCCGAAATGAGAGAGCCGAGTCCTAGACTCAGTCTCTTGCATCAGTCGCTGTGCGACAAAAACAAGGCAACCTTCGCTCAGAATGCCGCGATTGATGGCGTGACTGGGCGGCGGTCGCTCCTGTGAAACTCTTGCCGCCGCATGATAGTCGCCGACGGATTCAAACACGGAAGTCATCGCCGACAGCAAAAATAGTAAGAAGAGACTTGTGTTGAATTGTGGAGGTCCAAACTTTCCTTCAATTTCGCTTATCGTTTGCCTTGAGTCTGAAAGTACCTGGATATGGAAGCTCAACCCACGAAGATTCGCGAATCACTTGCAGAGAAATGTTCTTATCGACACGAGCAGAGCTTCCCTCAGGAACCAGGTCGAACACAGTCAACACGACGCAAAAAGTCCACGAAACCAATATAGCGATAAGGTACTTGAAAAGGTTCATTTTTGCGACCAAGGTGTTAAACTTACAGGATATTGTCCAAAGAGGTTTGTTCGATACCAGTGCAGCTTGCCCTCTTTCCAGCCAGGCAAAGGTACATTTACGTCGGCCAGGTAGAGGATCGTCGCGAATAAAGTAACTGCTTGTCTGAAATATCACGTTTTTCGAGAGATGGGAGATTTTTCTGACACAACAGCGACCCAATGTTTGCTGATGTGCGTGACCATGAGGTCTGTCTGAGAGAAGGCGAGAAGAAGCATCAGAGGTGAAACCTTGAAACGGAAGGGTACGGATTCCAAGTGGCGAAATCTCACCGTCAGAGGCCCTATGAACTTTGTTAGGAGTCCAACGAGTCCTGTGAATCCGATAAGCATCGGGACGAACGAAGACAGAATCAGACACCCTTGTATCTGAGAAATCAGAGAAAGTTTTCCAGTTATCAGTTCTCAAATGCTACCAATGCGATACGTGTATAGTATTCTTCGGTGGAAACAAAGTCCTGCTCAGTGGCATTGCAACGATTCTCAGGCAAGTTGAAGAACCCTTGAACCGAAGGCACGTAAGCAAAAGCAGTGCCTTGCAGCAAGGCCAATCTGAAGAGAAGACAAAACTAAACTTCTTGAACTTGATTGAAAAAAACCTCATCCCAAACAAGGTTTGCACAATTGTAGAGAGCCCACTACTGACGAAAGTCGAACTGATGAGCGTCTGCCGGAGTCTCGCTTGAAAGAAACAGATAATAGAATAGAGAGCTGGTATACCTATGTTGGAGCCCGCACAAAGTGCATCCGACATGATCAAAGGTACGGTGAGCAGCGCCGAGACACAAACCATCACTTGCTGGAAGTCAGTTCATGCAGTGGCGGCCAAAAATATTAGAAACTTATATTTTTACATTGGCTTTATAGTTGCTGCAAATACTTTTTAAAAAAAGGAGAACTCTCAACATTCAAACAAGTATAGAGAATACTGATGATTCGAAAAAACCTCATTATAGACAACGGATGTTTCCCGTATTAGATTTCCCAAAAAATGAAGATTTGGTTTCGATGACCGACCTGAAGACCGTAGAGAAGTGCCACAGCCGGCGGAGGTGTGTCTTTGGCTCTGAGGAATTTTCGCTGCTTCTTCTCATCTTTTTCCATTCTTTTTTTTTTGTTTTTGCAAAATCTGAAAAGGATTATTTGGAACTGGACTGGTTATCAAGGTTTTCACGAAAGCGTGCACTTTCTGATTTAAAAAAAAACTTCACGAGTTACGTTCAACAAAAAGAAACAAAATTTAGAAAAATGATTCTCTTCCGTAGTTTTTTTTCAGCGTTAAAGAGGCACATGATAAAAAAAAAAAGAAAAAATTTGGCTTTTACGCTTAAAAGGTTTTCAATAAAAAAAGAGATTAATTCAAATAGGATCCTGGCGAATGCATTTTCTTGCGAGTTTCATGGACCATAGAATTAAAATAAAGCAAAAACTGTACAAATGAATGCAAAGTAGGGAAACGGACCGCAAATCCATTGATTTGCATTCTATATGAAACTCTTCGTGAATACAGTGAATGGTGGAGCGGCAAAAGGAAGGCGGGCGAGCCGACGTCATCCGCAATTATTTCCGAATATGGGGCGTCCATGAGGCTCGAAACACACAAACACTTGGAATTGACAAGCGAAAACTGCCGCCGGCATTTTCTTTATTCCATCACAAACGGAACCTTGTTCAAATATATGAAGCTGTTGATTTGCCTACCGACGTACAGCGAATGGTGAAACCGTCGACCAAAAAACTTCTCCTCGACGTCGTAAAAATAATGTATTCTTATGACGGTTAGTGCAAGTGGTTCATTCCTATCTATCTATAAAAGTAGAATAGATAGTTTCGCTCCATCACTCACTCGTGCTATACGTTTTGCATATGAAAAAAAAAACAAGCGAAACGGTAAAAAACGCGTTCAATCACCGCGATATATTTGGGCAGCATGACATTTCTGGAAGAGTATCATGCCTATACGAATTCTATATAATCTCATAGAACAGACTGTCCACACTAAGAATAGGTTTGGTTTGTTGAAATTTTTATTCAACGAAAGAAAATAAAAAAGTCGTAGGCCTTCAGGAAATGCAGTACCGAACACATGCCTTGTGCCTTGAAAGACCAACAGAAAACGCTTTTGATCAAGCTATAAACAAGAAAAACCAGTTCAAAAACATGGTCCTGCGCGCACTATTTTTCTAATCAAAACGACTCTCTTTCTAGCCGTCTCTCTGAAAACGCAAAAGTTCCGAAACTGACGTTGTTCATCTATCAGAATATATATGACTTTCAAAAAAAATTTCAAGGAATGATCCCAAACTTTAAAAATATGTTCAAGTAATAAAACCAACTAAAACTCTAAGTCCCATCTTCAAGGGAAAAAACTTTTAAAACTAATCTGTTGTTTCGATATGTATGAAGGGCGGAGAAGAAACAAAGAGTTTTGCCGTCGGCGAAAATCGGAAAATCAAACAGAACTGAGAGTTTCGATGTCATCTACAGTCCTGAAAAAAACAAAACAAAATTCAAAGAGTTTTTGTTATTCTTCTCTTTTTTTGGGAACAAAAAGATCGTATTTCAAAGAAAACTGAGAAACAAAGATTAGGCTGAAAAATAGAAAATGGGAAAAATTGTTCGATGGTTTGATCTGCTATGCGGAAAAAAAAGTTTCTTTCGTGTGTGAGGACCAAAAATCGACAAAAACATTTTTTAAGTATTGAATGGCGTCGCAAACAGTTTGAAGAGACGGAACTTTTTGCCAACTATTCGCTTATCGATAGAAGACGTTGGCCGTGGAAGCAGCACGTGGTCCAAGTCAAAAGATGGAGTAAGGAAGATTGATGACGTCAGAGAAGCAGATGATGATCGGATCGATCTTCGGGCCTTCGCCTATCATTACCCCTTCCCTTTCACGTCCTTTGCTTTCATGTCAGATCTTTTGACTACTGCAGATCGTTGGAATCAGACCGATTAGGTCCGTCCCCGTAACTTCTCAATCAATAGACAGCAAAAAACAACATTAGTTCTGAAATGAATATATCAAAACGAAGTGGATTGTCGAAATTTTTCTCTTCTTTTTTTCTTGCAATGACTTGATATCGGTCGTGCGTTGCCGTTTGACAAAAAAAAAAGGATTGTAAACAGGTTACAGCCATTTATTCAACCGCAGCGAAGGCTCAACAACGAAACTACAGAGAGATACCAGAAACAAGACCGGGAAAGGAAAGATGTTTGTTTTTACACGAATATGCGCCTGAAGTTTGCTCGTCTTAACTTCTGAGACAATAGAAATCTGTGGAGATCGGGGCAACGCACAGCTCTTATACACTCGGATTGGTTTGATATTTGTACAATAGGTTTGAGGATTGGAATCAGTGGACGATGCGTTTGTGGGCGGTCTGAACGACGTTGAGTTTGGAGTTGATCTGACCGACGAGCGGCTCGATTCCGCCGTACGGAGCTTCCTTCGTGCCGTGCAGCATTAGTGAGAACTTCTTCAGAGTTCCGCGGTGTTCTCCAGGTCCCTACAATGCTTCTTTCAAAACTTTCAAGATATTCAAAAGGCATTTCCAGAAAAAAAAGTTATCAAATACTTAATTTTTTACTAGAATATATCAAAAAATAATAGGCGTCAAAGTTTGGCCGAACAGCTTTACAAATAATGATGGGGTCCAAAACTGAATTTTTTTTTTTGTATGACTTGTGTAGCGAAAAACTCCCTGTTCCTTCTTGTGAGGTCTCCTTTCCACTCGATTTATTCATAAAAAGGTGTTAAGGCTTTAGTATGAAGTTCCTCGTTTTTTTGACTTGAAAAAAAGATAAAAAAAGATTTGAGAGAACTAAACAAAGGAAATTTAAATAATTTTTTTCTTGTCACTGAATAGCCCTATTTTTCTCCAGTTTTTTTTTTCGATTATCCTTTTTTTAGAAATTAAAAATTTGAAGCAACAGCGCAATTCACTTATTTCTCTAAAGGCATACTTCAGCCAGAGAAAAATTTGACAGTTGTTGTTTTATCGATAGGCATCGAACTGTTTTTCTTTTACAAAATCCAGTTGTAAAAAACCTGGAATCGAGCGATGAGCCGCCATTTGCCGGTGGGGTTCTCGCCCCACGTGTGAGTCGTCATAAATGGCCAGTTTGTGAAGCCGTCCTAAAAGAAGAGAAAGTTGGAGAAGGCTCCCGAGGGGTCAAATACCTTCGAGTCGTCGTCTTTAGGTCTTCGGGAGAGGATCATGGTCCTGCAAAGAAAAGTATGACAAAAGTACGCGGTGTACGGTACCTAGTGCCCATGGGCGAAACGAGGTAGAGCGTGGTGTCGCCGCGACGAGTCGAGTTGAAGGAGACGACCGCCTCAACCACTTTCATCAACAGGTTTTCCACATTTCGGAATCACCTGAACGTGTTCCAGGTAGCGAACTTCGGTCGCGGTTCCGATGCAACCGTCAGTTTCCAGCTCGAGTACCAGGTTTCCGTCAGCGGGGATCTCACTGGAAAAACTCCTTTTTACCAGAATATGTATGCAACGAATGGAGAAAGTCCTTTTTCAAAAGCTATTTTACTAAAATTAAGTTTATGAAGAAAAATTTTAAAATTTGATATTTCATAATTTTCTTGAATGCCTTTGAAGATTAATGAGGACGCTTTGTATGTGATGATGAATGTTGTTCACACTATTCGTTTTGAAGATTGGATTTTCCAATTTTGTACATTCCTTCTCATCTGCTGTTAATCGTGAGACAAATGAAGAGCTTATTATAGCACCAAATTAAAACTTTTCGGAAAAACTCTTCATTTAAGAGGTTTTGACCAAAATCAAACGAAATCGCTCGCTTCGCATGAAAAACTCTCTCTCCTGTCGAAAGAAAGAGAAAAAAATTGATGCTTTCTTTTCATTTTACTAGGAATTCAGCCTGCTGTCTGGCAATGCGTTCGATTCATTTTTACTTTATTCATTCTTTGAAATAAAATCTAGAAAAATTTCTCGACTTATTGTAAACTTTTGTAAGCTCAAATTATGAAATGTTTGAAACCGAGCCACCTATGAGAAGCAGTAATACTCTAATTTTTATCATATTAGAGAACAAAACGAGTATCAATCGACTTCGAACCACACGCTCAAAAGCAGTGGAAAATCAAACTATTGTGGAGACGGAGATTAAAACGAACTGAGGGACGTCGATGGTTCCGGCAGTGCAGTGGTATCGCGGCGGAGCAGTCTTCCAGACCATCGCGAGCATGACCTCAACAAGAAAGATTGGCTCAAGTCGGGCGGCCATCGACTTGCCATCTCGGCGGCGTCGAGGACTCCGAACCCGAACAGATGGTTGTACTCGAGACCGACGCCGTTCATTTGCCACTCGAAGTGCGTGCAGTTGCCTTTCGACTCTTTGTGGTTGTCCTGAATCGAGGAGTTTCACCAGAACACACGCCTCTTCTCCCATTTCAAACCGCACTTTCAAAACTTGGAGCAAAATCGAGCTAGGAGAGGAAAAAAAAAAGACAAAAGTGATTCTTTAATTCCTCTACCTTTTCGAAATCTCAATTTTGGAAGTAATTGCTTCACAAATGAACCCTTTTTTTTCAGAGCGAAACTATTACTTACACGTCTCCGCTACGCTGTTGAGCAAACTTCATTTTCCGATAAGCTTTGTGATTTGTTTTTAATCCGTGATCGGAATTTTGAAAATCTGGATTCAAGTGGCAAAAACCTTGATTCCAAGCTCGGGAAGCTCGCGACATCTGCCATCGAACAAGGAGTTCCTCGTTGACGTCAGAACGGTCAAATGTTGGAGATCGCGCCTGATATTTCGAAGTTTCCGACTGGAAAATGAAGTCTCAAACCAAGTGAGCAAGGGATTGGCTTCGAGGGCGAGGGCGTAGACTCCTGCGGCCTCAGGAGCCGCGGCCGAAGTTCCAGAATGAGATCTTGTGCATCTACCAATACTCGCTCTAGTTTCTCAGCTTCTTCGCAACAGTACCTTCCATACAAGTCGGTGGTGGCCACTCCAGTTTCTGGGTTTCTTCCTCCGTTTGAAAAAGTCGACGCGAGCGTCGAGGAACACGATCTGAAAAAATTTTGTTTGTTGAGGTATATTGAGGTAGGAGCACAAAAATTGCATTGTGTCACAGTTTCCGGAAATTGTGCAGCATTGAAAATGGATCCTTTAAATGTTGTTGCGAAATATATACTTTTCTGCTGAAAAACCGCCAATCAAAAGTTTTTTTTTTCCTTATCCAAATTAGTAGGACAACTACAGCACGAGTCTTCTCTCGACTTGCAAAATACAAGAACGGACTCGTCGTAGTGGGCGTTCTCTCCGTTGTTGATAGCCGAGTTGATAGAGATGGTCCACATGGAAGCGGCGTAGCCGTCGCAGTTGCAGTCGTCGTCTTCGCCGCCGTCGCCGGAAGCCCAGACGAAGATGGAGCCGAGACCGTTCCTTCCCTGCAGTCGACTCTTTCCGCTTCTCAAACCCTCAAGCCCTACCTCGTTGACGCCTTTGACGATGGCGCGCATCGTCGCATTGCGCGGGCCGTCGACCGTCTTGCCGTCGTCGGTAGGTCCCCAACTGGCCGAGTAGATGTGGATCTTGTTAGGCTCGTGTCCCATCGAGTTGGCTTCAATCAAGTCGGTCATGTATGGCTGGTCGAGCATCCGTATTCCGGCCACTTTGCCGTCGTAGGCCACGCCGACGCCGCAGACGCCGTTGTCGCGGGCGGCGACGATCTCTCCGGCGCACCTTTAAGAAGAAGTCGTCAGAAATCGAAGGAAACTCACCGAGTTCCGTGCGAGTTGAACCAATCATCGGTGTACCGCGGATAAGGGAATGGATCGTTAGAAGAGAAATCATAAGATGCTTCAGCGTTCTGAAAGTTGGAAAAAACTTTGCGTCGACTTTTGAAAATTCGAACAAAGTTGTCCTTGATGTCTGGATGCATGTAGTCGACGCCGTCGTCCATGATGGCCGTCGTGATGTTTTTTCCAGTGAAACCCATTGCCCAAGCCTATAATAACTTTTTTTTTTCGAGTTTCCTTTTGTGTTTACAGTCTTCACTTGAAATGCTAGCTCTCATTTCGAGGCTTTCACTTCCACCTAGATCACGGTCTCTAAAACATCCGCTATAATCTCAAGGCGTAACTGAACAGACTACGCGCAGAAGGACCGCAAGGCCGCGTTTTCGGACTCGTAGTCTGCCAAAGGCGCTTTTCAGATATTACTTAAGAAGTTTTTTTTTTCCATCGCCTTGTCGATTACATCTACGACTAAGGAAAAAAATAAATAATTAAATAAATAAAAAAACAACAGCTATTTATAACCATCTCTTTATTTTTTTTTTTTTGATTCACTAAACGTTGATTCACTAAACGTATATTTTCTCATTTCTACCACCCGAGTGGTCGGTCTTCATTTCCGCTCTCGTCTGAGATTTAATCCGACGCCCGTCAGCCCTGGACAAGCTGGGCGCCGTACTGTTCCTACATGGAGAAGCAGTTGATCGTCGGAAACGCTCGAAAATCGTCTACTACTATCACAAGAAAGACGAGATGCTCTACGCGCCGTCTACGTTTGATCAACGACAGTTTCGCAAACCGACAAACAACTCTTCAAATATTCCATGATTCAGCAGAGTACCTTCTCTGAAGACTGAATAAAGTTTCAAAGTTTCAAACGTCCCCGATTTCAGATTGGAGATAAGACGAAATGCACGTGAATTCGAAAACAAATGTCTAATTGAAAATTCGTATTAATATTTAAGCATTTTCTGAAATACACTTTTTATATGTCAATCATTTCTGTTATTTTTTTGCATAAATTTTTGAGATTTTTTATTCATATTGATTCAATTATCCAAATGAGCAATACGATTTTTCAGCGTGTCCCAAAAATGGATTTAGCCAGGCGCTGTTCATACTTACCTTTTCAACATTCAGATCGAGACGGGCTTTTCCTCCGGCTTGGCCAGTGTTTTTCTGCAACGAAACGACGATTTTTCTCGACTCGCTTTTTCTTTTTTGTTCTAATTGACTAACCAGATACCACTGGTACTGATAGAGAGGGTCGGTGGGAGATTGGACGGCAGAGAAGTCGAGTTGGCTCTGAAGGCGTTCTTCCAAAGGACGGTAGCCTCTTTTGGTCCTTCGGTAGCCCGTCAGTTGCTCTACGTGCATTACCTGCAGCACGCGTTTTGCACAGTTTGACTTTTTTCAGGTTTTCAAAATAATTAACAAATAAGTAGCAACTAAAGTTGCTGAACATATTTTAAACCTTGTGTAAAAGATTCTTTCGACTATTTTGAGAAAAAAAAAAGTTCACGTCCAGGCGCACTTTTTGTGTAATTAAGCTTCAAAATTTCCGAACCCTAGCAAGCAAACTTTCAATTTCTTCAAGATTTGGTCTTAAAGAAATTTTTCAAAAAAACATTCTGCGACTTCCATTCCTATTTATTGAATTGAAGGTTTATGTTTCAGTTTTATCTTTTTAAATAGTTCATGGAAAAGTTCAAATTTATAGTCTGAAAACTATCTCCTCTCTTCTTTCAAAAAAACAAGTGAATATATTTTTTTCTTTTACCCTTTAAATTAAATTCTTGTAAAGTCAGAGTCGATCAAAATATTCCCCAAAAAGCTGATAGAGAAATTCATGCGATTTTGACCTTGAATAAGACCTTTGAAGAATTGATCGAAAAAAATTCCTCTAAAAAAATTTTTTAAAAAAAAACCTTTTGATACTTCTATAGTCATGATCACGTGCTCTGTGCCTATTAACCATAAACATTTACATGTTTTTCTCTAATGTAATGAAATATGCAATTCTTTATTGTTAGTACTTACACAATAGTCCTTTTTTTTTTGATTTTCGATCTCGGAATGATTAATTTCGAAATAATTTTAAACGTGAACTCGATCTTTGTTCTGTCAAATGTCCACTTTCTTTCGGATTACCCACTCCAGGGATTCCAACTGACCTCGTCGTCATTGTGGAGTTTGGCGTGGTGGCCAACGGAGCGTTTGGTTCTCGCGTGGGAAAGAGCTGGCTGGACAAAGTGGAACTCATGTTCGGAACCGAGGACCTGAGTAATCGAGGTTCACATCCTATCAGAAGACACTACAGGTTGAACTAAAACCACGATGATTTGTTTTCGAAAGGAAGTACTGAAAGACAAGGAAAACACTGACGGGTCCGCGGTTGATGAAGCCGTGGCGTTTGGCGATGCGATGGGCGTTGGTGAGTCCAGGCTCCTTGAGGTGGACGTGGAAATGGTTGGTGAAGACCTCGAGCGCCTGCGCCGCTGTCAACGTCGCCAACAGAGAGAATAGTTTCAGCCACCCAACATCGTTCAATATTCTTTTCATACCTGTAAACACACCGGGTTTTGATTAAACCCGTTGTTTTTGGTTCTTCTGAATTTATCCGTTTTTTTCTTGTGCAACTCTTAAAAAAAGGAAAAATTCTTTAAAATTACCCATTTGTTTTCATCTTTTTCTGAATTTTTCCATTTCAAACTTATCAAAAAAAGAAAAAAAAATGCATTCTTCCGGAATTCACAGATCAGTGAATTGAACGTAAACGAAATTCCAAAACACAATGGGGGAGACAGAGAAGCGATTGCCAAATTTCCGGAGACATTGCGCATTTCGGAGAGGGTTTTTTTGGATATCCCAAACTACAAACGCGGTGGTTATTTGAGCAGGACTTCTTTGCTGTCTTTTCTTTTAAAGTATGATTCCATCGACCTATTTTCTCACCTTAAAAAAAAAAAGAAAAATCAATATTTAAAGATGAAGCGCGCTTCAAGCTCTGTGAGCCGTCTTGAAAATTTATTATAAGCCCTTTACAACATATCCTGTATGTCGCTAGGAGGATAGGCTTCTGCTTAATGTTTGGATCCTCCTACTAAAACACGAGTAAGAAGTTAATAAACTAATGATAGTTAGTATAAAATTATTTTACGACAATAAGTTTGATCATTGACATTCAGAAAGACTTATTTTTCTTCCGATTTATTTTCTGGTTAGGAGCGGTTATGTTTTGAGAACGAACGAACAAAAGATTCTCATTTCGTGTCGAGTTACATTCAAAAACAATTGAAAAACGAAAGATTAGATATAAGCTTGATAAAAAGTATGTCAAAAAGAGCTTGCCTGTTGGTCGGGGTCTGGCTTGGCGCACCCCGTTCGAGTGATGAAGGCGTGGATCGATCCGCGGCTCCGCCCGAGGCCCGGCTCTCCACTGCTTCTTATCGATCTCCAGGTCTTACGTCATCCCACGTTTCTCCACAGCTCCTCTTCCTCCAAAAACGTCTGCTTTCCCCGAGTTTATTCATCTGCTAATTTGTAGGCCTCTTCCCGGTTCCATAAAACATGAAAATATAGGCTTATGAGAACGAGGCAAACAATAAATGCAAGAAAAAAGGGAAGAAGATGGAATTAAACGTGATCTATGTTACAGAAAAAAAAGCTTATGACGCGTTCGAAGTGATTCCGCGAAATGCAAAATTGACGTCAGAGAAAAGTAAAGATGACTAAAGATTGGAGAGTCAGAGATGATTTTGTATAGGCCATTCCGCGCCAAATTGTCACGTTTTTCTTTCCACCAAAAGACCAGGTCAATTGAACAACTTCGCTTCGAGACCTTTGTTTCTTGCCGTTATAAAAGAAATTTGATCTAATTGGGTATACGGTCTTTTAGGCGGAAAGAAAAACGTGACAAGCTGGCTATCACTCAATATTGTGGACTATATCGCAGCGAGCGTAATGCTATACCTATACCGCGATGCTATATTCGCTCGCCTCTCGCTGCGACCTCGCAAACGTCTTGCGCTTTATCGCTCTCTGAAAAACTTTTCTTCAAAAATTTTTTTTTCTTGAATTTGATTGATTTCATCATAAAAGTCAAAAATAAAGCTAAAAAAATGTTTTTCAAATTTCAAATTTTTGTGAGGGAGCGATATGGCAGCGAGACTTTGACGAGGTCGCAGCGACATGTGGACGAGATCGCAGCAAAAAGCCTTGGCTATAGCCTGTTCAGATTTTGAATATCAAGTAGAATGACGTCATTCGAAAATGCTCTGTGGATGGCTCGTCCTCTGATTGGTTTATCGCACAATGATGGGCGGAGCTTGAGCGACGACTTGACATTCAAAATCTGAACAGACTATATATCGCCTGCGGCCCGCTGCGATATCGGCAATTTTCACCGAATTTACTTCCATGCCGTGTTCGAAGTGATTCCGCGATAGAACAATAGAGCCTCCGGTATAGCTGATTCACGGCTGGCTTGAGCCATCGAGAAAAGGGTCCTGCCACGAAAAGAGACGAGACAGTGCCCTGGTTAGTGGAGAGTGCAGACAGGCCACGCCTTTTTGCGTCCCAAGCTAGCCGTGAATATTTGTACAGCTTGCCTCACGTAAATTGACAAGAGATTAATCATTCATGCATCAGATAAAAAATTAATAGATAGAAAACAGAAATTTAAAAAAAAAATCTGTATGGCTTAACGTTTTATTACGTTCCAAAAAAATCAAAAAAATATAAAAATCATATTATTCAGATCATTTATAAAATAAAAACTTCAAAATTCACCCGCTAATTCAATTTGGCTTTAAGTTACACGAAACCGGTTTTAAAATACGCCAAAGGGACTAGAGAGAAAATAATATGACCCAGAGTCTCATTGGGAACAAAAACTTCATTCTTTGCAAAAACGTGAACCTCGTAAAAAAAAAATACAACTTACAAAAAACCACGTGTCAACGTGTCATTTCTTATTGTATGACCTAGGTTCAAATATCATTCCTGCTTCCCTCACGAGTCGCTACTGCAATCTACTTCAAGATGAGTTTTGAATTTCCATAAAACTTCTAATTTACGAAATAAGTTTCTGAGTAGCGCCGCTAAATCCAGACGTGGGGGCTTGCCTCACGCGCGCGCCAATTCAAAAAAGTGCGCTGGCGCACAGAACCCAATATCCCCCATTAATGTATATCCTTTTTTCAGTCAATCTTTCCGTTTATATTTTTGTCGAAAGATTTTTTTCGGGTAATTTCGCCATAAAAGTGAATCAATAAAAAATAATCGAGTTTTTTTAAAATGAAAATAGTTTTTTCGCTAATTTTTTTCCACTGGTCAATCGTGATAGAGATACAAATAGTTACCGAGTAGCTACCTTTTTTAACTAGCTCAGCAGGTCTTAGCACGGTTATAGGCCATTCCGCGCCAGCTTGTCACGTTTTTCTTTCCGCCAAAAGGCCAAATTTGACCAACTTCGCTTCAAGACCTTTGTTTCTTGCCGTTCTAAAAGCAGAAATTTGATTTCATTTGGTATACGGTCTTTTTGGCGGAAAGAAAAACGTGACAAGCTGGTGTGGAATAGGCTATAACAAAAAATTGATTTAAATAAACGACCACTGATTAGCCTCGCGGTAGCCTTAGTGGCGCTGCTACCGTTTATTAGTTACAAAAGAAGACCATCTACAGTTTACTTTTGTGCAGGCAAAAACGAGAGCAGAAAACTTTTCAAAAAGATGTTGCCGAAAAATGGGAATATTCACGATTATTATAAGGTATACCTGAGGTTATGCACTTCTTCAGCAAAGTTATAACGGTGAAAGACAAGGAATTATGAGAAACTATAGAATCTTTTTCATTCAATTCTTTCCTCTTTGAGCTTGCATTATTTTTGACGAAAGAGAAGAGATCTTGAAGCTTCAAAGCCAACTTCAGTGCTTCACTCACCTTCATAGTGATACCGGCAAGTAAATGTTGATCAAACGAACAATACCTCACTGTTCAACCGGCTTATCCAGTGCACGTTCCATCGAGATATGCTACATTTAATCAATGAATGAAATACAAAGGCTAAGTTTCTGCAATTTCATTACTACTACTGTTCACACCACTAATATCCTAATGCTATTGCCATTTGCGATGGCTAAGGGGGCTTCAGAAAGTAAAAGTAAAAACTTCTGTGATAAATAGTCCTAGGTATGAGTACTCAAAAATGAAAAGAAATATCAGCTAAGCGCCATAGGGTACTGAGAAATAGCCTGTCAAGAATGTACAGTGATATCTCAAAAAAACTTAGTTGTTTTCTTTTTTTCGATTTTTTTAAAAAGTCTAGTGTTGTTCATTATATCATAAAAAACGCGAGAAAGAAACTCTCTACGAAAAACCCAAAGATAAATCGTTTTTTAGCTTCTCCTGTACATTTTCGTAGGGCTGTTTCTCGGTACCTTAGGCTCAGCAGATCATTTTTTCTGTTTTCCCATACTCATACCTGGGACTACCTACCACAGAAGTTTGAACCATATCTGTGATGCTCACCTGACACACTGCCCTCGTCAGGCTTCTAAAAAAATATTTGTTTTTTTTGTGTACTTCGAAAGTCTTCAAAAAACAAGAGCGTCTTGAAGGAAGCGTCGTCATTTCCATAGTAATGGTATCTGAGGAATGAAACTTTATAAACTATTTTTATAGTGAAAAAAACAGTTTATGCGAAAAAAATACAGAGGACATTAATCTGAAAAAAATGAACAGCAGTACTTTGAAATTTTTTTGAAATTCTTTATGGGCACTTTGTATGCTTTCGAATAGCACTCCGATAGCTATCGCACCGTTTATTCTATACATTTACTGATTATATGGATACCTCGAGTGGCCTTTTAAGTGTAAATGTGAACTACATTTATAGTCAAAAGGTGACATAAAGTACTAAATTGCGAAAAGAAAAAGAACCCCACTGACTATTTTTTTTATTTCAAATATTATTTTTTATTGATTCACTTTTATGGCGAAATTAACCGAAAACAATCTTTCGACAAAAATATAAACGGAAAGATTGACTGAAAAAAAGGATATACATTAATGGGAGATATTGGGTTCTGTGCGCCAGCGCACTTTTTTGAATTGGCGCGCGCGTGAGGCAAGCCCCCACGTCTGGATTTAGCGGCGCTAGTTTCTGAGCTGTAATGGCGCGTTCAGGAGCAAAACGCGAAATTTTTCGAAATTCAAAAGAGCGTTCACGGCGATACTTCGAAATTAGCGAATTTCGATTTTTGAGATAATTTTTGAGAAATTTCAAAAAAAATAGCGAGAAAAATTGGTTTCGCGCGAAATGGGTTACGGTATATTGACATTTTTGTGTGCCAAACGCAGTTTTTTTCTCTTTTTTTCTTTTTTTCAGATAATTTTTTTCTTTTTATTTTTTTCAATTTTCAACCCGTTCAAAGTTATTGATTTTTAGAAATAGTACGAATGAAAGCCTTAAGTTAATTTTTTTCGACGGTCTGAACTTAAAAAAAGTTCAATTTTACTCAAATTTCTTTTATTTATCGTTTTTTTATTTTTTTCCAACGGATGTATCAGAGTGTTTGAAAGTTGCAGGTCTCTAAACTATGGCGGGTATTGGATTACCGAAAAGTGCTAAAGTTGAAAAAAAGGTTAATTTTCATTCAAAAAAAACTTTTTTTCGCAATTATTTTTTTACAATTTTTTTGATTCTTTTTCACAAAAAAATTTAGACTCGTTAGGGAGGCACGAGCGGCTCGTGTGAAGGTAACGCAAAAATTTTCGTCTCTACAGTCAAGCATAAATTCGTGAGTTCTCTTATTCTTCGATATTATTTTTCTTTTTTTATTTTCAATATGTCTTGTCTGTTCAGTTGTACACGAAAAAAATGAATACCACGGTTCAACCGGTGGTATGAAAAAAAGAACAGCAAAAAAACTCGAACGACTACTTTTTCCGATTATTTCATATCGCTAGGGAACTTTCCGACTAATCTTTTATCGAATTTTTCTTCTCAATAAACTTTTTCGTTTTAAATATCCCTGTATAAAGTAAACAAGTTATTCATATTTTTAAACACAAAAAAATAGGAAAAAAAATATGTTGATAGATGTTTTTATAAACCGAAAAATATAAGGGAAAAAAAGTCGGAAAGGGATTCGGCAGAAAAGTGGCCGTCGGAAAGTCCCCTAGCGATATGAAAAAAATCGGAAAAAGTCGCCGTTTGAATTTCTGCTTGTGTTTTTTTCATACCACCGTTCAATCAGCCTTTCCTTTCTGGAAAAAAATTTCTGCTGCTTACAGGCCTAGACGAACGGTTTACGAAGGACACGCCGAAAGACTACACGTGGAACTTGGATCTTTCCTTATGAAACTTTTTCTAATAAAAAAATTCATTGTTTTTCTTCTGCCTTTCAGAAACATCTCATAACAAAACAGTTTCTGTTGTTAAGTTTTTAATTTGATTAACTAAGCAGCTTGTTTTTTCACATTTATTTTTCAAGAAGGTAATGCTCATCATCTTTATTCAAACAAATGATAGAGAAAATAAAGCGTAATAAAACAAATCAAAATCATTGAAACGAAGAAGAAGTTAAAAGCTGTGGATTTGACAAAATCGAGACATGGTAAATTCCAAATTTATCCGGCTGGCCACAACAATGTCTTGTTCGAATGAGCTGAAAAAAAATTCAATACTTTTCTTTTAATGAAATGAACCAGTTATTGAAAATTGTATAAATAAAAACCTTCTATTTCCTTCTTGACCGTTGCGTCGAAAATCACGGATTTATGCTTGACTGTAGAGACGAAAAATTTTTGCGTTACCTTCACACGAGCCGCTCGTGCCTCCCTAACGAGTCTAAATTTTTTGTGAAAAGAATCAAAAAAATTGTAAAAAAAATAATTGCGAAAAAAAGTTTTTTTGAATGAAAAATTAACCTTTTTTTCAACTTTAGCACTTTCGGTAATCCAATACCCGCCATAGTTTAGAGACCTGCAACTTTAAACACTCTGATACATCCGTTGGAAAAATAAAAAAACGATAAATAAAGAAATTTGAGTAAAATTGAACTTTTTTTAAGTTCAGACAGTCGAAAAAAATTAACTTAAGGCTTTCATTCGTACTATTTCTAAAATCAATAACTTTGAACGGGTTGAAAAATTGAAAAAAATAAAAAGAAAAAAATTATCTGAAAAAAAGAAAAAAAGAGAAAAAAACTGCGTTTGGCACACAAAATGTCAATATACCGTAACCCATTTCGCGCGAAACCAATTTTCTCGCTATTTTTTGAAATTTCTCAAAATTATCTCAAAAATCGAAATTCGCTAATTTCGAAGTATCGCCGTGAACGCTCTTTTGAATTTCGAAAAATTTCGCGTTTTGCTCCTGAACGCGCCATAAGCGCTAGTAGATTAGGCTCGTGGGACTCCCGGAGTGCCGATCCTCTTTGCTTGCAAATTGGATACGCAAAGTCACGCCGAAGCCCATTTCAGTGGCCGAGGCACAAACTGTTGGCAGCGCGATGCTGACAAAGCGATGATGGGACTCCCGCGGAAAATGCCGTCACGGCTTTCGGCGTCTAGGATTCTTAGTTGTGACAAGGCCGAGCGGAGCTCTAGCGCACCGTCTAGTTAGTTCTTTCTGACCGCATAAAGCTTTCCTAACTTACTTGACAACTTTAAATAGCTAATCAGAACATTAGAATTCGAATAATTTAATCGACTTGTTTTTTTTCAATGGTGAAATTATTGCAGGAAGCTTTCAACGAACTTGCTCTGATCAGTCCATGCAGATTCGACGACAGCTTCAAATAGTCCAGTTTGATATTTTTAAAAAGTTCTATTTTTTTAATTATTTTTCCTTCAGAAGGAACGTCTGGAGCGTACGATTAAAAATTGGAAACGAAAAAATAATCATTGATTAATCAATCGACTACTACTGGAACTATTTATTTGAGGTTTGGAACGTTTCGGTTTCGAAAATTTTATATTGCAATATAAAATTTTTGTTGAGAAAATATTGAGAAAAAGAAGGCTTAGCGTGTACAAAATTTCATCGCATTCGCGATAAATAATCGATTATAGCCTGTTCAGATTTTTAATGTCAACCAGCTAACTCCGCCCCCGCTGAGAAGGTACCTTTTCGCGTCGATGTTTTATCGCGCGGGATTAATTTTGATCTTTTTTGATCTAAAAGATAGAAAAAGAAGTCAAAAATGCAGCCTTATTAAAGGGACATCGTCATCTGTAGATAAAAAATTGACGCGAAAGATACTGTAGCCTTGGGGGTTGAGTTAGCTGCTTGACATTAAAAATCTGAACAGACTATATGTTTCAAGGTCGCAGACACTTTGGCTGCGGAGAAACAATTTAACTTTACGAGGAGCTCTTTTTGATTCAAATTCTGAGGCCGAATGCAATAAAGTGGAAAATGATTTTCCGCCATTTTCCTGAAAATTAAACTCGCTAGGATATCCTTGATTTTGATTTTATCTGATGTAATAAGGCTTTATATGAAGATTCTGATCGAGAAGAAACAGTTTCAGTCTAAAAAAGACTAATTGTAGCAATTTACGAGTTTCAGAAAAATGGCGGAAAACCATTTTGAAAATGCCATTTTCCACTTTATTGCATGCGGCCTCTGTATTTAGATCCTTTTTTCCGCATTCGAAAGCCTTTTATCTCTGAAAATTCAGTTAACGCGATGACAAAAAATGTGCCTTCCATTATGGAAGTGGCGACAACGGTTTCAAAATAAACCATCGCGGACGGAGGCCGGCTAAACAATACCAGGTACCAGCCCAAAGCTCTTAAAAGCAGCTGAGGGCTTTTTTGTTGTGTGTTAAATTGCAAGGAAAGAAATAACAGTAAATTCACAATGGCTGAAATCGCTCCTCACCCGCTCCCCCGCGGTATAGCATTACTCTCGCTGCGATATAGTCCACAATTTTGGGTGCTCTGTCTGACCGCTGTTTTGAAATTCGCAGAATCACTTCGAAAAAGAGTCTTGAAAAATTTCGGGGGTGGTTTATAGTCCGTTCAGATCTTTAATGTCAAGTAGAATGACGTCATTTGAATACGCTCTGTGGATGGCTCGCTCTCTGATTGGTTTATCGCGCCATTAGGGGTGGAGCTTGAGCGGCGACTTGACATTCAAAATCTGAACAGACTATAATTTTCGCGGCAAAGGTAGGTCAAGGCGGCCATACATGCGCCTTCAATAGAAGCCCCATTTTATGACTTATTCATTTTTCTCTTATATAATTCGTGGATTAAAAAAAAATCTAAAAACAATGGGGTGAATTTAAACAAGAATAAATTCAAAAGAAACAGAAATAAATCACCAAATGAGGCACTTTTAAAAGGTGCATGTGTGGCCGCCATGATCTACCATCGCCGCGTAAGTTGAACCGCCCGTTTACTGTCCCAAGCCACCCGTGAACTCGGACCTTCACTAACACGGGAAGTGCGAAAGGTCGAGGTATTAGAATTTAATGAAACTTGGTATATAGGTACTTCCGAACACCCTGAATCCAAAGCAGTTGAAAAAAAGTGCGCCTTTTTAGTTCTATTCGAGTTATGGCGCCTCAAAGTTTGCACGCAAAAAATGCATTAGAAGGGAGGAGGGAATGTGTTGCGGCGGCTAACTCTAGCTGCCAGCAGGCGGCGTGGTGTAGTGGCTAGAGGCCTTGCGCTGTGAAACCTATGATGCAGGTTCGGACCCTTTTTGGTGAAATTTTTTTTCCGACCATATTATAAGCCTTATGGTTAGGCAAGGAAAAATGGAGCAAAAAAATTTTTGTCGAAATTCTTTCTCAGATGGGCATAAAATGGTGAATTTTAAAATTTTGAGCTGTTCTTTCACTCCATCATCAAAACTTCCACATTTTTCAAAAAAAAAAAATTGGCAAAAAAAAATTTCACCAAAAAGGGTCCGAACCTGCATCATAGGTTTCACAGCGCAAGGCCTCTAGCCACTACACCACGCCGCCTGCTGGCAGCTAGAGTTAGCCGCCGCAACACATTCCCTCCTCCCTTCCAATGCATTTTTTGCGTGCAAACTTTGAGGTGCCATAACTCGAATAGAACCAAAAAGGCGCACTTTTTTTCAACTGCTTTGGATTCAGGGTGTTCGGAAGTACCTATATACTAAGTTTCATTGAATTCCAATACCTCGACCTTTCGCACTTCCCGTGTAAGAATAACTGACGAGATAAACGCGAGGTCAGTGGCGGTACATTGACGAGCTCGCAAACATGTCGCTTTTTTTCTAGGCGTGACCTCGCATTTATCTTTCATTTCAGAAAATTTTCAAATTGCGAGAGAAATACGAGCTCGCGCCTAGAAAAGTGCGAGAAAAAAAAGCGAGATGTTTGCGAGCTCGTCAATGTACCGCTAGCGTCTCGCGTTTATCTCGGCAGTTATTCTTAGTGTTGGTAACAGCCAGGCTTGTGCGAGGGCCGGCCTTAGAGGGGCCTCAAGAAAAAATGGCCTGCCCGGCCCGAAGCGCGCAATTTTTTTCTAGTCGAATATCAAGTTTTTTTACGACAAAAATTATGTTTTTACTCATTTTTTCACTTAAAGTATAACAAAAACTATGATTTCAGAAGTAAAAAGGGCCCAGACGGGCTTTTTCCTGAAAATAAAGCCCTAAGCCGGGCCGCCTGGCCTGACGCACAAGCCTGGTAACAGCCACCGGTATTTGTACAGATGGCCTCACGGTAAATCGACCCCAGATTTATCAACGGGGCGCGCTTTCTTTCATCCCATATGTTCTTTTTTCGTTTCTTCAATGCACGGCGTTCCTAATGGGGGTGAGGGAAGGTGAGCAAGGCGTCAAAGATTCTAAATTTACAGAAAAATTTTTGTGAAAAAACAGTTTTAAAAAACAAAGATGAAATTTTCGTACCACCGGTTTTTCGAAAATCTTGGAGAACATGTGTTAAATTTTAAAACTATTTTTTGTAACTGGTTGAAGCAATTTAAAACAATATTTCTGGTGTATCTGTCTATTTCCTGTTCAAATTTCCGAAAGCAGCAATCCACACCTGCAATTAACGCATTTATGGCCAGCCGCATGTATAATTGACGAACGCGTCGCAGAAGCTGTTCTTCCAGGACGAACGACGTTGCTCTGGGAAACACGTCGGTCATCGCTTTTCTAAAGGAGTTTATTGCGTTCCCGAATTTTGCGTCCTTTTCCGCTTCTGCTCTTTCCGAAACCCAAAAAGAAAAAGTATACGAGAGCTGCCGAAGCGTGGGAAACGGCGTCGGTCACTCGCCACTTTCTTGTCTGAATCGCCGCCGAATTGCCCGGAAAACGCGATGGAATAACCGCTCCACGAGTGCATTAGCGCGCCAATTTTGCCTGCTGATCTCATCGCCTTTTCATGTACCTTTGTATTTTCTGGATCCGATCCTCTTTGCTCCATGGAGGAACACCACAATCAACGAGAAGACGCTGTGAGAATCCGCGTTTCCCTCCTTTTTGGCTCGTATAGTCTGTTCAGATTTTTAATTTCAAGTGCAATGAAGTCATTCAAAAACACTCTGTGAATGGCTCGCTCTCTGATTTGTTTATCGTACCATTAGGGGCGGAGCTTCAGCGACGACTTGAAATTCAAAATCTGAACAGGCTCTACTTTTGTTCGAGAAAAACTGTTTAGCAAAGCACGTCAATTAGATTTGAACGCGGTCTACAAAAAAAAATGGTTGCGAAAATTCTTTGTCATTCTCGGGGGTATTTTAGAAAACGCGAAAGTTTGGCGCTTTTGAGAAATGTTGAAAGACGTCACACAAGTTCAGAGCTACAGGGAACTGTCCGGTTTTCACTGCGCCGTCTCCGCTGGCCATACTAGACTATTTTCGATCATTTTTTTTTATCAAATGAGCAAGGCTATTTCCGATGTTAATAGATAAAAAAATTGCAGAAACAAAATTCTTTTCACTCACTACGGGCACATTCGCCTATTGGGGCATTTTTAAAGGCTGGTTTTTGCAAAAATTTATATGTTAAAACTTACTCGTTAGATTGTATAGCCCGTTCACGGCTGGCTTGGGACAGCGAACGGGCGGTTTAACTTGCGCGGCGATGGTAGATCATGGCGGCCATACATGAGCCTTCAATAAGAGCCTCCTTTGATGAATTACTTTTGTTTCAATTGAATGTACTTTTTCGTTTACATTAATTTCATTAGTTTTCAGATTTTCTTTTAATCAACGGAATACAAAATAAAAAGAAATAAGTCATAAAACCAGCATTTTGTGGAAGGCGCATTGATAGTCTCCACGGCGTTCTTTTGACGACGCCCCTCCCACAATTTCCGTAATATTTGACGTCTTTGGTGCATACACAGAGCGACGCTAACTTGCATACTCATTAAATTCGAAAATAATTTTTTTCCTCGAAAAAAATAGCGTTTTTTTCTCAAAATTACAGACTTGAAAAAAAATCGATCCTTTAACAATTCCTTTTTCTAGTTGACAAAAAAACATTTGGGTGAAAGTTTTTTTCTTATTTTTCTGAACACTTTTTATACCTTTCACCCTCAAAATTAGTTATAGTCCTTTTTTTCAGTGAAAAAAACGTGAAATTTTTGTGCCGAAAAGGACTTATTGTGGTTATGTGTCTTTCCGCACATATTAAAAATTAAAAAAAAAGTTTTCTTCACAGATTTAGTTTAGTTCATCCACTTAGTGGTACTTTTTCTCCTCTGCAACATCGCCATACCATTCTGATGTTGCGAAAATGAAGAGATTGATTGATTCGAATAAAAAATTTAATTTGACACTGAAAATGTGTATGAAAGGCTTTTTGCTTTAAAGGGGAAATTTTGTCAAAAACCCAGCAGTTAACATTGAAAATTGAAAAAGTTCCTTCGCATTTTGCTGTCGCAATAAAAAATAATTACCGTAAATCAGAACAAAACAGATAAAGATACAACAGAAATAAACATGAAAAATCACCTGAAGCACTTGAGCAACAAGAAATTCAAATGTTCGCGCGCAAGCTGTCTACCGTAACTCTAGGTGGAGCAACCTTTCAAAGCCGCTCCGCATTTTCAAAATTTTTACATTTTCTTCCACTACGCAGAACGCCGTGTCTCCATGATCTACCGCCGCGAAAATTAAACCGCCTGTTCGCTGTCCCAAGCCAGCCGTCATTGAATGTTCCCATTGTTTTTTTTCAAATTAGTTCACTTTTTCGTACAAAAAACTTGTTATTAATAACGAAGATCGCTTGAAAACCGCGTACATCGGTGTATGCACAAATTAAACCTACAGTGTGCCACACCGGACGGGCGCAAGAGCCGCGGCTGAACAGATATGAGTTGCCCCAAATGTCGCGTCGCACACGCAACGCCGCTCCTTTCACCCCACAACATGGTTGCCTATGTCGCAGCGGACTGCAGGCCATATATAGTCTATTCAGATTTTGAATGTCAAGTCGTCGCTCAAGCTCCGCCCATAATTGTGCGATAAACCAATCAGAGGACGAGCCATCCACAGAGCATTTTCGAATGACGTCATTCTACTTGACATTCAAAATCTGAACAGACTATAACCAAGGCTACTTGCTGCGACCTCGTCAAAGTCTCGCTGCCATATCGCTCCCTTTGAAAAATTTGAAATTTGAAAAAAATTTTTTTTGCTTTATTTTTGACTTTCATAATAAAATCAATCGAACTCAAGAAAAAATTCCAACATTGGTATAATCCGACGTTACCAACATGTTCGATTTTTCAGCATAAAAAGTATAACCATTCGATCCGTCTCGTCGAGATACGTACGAATATCATAAAATTATTTGGCGCTGACCACTTAGAAAAATTTAAGATGATATTTATTAGTTTTCAATCAAGTAATTATTCTGAGGAATAGAAGTGTTTGCTTTTTCTTTTCATGCATTACTTGAGAAAATAGGCTTAGTTTTAAGGCTTCACACGGAGCGCGAAGCCGACTGTGGCTCGCTTCGAAAGAACTGAGCCACAGTGAACGATTCGTCAAATAAATGAAATAGCTGACATAAAAAACATGTAGTCTCAAAAGGTGGGCACTAAAAACACTATCAGGTAGCTATAAACGATTTGCAACTTGATAAGAGTAGCAAAAAAATCTGTAAAAATGTATTTCCCAAAAAAAAAGAAAGAAAAAATATTAAAGGAGCATACTGTGCGTAAGCGTGGGCTCCGACGCGGCCGGTTATTTTTACTGTGATTTCTCATTTTTTTTTTCTTATTTTGCATTGTTTTTTCGAATAACTTTCAATTTTTTTTTCTTATTTTAAAAGATTTTTTCTTCTCATGGCGTAGTAGCGATAGTTGAATTGAATCAGCGTCGAAAAATGCAGCGAAATTTTTGACATGTTTGGAGTTTTTTTCTGGTTTTTGCACACCATAAAGTTATTTCTCCTTACTAGCGCCCAATAATTTTATGATATTCGTACGTATCTCAATGAGACGGATCGAATGGTTATACTTTCATGCTGAAAATCAAAAATGTTGGTAACGTCGGATTATTCCGCGATATTGCTCGCGACTCCCCCGCGGTATGGCATTCCTCTCGCTGCGATACAGTCGGCAATATTGAATGTTGCCAAGCTTTCTTGTCTTCAAAGCGGGAAGGATGGACTATACACGCCTGTTTAAAATATTTCAATGACGGCCGGTCAAAATAGAGCCGTCTGTTTCGGAGCCGGGAATGTTTCGAATTTTACTTTCTTTTTTTTGAAAGTTGTTTAGAACCTTTCTTACGAGGTTACAAGATACACCCAATATTGTGGACTATATCGCAGCGAGAGTAATGCTATCTCCGA